GGGGGGGGGGGGGGGGTCAGTGCCCCCTGGAGCTATAGCTAAAAGAAACCTTGCTAGAGAGTCTGTTGCTATGTAAATGGCATTGGAGAGACAAAGAATATCTTTGCTTACCTTTTTTTTAAAGTTATTTCCTTTTGAGGTGGGGGTGGTAAAACTACAAGTTAATAACTAAGTGAGTGCATCTCCTCAAATGTTCTTATTTTTTGGTCTAAATTGCCATTTACTCCGCTGTATATGATTGGTCCCCAAACCTAAGAGTAAACCCATGCTTGTGAAAGTGTATTACCTATAATTAGCTTTATGTGTTTAGGCGGATACTAGTACCTTAATCCGTGGGGGTGAAACAATGTGCAGCGAAGCAAGTCCAATATATGGAGGAAATCACACACACAAGAGAAGACAAAAATTCCGTCAAACTCGAGGGAAGGACAAAGTTTAAAACACCTCCCGATGGGTAATCAGAACTTATGCCCCCCCCCCACATACACATTTTGGCCCTTCGTTGTTGACATTCTGAGCCGACCCTGGACCCACCACACTGGTATTACATGACCTACGCTATCTTAAAAAGGCAGTCCGTCGTATATTCTTTACTTTTAAATTTAGCCAATTAATTCAACAGTAGGAAGACCCCTGCAAGATAGCAGAGATTAAATATAGCGTGTACGTGTAACAAATCTTTGTACGATTGCAGTTCTCAGTACGGTACATAAGGATGGTGAAGGGAAATTTATTAGAATGACACGTCAACATTCTAAACGACACTGGGCGCTTTTTCTCGTTTTATTCTTCACTTGCGATCTACTCCTCGTTTTAAACGTTACTTTTCTTATAAACTGGACTTTTCTTATAAACGGGACTTTTCTTATAAACGGGACTTTTCTTATAAACATTACTTTTCTTATAAACTGGACTTTTCTTATAAACTGGACTTTTCTTATAAACTGGACTTTTCTTATAAACTGGACTTTTCTTATAAACTGGACTTTTCTTATAAACTGGACTTTTCTTATAAACTGGACTTTTCTTATAAACTTTACTTTTCTTACAAACGAGCCTTTTTGTCAACATTTGCAATATCTCTCTCCTTTTCGCTCTATCTCCCTCTCTCTTTCTATCTCCTTCTCTCTCTATATATCTACCTATCTGTCCATCTCTATCTCATTGGCCTACGTTATACTTTACAAGCACTGTAAGTGGTACTTTAAGCACTGTAAGAATGTAAGTGTAACTTATGCTTTGAGCGCTGTAACTTATCCTTTAAGCACTGTAAGTCAGTGGCATAGCTAGGGTTGGTGCCACCCGGTGCGGTAAACTCATGGTGTCTCACCCACCCCCGCCCCCTTTTTTTTCTTTCACGATAGATTTATTCTTGTTAAAATAAGTCCCCAGTATAACAATGACCAGAACAAAAACAATTTAATTAAAGGTAAATGTATTTAAGAACTGTAACAACGTTAAGTTATAATTATTTTTATTTTTTTACATCAATATACTTGAAAATGTTCCTTTCCTGGACTTCAAAGCTGTCACCTGTCAATCACTTGATTAAAATCAATATCCTTCCTCGAAGTCCATGAATTTGTGAAGTTCATTATCAGCTGCCATTAGGTGTCTTCTAGGCCTTGGTATTTCTTTAAAAAGTTCATCATAGAAAGAGGTTAATTTTGGAACGGAAACCAATAACTCTTCTTCACTTGCTGATAGCAGACTCTATGACTGAACAGCCCTAAACATATCTGCAACTACCTTGATCGCTGATGATCTGATCTGGGAGTCAGAATGAAAGCGATCAAAGCATCGCACTGCTGTTTACTTCTCGCAGAGAGAGTCCAGCTTCTATTAATTGTTCTCCTGCCATTCTCTTCTTGAACCTTAATCTTCTCTCTACCTAAATTCCATACTGATCTGAATTTTAGAGTGCTTTTTCAATAGCATGTTCTACCAATTGATAGCACTTTTCGTGCAGAAACAATCTTAAGACCTCTAGGTTTGTCACCACTTTGTCAAGAGTAAAGTAAAGCCTTTAGTCTTTAGATACAGTAATGATCTATGTGTGTAAGATTTACTTCCTCAAGTAGATCAGCCCAAAGGTAAATGTAGCAAATAAACGTGAAATCACAGGCAGCATGTAAAAGGCCTTGTGCTGTACCTCTGTGTATCCAAATTTTCAAGAGGATCTGGAGCTTCAATCGACGCCCCACAAGTATCAAACTCATCTTTCATTGTTTTAACAGCAGCATGATGAGCACTCCAACATGTTGTTGACAGTGTTGTTTCACCGAATTTCCAGTGTGTTCAATTAGAACATTCCATCGATGAGTGGATGCAGCAAAGAAGGAAAATATTCTTTCAAGAGTACTGAAAAATGTAATACATGTAGCAAAGTATTTCGGCAAAAGAGTGTTGACCACACAAGTTAAGCGAATGTTACACGCATCCATTAAAAATCACTTTCTTATTATTTCTTTTCAGAATGGCCTGAACACCTCTATGGATTCCAGACATTGTGGCAGCACTTTCGTAACCTTCAGCTTTGCACATCATTATGTCTAGCTCATCACGTTTTAGATTTGTAAGAATGTCAGAACTGAGGTCACCAGCTTTTTTCCCTCTTAACGGGAAAAATCCGAAAAACACTTCTCTCGCTTTAATTTCCCCATTGTGGATTTTACCGTATCTGATCACTTCAGACATCAGGTCAGTGTGTGATATATAAGGTGTACTGTCGAACATAATTCCAACATACCTCGCAGCCTTTATATCCATGATAAGAATCTCCTTCACATGATTTGCAAGGACATTTATAGATTCATTTTTGGGTTTCTGGTGAAAGATAAGATGTGGATGCTTTTACTGCACATCTACTCTTTTAGGTGCTCTTTTAGTACTGTGCCATATTTAGATAGCATCTCAACTATTTCAAGAAAGTTTACTTTATTCAGTGAAGATTCATCTTCGTTGTAGCCACGAAATGCCAGATTTTGCTTTGCAAGAAACAATGTGATATCCAGCAACCTGTGCAGGAAGTCCCTCCACTTTTGCTTCTCCCTGCCCATCACAGCAATACTTTCGGCATCATTTTGTGTGAGAATGTGTGTGTGTATCCTAAGTCCTGCTACCGATGCCTTCCACGTTTCAAGGCAACATAGGTGCTCTTCTGATACTTCATGATTTTATAATTTTGGGCTCAGCTTCCACCACTTATCAAATCCAATAACATATTTGTATGTTGTTTCTGTAACATTAACAGCAAATAATCTGCAACAAAAACAGTAAAATGTCTGACTGATGAGTGAATAAGCCATCTTCATCTACGACCGCAGTCTTTTCTCGCCATTTTGCAACATCCTGTAGAACCATTGTTTTTTTAGTTGGCGCACACCTCCTTTAGATTTGGCATCTTGCTTTGTCAGTGTGCTGAATGGTCCGTCCTTGTCACTACGCTGAATGGTCCGTCCTTGTCACTACGCTGAATGGTCCGTCCTTGTCACTACGCTGAATGGTCCGTCCTTGTCACTACGCTGAATGGTCCGTCCTTGTCACTATGCTGAATGGTCCGTCCTTGTCACTACGCTGAATGGTCCGTCCTTGTCACTACGCTGAATGGTCCGTCCTTGTCACTACGCTGAATGGTCCGTCCTTGTCACTACGGTGAATGGTCCGTCCTTGTCACTATGCTGAATGGTCCGTCCTTGTCACTATGCTGAATGGTCCGTCCTTGTTCTGAAACGAGGTTCTCCATATTTTAAAAATTTCAAACAGAAAATGATCTGGAACTAGTACATTCCCGCGACAAGCATCTGATAAAATGTGCCTGTTCGTTTTCATTATTCATTAAATTTACAGTAACTTGGTTTGAATCAACATTATCAGCAGACATTTCTGTTTCCAAACTATCCATGTCTTTTCCGTGTATGTTCACGTCAATCTTGTTCATTTTCTCCACTCTTTGGTGTATAGAATGCATGCTGCTGGTATCGAGGGAATCCTGGTCATCATTCGGTTTCTTGACATAGCGAAGGGTGGATCCTGGTAGTGAGTTTAGTCATTTAGGGTGTCTACTTAGACAGAACACTAACTATGGAAAAACCACATTAACATGCTTTGTAGGGCGATTTTTCTAGAGCTGCGCAGGATTAGTCATATCAGACCTTTCAAAGAGGCTGTGTTATCACGCATGGACTACTGTAGTTCTCTCATGGTCTCCCAGCTACGCTCCTGGGTAAAATTCAAAGAGCACATAATAATGCAGCTCGCATTGTTCTTCGCAAACGCAAATTCGACCATGCTAAATCACTTCTGAGAGAGCTGCACTGGCTGCCGGTCCCCGCTCGCATAGATTACAAAATTGCAACTTTGTGCTACCGCTGCTTACATGAAGCACTCATGACGCGCGGTTGTGTTTTTGACACAAATGTTTGTTGTTGTTGTTTTGGGGGGGGGGGGGGTCTCTCATTCCTAGGAGTGTCTTTTCTTAAGTGCAGGGATGCAACAGTGGGTGGGGAGGGGTTTATAATGACAAATAGACTACTTTGTGTACCCTACTTTAATATATGGATGTTCCTTTCCTATCCTATTCACATAACAAGGGTACATTATCATTGATTCTTTTGCAGCTTCCTTAAAAAATAATTCTATGGAAACAAATTGTATAAAATTTGAGAAAGCTTCATAACACAAAAATTGGTTGCATTATTGTAATCAGATCATGGAGGTCTAGGAAACTGCCCTCATGTTCAGAGGTACTTCAACAAACAATAATAATACAACACCATCAATGAAACTCAGACACATGATCTATGAAAATGATATTTATTGACCATCCATGCAATTGTTGTTTTTTTTTAAATGGTTAAGAGACACAATGGGGTAGATAAATGATGCCATGAGATGCCAACTATTAAGGAAGAGATGAACAAACAACACATATTGACAATACTAAATGCTACAACATACCAGTGCCCTTTTTTTAATGTGTGATATAAGGCACCAGAACAGGATCCCAGCACCATTCTTTGCTGGCTTTTTTTAAAAAAATGCTTCCAATGACCAAATGCAAATTACTTTTTTTAAATGTGTTGTTTCATTTCAATTTTAACATTTATTTATTTATTTTTTTTTTTTTTAAATAGCATAACATGATTTCTGGTACCTTTTTTTATACACACACCAAAAAACCAATGCACTGTTCTATGCTGTCCCCCAATGAATGGCAGACAGCTGTGTAATACTACCACTTTTGATTGGTGCTTTTTGTTATTTTTTAAAAAAATGCTTCCAATGACCAAATGCAAATTACTTTTTTTAAATGTTTTTTTTCATGTCAATTTTAACATTTATTTATTTATTTTTTTTTTTTTTAAATAGCATAACATGATTTCTGGTACCTTTTTTTATACACACACCAAAAAACCAATGCACTGTTCTATGCTGTCCACCAATGAATGGCAGACAGCTGTGTAATACTACCACTTTTGATTGGTGCATTTTGTTGTCAGGCCCACTGGTGTATTCTGGGATTACATGATTGCTCTTCAACATGCCAAGCATTGCCTTGGATAATCTAACAACAGCTGCAAAAAGTCATTCACAACCTTTGGTCAAGAGAGAGGCAAAGACAGGTAAAAATACAAACATCATTTAGATATTGTTTTATCAGTTTTAAAAAATGCCATGTCGCAAACAGTAATGATACAGTAAGATACTTGAGTGACCACAGGTTGCATGTTCATTGAATGGATGGTTTTGTTTTCTCTGTATCTTATTTATTCTTAAAGAACAAATTTCTGTCTAAGACTAAAAACAGCTATGAATATATATACAAGTTAAAAAATAATTCATACAAAATCCTAATTTTAAAATGTCTGCGACATACTGCAGGTTGTTCTTACAAAAATTGTTATTTTCTGTTTACAAAGAAGATACAAGTCAACCACATCTCCTATCAATAAAAAAAAAAATGGGTGACTGTCCCCATCCAAACTATCCACTAACCAAAAAAAACAAAAAAAAACCAGCAGAAATGTACACAAAATAACTGTAGGGTGATTTTTGTTCATTCATGTGGAGTAGAGATAACTCTGATAAAGTTATACAAATGATGAGTCACTCCCTTCTTTCAAAGGGCTGATGTGGCTATGTTAACCACATATTATATAATGAAATGTGAGATAAAGTTAATGTCTGGTCCGTACTGCAGTTGTAGAGGTACATCATACACAAAAAAAAAAGAAGACTGTCAAAATATATAAGACAGACATACAATAAATAGAATCACTCATGGTTGCTTAGATTTTGCATTTTTATGTATATAAAAAAAAAGATCCATCATTGTTACACAATAAGAAAACTTTCTGTTTACTTATTTGTACAGAAATTGAATGGAGAAAAAATCATTTTTTAATTCAGCTCTAATCTTTCAACTGACATGAAACAACATAAATCGTTTATTAAATGCACAAATATATGTATAAAATCAGGAACTATTTGTTCCCACAGAGATCATCTATCTTCCTTTAAAATTTTAATTTATTTTATTTTTGTTACATCTATTCTCCTTCAAATTTCTATTCATTATTAATTCTTTTTGGTAACCAGTTCATTTTCTTTTAAATTGACTTCAAAAATTCAATGCCTTGGTAGTGTGTTAGCAACCAAGAAATTATTTCAAACCCTAAAAATTAAAATAATTTTGAAGTGTTTTTAAAGTAAAATGTATTTTATTTTTTTTACAAATTGTTAAAATGAGATTATCATAGGTACTTGCTGCATCAATAAGTAGAACACAAATGCATTCATTAAAAATATTTTAAAATGGGGAAAATACATGTTCTACTGTTACTCAAATATGTCTTTATGATATGGGTGCTTCTGATTACACATCTGTGTCATACCAGAGGTTTGGGTTGTCACCTGTCGGTGGGCCAAGTGCTGGGTCCAGATTGTCAAAGTTAATGTCACCAGGGTTCGCCAAATCAGGTAGGTTGTCCATAGGGCCATAGTTGCTGCCATGCTGGCTCCCTATGTCCAAACCTTGCATGGAGTCGATCGGCACTTGTTCATAACCTTTAAATAACAATTGTATCAGAATTAGATGTAAAAAAAATTATCACTAACTTACTTGTATTGGTTTATAACCAACAGCTTGAGCTCTATGTGAAGATAGTAATAATTAAGGGAAAGCTAATCCAGCAGTACATGAAGGGATTTAAGCGTATTTATGATGATAAACTTGAGATCAACAAAAACAGATATTTAAAAACTGCAGGTTTTTATAAACAGATGCTTGAAAAGGATACTAATAATAAGATGGTTTGAGAAAATTCACATTACTGTCCTTTCGAAGAGAACATCAAGTGTCCCAGTGGAAACCAAGATACAAAAAAAAAAAATCGAGATCGATAGGGCACACAGTATGTTGATGGCCTATGCTCTATCGGGAGTGAGAAAGGCTAAGAAGAAGAAGATGATAAAACCATGCATACATAAATTAAATCTTTCTTCACAAGTTTTGTATTTGACTTTCTTTAAAATCCTTTACCTGTGGGCCCTCGTCCCATGTCATGATGCCCACCTCCATACATGCTACCTTGAGAACCGTGTGGGTTGTACATGTGGTCTCTTGAATCTTCCAGTGGCATTGTCATATCTTCAAATCCAGGGGGCTGGAAATGATAAAAACAACATTAATTCTTTTACTGATATTTAAGTGGAACGAATTTCCTGTTTTACTTTTTAAATAAACTCCTTTCCCCATGCCTTCTTGATGATATGAACAAAACAACAAAAAAAAAACAGTCTCACACAAACAGTGAAAATATTATGTTTAAAAATGTGTTATGTACCAGTATACAGCAATTAATTTTTAAATCCTTGTAATTTGAAAAGGGTTCTCTCTTTGAATGACTGCATCAGTTTCATTGGTCATAGTCAGCAAATCCATTATCTAATGATTTTTAAACTCACATCAGTCCAGTTAGGATCCCCACGATAAAGAGAGCTGGTCAGTTCCATTGATAAACGCTTCTTGTAATCTTGGGGTTTATCTTCAGACATACGAAACAAAACTGCTGCAGCATACGTAGCTGAAAATAACAAGAAACAGAAAATTAGCATGCCGTTTTATTTTCACTATTTAGCAATAAATTATTTTAAAAAACTTAATGTCTAATGAGGTTCGTGTTCAAAATTGTTGCAATATTTCTTTAATCTGTTGTACCTTGCGAACCAGTTCATTCCATATCCCATATATCTTAGCCCAAAAGCAAGACTATGAGAAAGTCCTATTTAATTAGTTTTCTAACATGAATGGAACATTTATTAGTTAGTTCCCATTAATGGTGTAAAAATGTATTTTAAATGCAATGCACTTGAAATTTGACATCCATTTTCTGAGTGGACTAATGGGGGTGTTGAGCAAATTTAATTCTAAGATTAATTTTTTTTTTTTTTCAAATGATCTAAACGGTAAGGAAAAAATTATTGCTATCTTGACCAGTATGCATTTGCGATCACAAAATTAAACTTGAAACAATATATTTTCTCAGACATGAAGCCCAGCATGTATTATGAACTTTGAGAGTAAATTTCATAACTTTAATACATATCATTATAACAGAACTATAATTTAATTTTTCATTTAATTTTTTACAAATTTTTTTTGAAGAATAATTTCTTGCTTTTAAATGATTTTTAAGATTCAATTAATGATCACCATGTAAAATTTCATAACAACACTCAAATAACCTAGTTTTAAAATATGTGACATTAGAATAAAATTTGAAAGATAATTCCTTGCAATGATATGCAATGTAATTCCACTGATGTGCTACGTACTTGCAATGGCGATGGGTTTGATATTATTATTATCATCAAGCACATTTGACTTTAAGCTACTTACCAACTCCCTCATTCCTGGAGTGCAAAAGTTCAGTGAGAGGAGCAGTGGCTCCCTCTTGTTCAATCATTTCAGCTCCTTCTTTGTCAGCTGCCAGTTCACAAAGTACTCCTGCAGCCACACGCTGGATATTTTCAATAGGAGAGTAAAGGAGCTGAAACAAAAACATGGAACAAATTTTCAATTAAATTCAAGTACAGTGCAATTATGCCAGGTGGGAAACCTACACATTATTAACACAATAATGTTTGATATTACACAAGGTTATAAACATTCACCTGCACAAAAAGAGGTATGCAGTTAAGTCCTCTGATAACAGCCCTGTTGTGAGCCTCACGTGCCAGAATGTGTAAGGCACCGACAGTGCCTTCTACAATTTCTTCCATGCGAACACCATCAACATAACCAGTAAGAGGCGGTCCATTAGAGCTGATTGAGGCTCTCTAAAACAAGAATAATTTAAGTACTAAAGACATCTGACATACTACAGTATAAAAAGCAACAAAATAAAATATGTCATTATATTGATCCATTTCTAACTAATATTAAAGAGATAATTATTTAATTATTATAATCCAAACTAGTTTTGCAGACCTGTTTACCCTCAAACTCTTAAAATCCTACAAAATCATCACAAAATCGTTCAATACGTTATCTTAATAGTAAAATAAAATCATGCAGTATATATAATGTATACACCTGAAAATCGTACATTGTACGCCAAAATCGTAAGAGTAAACAGGTCTGGTTTTGTAATATTACAATAAACTTTATGTGACAACAGTGGTGAGAAACTGACCACAAAAATATTTTTTTTAAAAATCATTTCAACTCATTCACTGTTGCGACAAAATGTATCATTCATGGGTTCCAACAGATGCACCCAAATGTGTTCCGGTGCATAGAAAAACACTTCTCATTTTTATTTTAAAATAGCAATGAAATCTGAAGTCCCTCAAGACTTCCGGTGATAGCATGATTCGGCCCGATTTCAATTTAAGAAGCAAAAGTTTTATCTTGTTTCACTTCCCATCAATGTGTGTTTTAGTAAATTGCGTCTACATATAGCATATGTTCATCCGAGGTGCCAAAAATCTATTTTAGTCATTGCTTGTTGGCTGTTAATGTTATATTTTTATATAACACTATTCATTTCTGGATGCATTTAAATAATTCCTTAACATTAATTATTATTTAACGACTCAATTCTTTTTTTTACAAATATAAATCAAACGCAAAACAGAGTTACTTCTCTTACTCAGGAATAGAAATTAAGAATGGAAGTAGCACTGCCATCAGGATGGGTTAAAGATAATTGATAGTTGTCTGTCTAAAGACCGTGTGTAATGTTTCATAAGTTTGTATCCTAATGAACCTGGTCAAACATTTTTAGTGTAGACCTAGCTTAGCTAAAGCTTTTAACCTATCTCTAACACTAGCTTTTCACCTAGACTGCTCATTTCTTAATTTACAATATTCATGCACTCAGTGTATTGAAATAAAAGATATTAATTTAGCAGTAACATACTCGCTGGGTATCTTGGTGAGCTCTTATTAGAAGCTGAACAATCCTGGGAAGAGCACCATGCTCTCGGAGAGGGGCATGGTTTGCAGGGCAGAGGGCCAAATTTCTGAAATAAATAATACAATAGTTAAGAAACTTTAGTTCATAAATATTTTTAACTTATTTTAAACAACAATAATTTTAACATTATACACTTGAAGGTAGAGAATGAGAGAATTTCAGCTTCGGCGCCGAAAGTTACCATTTGATCACTTTCGCCCTAGTTTCGGTTTCAGCGAAACGGAAAAGTTATCTTTGGGTTTAATTTCAGTGTCTGCTGAAACAGAAAAGTTAACTTTCGGTTTAATTTTAATTTCTCGTGCGAAGATACTGATCTTCCATCGAGCGCTTCCCCAGGTGGTGGATAGGGGAAAGCCCCCCAGATATGGAGGTACCGGGTAAATAAAATACCTGGGGCGGACCAAAATCAGAACCTACTGCCTTGTAGGAAGTGGAAGGATCCACAAAGGCTAGGGAACCTTACCCAAAAACTAAGGCAGATGCCCAGAGAGCTGTAAGGGGCAGCCCCCCAGACGGTTATGCGCAGGGTTAACAACCCAGCCATGTAAACAAATTAGTGTTACGAAAGCTAATCAACAGAATAAAACCCTGACAGATACCAATGGAAATCGATCTATGCCTGGATATGGACATTTTTGGATTGCAACTTGGAACGTACTAAGCCTGTTTAGAGCAGGAGCCTTAGCCAACCTTGTAAATCAACTGGTTAAATATAAAATATCTATTGCTGCATTGCAAGAAATTCAATGGGAAAATTCAGACATCCTCAAAACAAAAGAATATACCATATTTTTTAGTGGTAACAACACCAACACACTAGGAACAGGATTTACCATGAAAAAAGAAACAGTCAGTGCAGTCATAGACTTCAAACCAGAAAATGAAAGATTGTATTCTTTACGTGTGTGAGGAAAAATGTTCAATATAACATTCATAACTCTACATGCTCCCACCGAAGATACGGAAGATCAGGATAAAGAATCCTTTTATGAGACACTGGAATAGATCTACAAAGAGACACCACAACATGATATTAAAATAGTAACTATTGGCAAGAAAAGTCTGCATGAAGAATCCAATGAAAATAGGATCCGACTCATAGATTTGCTGTAGGAAAAGGGATGTCAGTTAGCAGCACCAAGTTTCTGCACAAAAATATACATAAAGCTACTTGGAACTCACCAGATGGAATCACCCACCCACAATTAAATTGACCATGTTCTAATAGATCGGCGGCATGGATCAGATATACTAGATGTAAGAAGCTTTCGAGGAGCAGATGCAGGCTCTGACCATCTACTTGTAAGGGTTAAAAATAAGCAGAGAATAAGCATAATTCACAATAGTCGTAATCAAAGAGAGAAACGATACGATTACTAAAAGCTCACCAAAGACCCACTAACTGCAAAAGCTTACCAGAATGAAGTAGAAGCACAGCTAGAAGCATTACAGGAGGAAGTAAACAGGGAAAACAACATAAATGAACAGTGGAATAAGATAAAAAATGCAATGAAAAGATCAGCAGAAAAAGTAGTAGGATTCCAAACAAACAATAAAGTAGGCTGGTTTGATAATGAATGCAGAGAGACTGAGGAAGAAAGAAACAAAGCACGAATGATCATGTTACAAAGGGAAACCAGAAAGACAACACAAACATACAAGGAAGACCGAAGGAAAGCCACAAATATGTGTAGGAAGAAAAAGAGGCTAAACTAAAAGAAATAGAAGATTTGTCAAGAGAGGGAAACATATGAGGAATGTACATGAAGATAGAAGGCCTCATAACAGCAGAACTGATTAAATATGGAGGAAAAGAACTACACACTCAGATACATAAACTAAAATTTGGCAAGAAGAGAAAGTCCCAACAGAATGGGAAACAGCATTAATAACCTCAATGGACAAGAAAGGCTCCAAACTTCAGTGCACAAACTACAGAGGAATCTCCATATTAAATGTTACATACAAAATACCGACAAATACTTATTGCCAAAATACCACAACCTTACACTGAAGAAATACTAGGTGATTACCAATGTGGATTCAGGCAAAACAGATCAACGACTGATTAGATTTTCACCATCAGATGCCTATTAGAGAAATGCTATGAATATAATATACCAGTACATCAACTCTATGTGGACTATAAAATGGCCTATGACAGCATCAAAAGAAAATATCTATATGAGACTCTGCAGGAGTTTGGCATACCCAACAAACGGACAAGACTGATACATGTAACACTAAACAAGTCAAAAAGCAAAATCAAGCTTCAAGGAGAATATTCAAGGGAATTTCAGATTAGACGAGGCCTAAGACAGGGAGACTCAAAGGCAGACCTAGGCTTAAATGGATGGATGATGTGAAAAAAGATCAACAACACAGGGGTGCCACTCACTGAAAGCTGTGAACCCTGAAATCCCTTTCTAAAAATTTCTTGAAACCTGAAACTTCATTTACAAATTTTTCAATCCCTGAAACTTAATGAAACTCAAAATTCCTGATTATCGCAATGCGGCGTTTTTGTTGAATAATATAAAAACAACCAGGAAATTGTCAAATAAAACATTGAGATACATCACAAATGAACAAAATTAAACAATTAAGGTGTATACATGTAAATATTTATTAAATTTCTTTGCAGTAACAATTTTTCAATTTACTTAGACTTGAAAAGTCAACTTTTGCATTGTGTTCCCTGGGCATTTTGGAACAAATGTATAGCTACCACAAGTGGAAAGCATATTTTCTTATATGGAGTTCATGTTCTCTTCTTTAATGATGAAAATGGATAGTTTGAGTCAACATACTTTAGTGATTAGTCTCTATAAAATATCCCAAGTGTGAGAGTTTCATAGTTTGACACATAAATTTCATAAATTGAGAAGTTACAGAAGTGGAAACCTAAGATAGGTGATAAAGCTGGTATCATCAGATGATTGACTCAGACAATCTCCCCTTGAATACTTCATATCAATATTTCCAGCATAGTATTCATTGATGAATTATTTAATCATGATTGCCAATTGTAGACTGTAGGCTAACTGCAATGCCCATCAGTTCTTTTAAGTTAAAGGAACTGTTGGGCATTACATTATTTTATTGAGCCTAGATCCTGAATATTGAAACAAAATAAAATATATTATCATATTAGATTTATAATTTATAGTAAGGCATAGATAATAAAAAATATAGACTATATTATACCAGTAATAAACTACAGCAATACAGAGCATTATGAATAATTAAATTAGTAATAGACTTAATAGTAGAATTACTGTAAATTGTAAAGACTAATAAATACTAAAGTATACCCAGAGTCAGAACACAGGCGCGCATAACTAATAAATAAAGACTCACTAAGTACAGTTATGTCAGGCTCACTACAGAACGGATAAAAATAACTTAAACATATTAGTCTAATCAAAATTAGAAGGCTTACTCCGTAATTAAATGTAAAGTTAACTTAAGAAGTCTTTTTTAACAAGTTAAACGACGCTTAGCTCTTCTAATAAAAAAAAAATACATGTAGCCTGCATACAGTAAAACATAACAAAGTACGCTAAGCTTAGTCTTGTTAGGCAACGCTTGGACGAGTAGTTTTCTATTTGTGATAGTGGCTACCCAACAATTTAAAACTAAATTAAAAAGATTTTGCAAGATTATTTACTAAATTTTACACTCTGCTTACCCAAACACTTCAAATATCTCTTGATCGGTGACGTGAACAGAAAATAAATATTTCTGGTCTATCGAAGTAGTACGGTACTGGAAACAAGTAGTGTAAAGCTCAATGCGCATGCGCGAGGGGAAATCACTAGCGCTCTGACAACAGAAAGGCTAAAAATAGACGTGATCGGCGATTTACGTCCATTTTCAAGGTTTTTCGCGAATTCTGTTACACTTTGATTTTTTTCTTTTAAACCCAGACAGAATCCGTATTTGAATAAATTGAACTGGCGAATCCGGAATGAGAGAATATAAAAACTCGCGAATCCGGAACTGAAAAATATTTAGACTCACGAATCCGGAATTCCGGGATAACCCGGAAAAGTGGCACCCCTGCAACAACAACTGAAAATCGAAGCATGGAAAAGAAAAGCATTAGTTAGGTCTGAGTGGAAGGAAGTAGTGAGGCAGGCCAAAGCTCTACATGGGCTGTAGCGCCACAGGGATGGATGAATGGATGGATGGATAGATTATTTTCAGTTTCAGACACAACAGAAAAGTTAACTTTCTGTTAAATTTCGGTTTCGGCCAAAAGTGATTGAGACTTTTAGCCACCTGGTTGAAAGTGACTCAGGTTTTCGCTCATCTCTAGCCCAGCAATCCAATATTCCTTATTGCTCATCATACATTATATGACTAATACTCTGCGAGCACTGCTCACAGCCGCATGATGACCTAAAAATTAAAATTTCAATTAAGCCTAGTCAAATGTAAATAGTTTTGTGGAAGAAAAAATAATGGAATGGAAATATTTGTATCATTATGTTTGTTTTAATGTTTTCAAAAATAAAATTTGGAACCCTAGGTTTATTCAATTCATTCATTTGTGATATTTATTTTGATTTATCATTATCATGCCCATCAATGGTAATATTTCCATTATTAGTTGCTTTTTTTTTGTTTTTTTAAATTAAAATTAAGGAAAATTAGGCCTTTTCAATTGATTCATTTCTTGAAATTCATCATTATCATGCTCTTAAACGTTATTGATGAAACAAATACGTGTGCATGTATCACTGGTTCATATAATACTAATGTATACCTGTTTACTTTTATGATTTTGGCAATCAATTTAGATAGATGTCTTTTTCAATGCTCTGTCGAGACCCGTTAGAACAACAATTTTTAGAGACCCGGTTAAAAAAAAATTTACCCCCATCAATGGGAAGGTTGGTCGCCGAACGAAATAATTACGTCACCAGCATGGAAAGACTAATGTGTTGGTACTAGGCGAACTATTAAATACGATATCTTGCCAGATTTTTATGAAAACACAAAGCATTAGTGTAATGATAACCGCAAAACATAACTGATATTTAGGTGATAATTAGCTCAATTAGAGCCACAATAATTATTGTAGATGTAAGTCTTGGTAGCGATATTATAAAAGCAAAGGGCACTCAAGGGTCTATTTTGCAAGAATTTAACCCAACCCCGCTCCCCTGGCCAAATTTTCTCTTCCCATACTACTTTGAAATATATTTTTAATAAATTTAAATGACTTTTAAATTAAAATGGCAAAAGCAAAAGTATTCAATAAATGTTTAGTTATTAACTTTCACGATGATCTCATTTTTTATAAAAAGTATTGATACTTTCCCCCCATCATTTTTCGATGTATGCAGAATGTATGTGTGAACGAATTTCAAAATATCTAAATATTTCGGTTTCTGACGAAAGTCTCTCTAAGCTTTTGGTTTCGGCTTCGGTTTTGGAAGAAATAAGAAAAATCACCTTTGGTCAGTCTCTATTTGAAAGCACAAAATGAATTATCACATACCTGATGAGGCCAACAACTGCTTTGATTAGGGGCCAGCGACTTGGAGGATGAAGAAGCTTAACAAGAACAGGTAGACCGTAGTGTAAACGGACAGCATTTTGAGCCATCTCAGCCTCTGGATGACGTGAGGTCAGATGACGCAAGGCACACACCTAAAAACATTATTTCATCAATGAAGCCTGTCAAGACAAATTAATTCCTAGCGGATATTGATACTTGTGCCATGGCCTCCAATTAGGTAATTAATGCTATTAAACTATTTTATTTTTAATGACTTAATTTAAAACTTAACATTGCATAAAATCATCTAGGGGTTAAAAAAACCAACTCACGGCAGGTTCAGTAATATCCTCTCTGTCACCTGCTTGCATGATTGTTCGAACAAGCGCTTCAATACCGCCAACCTGGCCCACGATAATTTTGTTTCTTTGATTGTTGCAGGTTAGGTTAGAAAGAATGCCAGCAGCACAGGTGACCATGTTGATGTCATTTGTTGCCAACAGCTGGACAAGCATGTGCAGAAGATTGTCCATTTGTTCCTGATAATAAAATAAAATATGTTAAAATAGAACATTTTTCAAACAGTGAAGAATGACTTATTATAAGACTTAGAATTCATAGGATGCAGACTATTTCTTAAAAGCTTTAACAATTACAGAAGATACACACTAGATTTGCTATACATAAGTAGATGATCTTACCATCTTGGTAGCAGCATCTGACAAATTTCTTAGAGACCATAGGCAGTTTTGCACAAGTCGTTGACTCTGATGATTTAAATGCATGGCCAGTGCTTGCATGCCTCCTGTTGGAATTTACATTTTATTGAATTTATAAAAAATGGAATAGCAGCCAGCATTCTTATTTCGGACATAGGTATGGTATATAGGTAACATATAGCTATTCATAAATGCATTCATTTGTTCAACATTTAATAAAGCCAATCACCAGATCTGTTTACCTTAAAACTCTTAAAATCGTAAAATGTCATCACAAAATCGTTCAATACGTTATCTTAATAGTAAAATAAAAACATGCAGTATATATAATTTATAAACCTCAAAATCGTACATTGTATGCCAAAATCGTAAGAGTAAACAGGTCTGCAATCACACACAAAATACACTGAAGTTTTTTTTATAATAAGTTTGACGTGTTTACTGACCAGCTTCTACAATGGCTGGCTTATTGCTGGAGCACACGGACAAAACCTTCAGAACTCGAGATGTGGTCCAAAGAAGTTTCTCATATGTGTATGACTTCATAATGCGAACAAGTTCCACTGGTCCACCACTGGCAAGGATGATAAGCTGTAATAAATAGTTACAGGCATGATTAAAATCTATGGTAAGTCGACAGTAAAACTGTAAGTTCCCATCAAAGATTACACTACAATTAGGACCTAGTAAATTATGGAATTTGAACATGTATTGCTAAATAGTTTGGCTGAAGATAATGTGTTCAAATGTTTAACAGCTTTAACAGCGTATTATCTTCAAATGTGGTAAATAACATCAGAATTACAAACACTGCTAATGATCTTATCTGGTATAAACTGCATGCCAACATCAGGGCATGAACACATGACTTCCAAACCACCAGGATTTAAATAATTGACAATGCACCTTGCTTTCTTGGTTTCCATAGGCCAGAATTTGCAAGCAGTCTGTGGTTATTGCTAAAAATTTGACATTGTTGTTGCGCTGCAGCAGAGCCACCATCTTCTGAAGGCCACCAGCAAGGCGAACAGCCATCTTTGATCCCTCTTGGTGGAGGAGCAGGTTGTGTAAAGTAGTGATCGCGTAGAAAAGCACAGACTCTAGTGGAGAGCTGTAAGAAAATGAATATGAACTTTAGTCATATTACTCTGTTTTAAAATAATGAACTAATTTTCTGATACTATTCCAGCAAGATCTGTCGCATTCCTGACGCCCATTATGAAGAGTAACTTCATTTATGAAAACTGGTCAGCAGCACTTATAGGTCAAAACCCAAAAGAATTTAAGTTATCTTTCTAATTTTTTAAACATGATTCTTGATTCTGTTGGTTTATGTTATTGAGACGATAATTTCATATTCATTAAGTTGAAAATGCTGAGAGGTGCAAACAAAAACAAACCTAAGCAGCTTCACTAAAGCAGGAATGCCCCCAGATTTAAAGATAGCCAATAAGCCTTGTCTGTGATGTGATAGGTTGTGGAGAGTTCCTGCTGCACAGCGAGTTGTTTCGATGTCTTCAGTGTTAGCCATCGCTCGAATAAGAGCTGTGATCATCTGTGGGGAGTTCATAATGGCATGACGACTAGCCTCCTTCTTTGACAGCTGATGAACCATCATAGCAGCCTGATAAACTACCACCTGATCTTCATCATTCAGCAGTTTGATTAGCTCAGGAATGGCACGGGTTGCCAAATCAGCATCATCCTGTGGGGAAAGAAAATTTGAAAGTCATTTCAATCACTCCTCTATCATATATGTCAAGTATGGAAGTTAATTGATAATTGTTGCGACTAATATTATGTTCATTACGCGCTGTGTGTGTTTGTGAGTTTCATAAGTTAGTGAACGCTCTTCCTGTGCTTGAATTGGTGACGTATTGTTATGCTGATTGTGACGTATTGTCAAAGACTGTATTGTGACAAAAGCTTTATTCATCTGGCAGTCATGAATGGAACTTAGTAGAAGTAGGATGTGTTTTATTTATGTCTGATAGCAAGCTGTGCTATATGCATGTGTTTATGTGTATAGTATATACTTAGATATTAAAGTTATAATTATTATGAAAAGGACTTGAGTTTATTCAGTGATAGTAAGAGATGTATTTCAACGTGTGAAAGAACTTGACGAAATAATCAATCCAGTAGAACATAGCAGTTGACAATATATATATTTATCTGTTGTTTCTTAAATAGTTTATCAAATATTTAATAACTGCAAAAGACATTACATGTTACATTTTGGTTTCCAAATTCTTTATTTTTAAATTTAACTTTAAAAAAATATACATGAACTCGACTAAGTTGTTGGCTGAAAAGAGCTAATGCAAGAAAGTCAACAACTTCGCTCTAAAATTCTCACTAACATTAAAACACTTCCTTAAAAATTCTTCAGATTTACTGTTTCATACTAACAGTAATCTTGTGCAAAAATAATTCATCCTTATAGATTCCTGTACTTATCTAAACTTTCTTTACCTTTATATATTTTAAAAATAAATAACTCAATACCTGGTAGTTGATAAGATTAACAACAGCGTGTTTAAGCATTTGTGAGGGTTCACTTAATCTCTGAACAGCTGTGGGCTGGTCAGGCTGAATTTGGGTAGATGGGATCTGAACACCCTCAGGCATGGTTTCAGGAAACATTGCAGCTCGTACACGCTGTGACCGGGTCTGGTTCAATTGTTGATTAATGTCTGCAACAAGATACAAAGAAAAATAAAGCATTCAAGAATTGATATGAAAGGATCAAGAAATGTTCTTATAAAACTTAACATGTCAAATTTCTGAAACAAATTGCCTATTTCTAAAAAAAATGTAATACCATCAACTTGCTCCTGGTTGTAGGCATCACCACCGAGACCCCAATCAAACATCATTTTTGAGGGATCCATCTCTCCATCATCCACTTCATCTCCGTGGCTCTTACTACTAATAGATGGCGCCTGAAAATATTGCAGTTTTTAAGCATGACAAATATGCTACATATAAAGTGCAAGTAGCAAATTTAATACATACAAAATAAACCCCCCAAAAATGGTTACAATTTACAGTTGCAATAAATCAAACACTAAATCTTACCTGGGTTGTCTGTCCAGAGTGAATACCTGAATCACTCATATACTGATTCTGCTGCCACATCATTGTCTGCTGTTGCTTATTGTCCACAGGCATGTTACTTAAATCCATATAACTTGGCTCACCAGGTGAAACCACTGAGGTTGAAGAAAAATAATTAGGGTTTCATTATTTAATGAAAAAATGCTGGGAATTTTGTACACTAATATCAGTATGAATTTTTTGTTAAATGGTAAGGACTTTGGACTTTGAATGCTTTAAAATTTTGAATTTAACAGTGAAAATTTTCTGTACTTTAACATTCAAACAGGTTTGGAATTTAATTGCACGTTTTAATAGATTTTACTTGATCAATAACATTGTAAATGTTTCATTTACATATGAGGCACGAAATTCATTTGAGGATAAATAATATACCTATTGTGAGTTAATGCAAGAGTATGCATGAAGGATCAATTTATGGGTGAAGACAAGTTTTATCTTGATAATAGGCCTGTTTTTTCAAAGGTTTAGTTAAGTCAAACATCTAACTAATAGCGCTACTTAAAAGTTAAAGACTGTCATAAATATTGCTTAAAAGAAATTGTGAAATATATCAATGGGACTGTAGCTATTAATTAGTGTCGTTGTTGAGTCCAAGCTAGTATAATATAATTCACTTACTTGCCCTTGTAGGGCCGTTGCCTGTATTCAATTGATAGCTGCTCATTTTGGCAATAGCGTGTCAAGTATCTATCAAAAATAAAAGATGTGATAATATAAATTAAAGCAGTAAACCTTCAATGAGAGCATTATACTATATTTACAATAAGTAGTTCCAATCTATACAAAAACTGCCAGCTTAGGTATTACAATATAGAATTTTTTTGGCAAACTGGTAATCAGTTTTAGCATCCCATTTAAAACCAAAAATCGTTATTACTGGCCTTTATACTATAGTAGGTACTGCAATAAGCATTAGTAAATTGAAAAATTCGTAAATCAGAATCAGTTATGAAGAAGAAACGAATAAATTATAATTTTTTTACACATTAGGAAAAAATTACAAAAATTACAGAAAGTTGATAAGGCCACAAGTTATAAACTCTAAGAGATCACCTGAATAAATGCCAGGTTTCGTCTGAGAAATTCATAAATATGAAGTTTTTATTTCATGTGCTTTATTAATTATTAGTTTCAATTTATTTTTAACCTTGCTTGTTATCAAGTCTTAATACTGAAGTAGACTTTGTTTAAGAAGATGATCAGCGTTGTGTTGTACTTTATTGGCATACGGTAACAAATTGGGATGTCATTAAAAAAAACCTACCAAGTCACTTGAGATTTATTTTTTAGGAAAAGCAGTTTTAAACAAATATAAAAATAATAATAAATATCCATTATGCTTTTCTCATTAACAAATTACTGTCTCATTACGACCACAAACTGTATATTGTGTGAAAGGAAGAGTGCTATTAAAAATCATACGCTGTTTTGTGTGTTTTATAAATTTCAAGGCCCTCTCAGATCCTATGAAATATGTACTCTCCACTGTCAGCCATAAGAAATAATTGAGAGAAAAATGGGGAAAAAAAAGCCCCTAAAACCACTATAAATAGCCAAAAAAAAAGTAAGAAATTAGAAGAAATAAAATCAGCCGATACATAATTTTTCGTGATTATCGGCCGCTATCCTTTACCTGAACCCTAAATCTAACCCTGACCTGAACCCTAAATCTATCACTAACCCTAAATCTAACCCTGACCTGAACCCTAAATCTATCACTAACCCTAAATCTATCCCTAACCTGAACCCAAAATCTATCCCTATACCAAACCTGAACCCTAAAACTAGCTCTAAAGCCGCAAGTAAAGAAACATTTGGCATTTACTACACACTACACTGTGGCAAGAAAACTATGAAAATGAACAAAAACTCTCTCATTTCTTGCATTGTTTGCGTTATTTTATTATTTTTTTTAAATGTTCACAATTTTCTTTCATTAAACAATTTTATTGAAATAATTTTTTTTTTAAATTATATTAATTTCATTGGGTTTTTTTTCCCATTAAAAAAATCTTCTAAAATTGCTTATTTACCTGAGTTTTGGTAATTAGTTGAAATAACACATTCTCTCCCATTTTTTCCCCCCACTGCCGCCATTTTTTTGCCTTGACCTGTGAAAGAAGGTCACGGGTCAAGGCAAAAAAGATGTCAGCCGTGAAGAAAAAACATGGCATCAATTTTCTGCATTTACCTACATTTTTCTCAAATAAGAACAGGAAAGTTATGGTGCGCTTTGTTCAGGTCCAACTATTCACCTTTACATTAACGAAGTGTCTACACGTACGGCACGCCAGACAAATAGTGAAAGGGGAGATATACTTCCGGCGGGCATGTCACGTGACCGCCGGATGAATAGTAGGCGTTATTATTCCGGCAGGTCATGTGACAAGTGGTTGCCGGCAAAATAGTTGTATTGCATTTGATATTCCGATCACTAGATAATAAATAAATGCTGAACATGTTAATATATTCAAATGCTCTGACTCTGAGATACATAAAGTGTTTGACTTTGAATATTAAACTAGTCGGCCTATAGTATATACTAACTAGTAGTACTATTACTACTACTATTAGCCTACTAGTCTATTTTTCAACTCTTCAAAAAAAAAAATTCCCATATCTTGGTTAATACATATTGTAAAGCTCTACCTTGAAGCCTAAATTTAAAATATGAATAAAATAAAATAAGACCAGTAGACTTCAATAGACCTATGTCAATAAAGTTGTATTTCAGGATAAAATGAGTAAAACAGAGTATGGTTAAACCTGAAAAATTAAACGTAACAAAACAGCGAACGTGTCGGCAGAAAGCCTTCGTCAGCGAACAAAATAACAGAAAAAACGTTATAAAAATAAGAAATAGCACTTAGCTGGTAAGTAGTNTATTTCTTATTTTTATAACGTTTTTTCTGTTATTTTGTTCGCTGACGAAGGCTTTCTGCCGACACGTTCGCTGTTTTGTTACGTTTAATTTTTCAGGTTTAACCATACTCTGTTTTACTCATTTTATTTTGTACTAACCTGATTGCAGTCTCTCCCCTTATTACCCCTGTATTTCAGGATTAGTATTTAGAATTGCATGAGAAGTAGGCTACCTCTATATCGGCTCTACATTAAGATGTAAGGTATATTTCTTTGTAAACTATCGGCCTCCCTGCCTTAAACTTTATTATTTATCACCCTCACTATTATTTTTTTAGCATTCGTATTTTTTATTACCGTAATTCTCTCGCCCTCTCAGCATTGCTTCCTTCCAGAATGCATTATTGCTTAACCCCCACTTCGTTTAGTAATATACCCAAGTATTTTTTTCTATTATTTGTTTGCATGACACTCAGTAAATTACTTGGTAGAGAAGTAGATTTTAAAATATACAATAGTTTTGAATCATTCACAGTCATGTGACAAGGCTGATGGACCAATTCAAATATCTCTCGCCATTTCGTTACGGCGGTCATGTGACTTGGTCGCCGGACGAATATCTAGATATTTAGGAATACCTCTAGTGTTGGCAGCATGCTGGAAACACTAGGCTGGTCACCACTGGAGGAACGACGACAACAATCCAGGCTCTCCATTATGTACAAGATAAATAATGGCCTGGTCAACTGTTCCAGTATTAAACAGAAACTCGTCCCTCTCCCCCATAGACAGCGACGAGGCCATGACAGGCAATTCAGGCTCATACCAGCAAGAAGCCAGTATAAGAGCTGCTCATTCCTGCCCAAGACAATCAGGGACTGGAACAAGCTTTCAAAAGGAACAGTTGAGGCGACAACACTAGACACATTTGTGTCTATTGCCTCAAGCCTTCAAACCCCCAAGTCCTGATTCCCTCACAAAGTGGCACTGGAAATCATTGAAATGTCCTCATCAACGCCAGGCACAGAAACATTACAAATCCCCTCTACATGCATAGGAGCTAAAATGATCAATAAATTGATTGTGGGCCCTTACTTAATATATAGAAGAAGAATAGTGCGGGAGATATATGTCCAGCGCGCCGAACGTGTAGACACTGCCTTACATTAAAAGATTGTCTTAGTCCAGTTTTTTGTTTCTGAACCTCTGCTAAATTGCTATAGACTCAGCACAAAGCTATGGCAAATATGAATACAATGGAATATGATCATCTATCCTTTGAATCATGCTAATGGGCAGATATGTCAATGAATGGCCCTGAATGGGGATTTGTGAAATTGAAATGGTTTCCAAAACATGGGACACTATAAGTTTATTTATAAACGATTATTATTCTAAATGGATCCTGACAAATTAGAAAAAGTAAATTTAGAAGAATTAAATGATGTACTTTTTTGCAATCCTGTAGGTATCTTATCTAGCTGTACCCAACTGTTCGAACCTGAGACAATGGAATGGTTGAGATTGAGGGTATTGAGTGTTCCTGCTCAATGATACAAGTCAAAGGCTTCGGATTTGTTAGGCTTACAAGTTGTACACAAATTTTGCATTGGACTGATTTACGACTTCCATCCGGATTTTTTAATGCAAACTAAACTTAATCTAAGCACAAGGATTTTCAGTATTAACTTAAAACATTGCAATGGAGCTGCATCAAGTTCCATTTTCATTGTCTTTTTTTTTACTCTTCACTTCCTTCTCAGCCCCCAATCACAAGTGCCAAAATAATTTGAAATGTTTTGCTGTTACACGGTTATAGTAATTAATGGTGATCCACATTTTTATTATGATATTTTATATGTCTAATCAAACGCTCTTACCGAAAAAAAAGGTCCCACTGGACCAATTAATTCTAAAACCGAAACGATCACTTAAAATCTTGGGTTTGTTTCCAATGTTTTTCTACAAGAAGACCCTCTCCTACATTCAAATCCAAGATGGCGTAAGACTGAACTTGCGCATGAGCAAGCCTGTTTCACCCCCCACCTGTTCAGCGGTGATGCGGTCGCAATAGCTGTAAATTATAACAAATTTAGTCTGTATTATTAACCGTATTTCTAAAGGCACGTGTAATAATACAACTTAAAATTTCCTAATATATAATTTAATATTTTTATTAAAATTTAAAAGCATATTGTAGTAAAATCTAGAATAAATAGTATTTCAGTTCATTTTCCAATAATGACATTAGTGTCACTTGGTACAAGGTTTTACCGTAAACCATCTGACACGAAATAGTTCGCAAACACCTATCTTAAATTTGCACACAACAATAAAGTTCTAAAAAAATAATAAGTTAAAGCATAATTTAAAATATATTATACATTTAAGTAAAATGCATTTAAAATTTAACGAATAATGGAACATGGAAAAATGAAGTTCGCTTACTTACGCTAGATAACATGAGTGGCTTAAATGGAATGTCAGGGGGGAAGGGGTGTGACACTTTCACAAAGAAATAAAAAAAAAAAGTGGCAGTACGACGAAGCAGGTTGTACTAATGGAATGGTTCTCAATCAGATAAAAAATGTACAGATCGATGTTAAGTAGGCTTATAAAACTTTTCAAACAATTCACCAGTTATACTTTAAACGGACATTGTTTGTGATACTAACTATTTTGTTGTTGATAAATCACTTACGCTCCAGGAACAGTGAGACCTCTTTCACCGATCCAGTGGCGGCACCTTTATGACAGATGGGCACCCCACAAACCGGCTTTCGTACGCCCACTGTCAGTGAACATTTTATGATTCTGTTATTAGCATTGGTGTAGATTATATAATGTACACCAAATTATAATGAAACCTATAATAACGAAAAATTGGGGGGGGTTGTTTTTTTTTTTGTTGTTGTTTTTTGCAGGGATCGTGCCTACCTTTTTATTTAGTTATTTTATGTATCATGAAAGTCAACGTTTTCCAAAAGTATTATTTTCTTTACGTTTTAAATAAAAGGGTTTTTAGTTCAAAAGATAAGGGAACCACTTGTTTTAATTGGCTGTGTGCCTCTGTAACGTGAAAGAGACAAATCACTTGAAATTGGATGGCACTTTTGTTGTTAATTAACACTGAGGGGGTGTCGAGATACAAGCAGTAAAAATAAATATGAATTCGGTGAAATGATTTTTCTTAAAAATTCAGCTGTGAAATCATTAAATAAAAATGCGCGTTAAATAGAATAATTTTAATGAAAACGATTTCATTACCTACAGATTTTAGACAGGGGATAAGATAAAATAATGGTTTCTTAATGCTTTGATAAGTAGCGATTTTTTTTTCTGGAATAATCCGGGTAGATGCAGACATATGTGCAGGTTTACCCTATGTCCCGGTTCGACCGTGATAATCTTGGTTTGGCAACCTTTTCCTGTGAGCCCGGCTTGTTTGACATTATATTTCAGTTACTGTCTCAGTTTAGGTAGAAATTAATTTGACATGTCTCTGTTAGTTGGTCTGTTAGACGGTATGTTAGATTGTCTCATGTAAAGTTTATGCCAAATCTAGTTTGGTATATAATTTCGGATTTAATGTAACTATAACAAAGACTGTTTATTCCTAAGCTTGCACAAAGCAACGTGTTATTTATGAATAAGACCACGTGTAAAATTGAGGTCTCTCTAAATATGAGGCCTAAACCAAATCTTCCGCCTACAACCTATGACCCAACACCACTGAGAAGTAGTAATATGATAAAACGAACAGTACGTAATCGTCTAATGGCTATAATAAAGAAATTTCTTAGAAAATAGAGGCCAGTGAGAAATGTGAAAGTATGAACAATCTCTCTCTCCCCCCTTCTCTCTCTCTCTCTCACTCTCCCTCTCTCTCCCTCCTTCTCTCTCTCTCTCTCTCTCTCTCTCTCACTCTCTCTCTCTCTCTGCTCTCTCACACACCTCAAAAATCTAACCAACGCGATAATGGGGCTATTCAGACATTGCACGTTACCTAATTGCGTGCCTTAACTAAATGCCACACATGGCGGCGGTACCCGCAGAAGTCTCCCCCTCTCACATCTATTACAGCCGATTTTCAGAACTGACTAGGACCGTGGGTAGTTTGCATATTTTTTTTTTTTTTTTTTTCTTCCGGTTAATTGAAAACTCCCACGTTAAGGTTGCGTTAACGAAGTTAGTTTATAGAATAGAATAATTCTCACCTTATTGTAAGGGTTATACAAGTATTATGTTTTATTGTACATTGCATTGAAACTAGCGCTAGATAAAAATAAAATATAGTTCTTAACCCAATGAAGGTCTTCAAATTAAAGGTGTGACCTACAATGGGGAAGTTGTAAAAAAAAAATTACTTTTTTTTTTTTTAAATAGCACCAAACTACTGTGTATAATGTTTTAATAGACTTTGACAACGGTGTCGAATGGAGCTGCCGCCCCCTTATGCTTCACCTAGATACACTACTGGTGATATCTACTCCCATATATTCCACATGGCAACTCCTAAGCCTTCCTATGCGTAATAAAACAAAATAATAAGGATTACGAGCTAGGGCCGCACATGAGGGGCCAATATTTTTGCCACCCTATGCAAAAGAAAAACTCTGCAATTAGCCAAAATATGGCGCCCCTAAATCAGTTACCTAGCCAGGGTGGGCCAAGATTTGTGACGTCCTCTTTGCATGGAAAAACTATGTCGCCCCACAATTTACCTAAAAAAAGTTTCACCAAGGGCGCATAGCCCCCTTTCTACGCCACTTCCCCTGAATATATAGTAAAGAATACCGGCTGAGGTGAACCACCACCGCCCCCCCCCCCACTAATTTTCCTACGACAGGGATTATTAGCGAAATACCGTCGTCAATATTTTAGTGCTTTAAAAAAAATCAAATGAGTAGCAATCAAAATCAAATCTTGTAATGAATTAAGGAAATTTTTGTCTGGTATTTATCATAGTCATAGAACACATTTTTTAAATACTTAAAAAATCAGAGCAGACCTAAATAATATATGGTGATTTTTAGATTTGGGGTGTGTGGAGGGGGGGGGTCTAATTTGAGTAGGGTCCTAATAAAAATGTCAATATTTATGTTTATACAGTATATATATATATATATATATATATATATATATATATATATACTGCAATTGAAGATGTGGTGATATTATAAACTTATAATTTCTGAGATGTAAAAATGTAACTTATTTACTGATTTGAGGAGTCCAATGTCTTTCTATTGTTTTCATTTTGTAATTTAATTTATTTTTAAAGGGCGAAAACAAACTTTTGTTATCTAAATTTAGAAATTTAAATAATCTTTATAAAAAAAAAAGCAGTAGTTTCGTAAATATCACAAAAAATTATGTAAAAATATTGATATTATTTTATATCACATAATCTTAATATTAAAGAAATATTTATTTTTTAAAGCAAAGGAGATTTATTAAGGTTATATCTCGCACAGTTTAGTCTCAGCATGAGCACCGCACTTAGCAACGGAAAGCTTTATCTAAACGCCATATTGTTTTTTGTGGCCAGCAACAAGATCTGGAGCAACCTTTTGCTCTTCTGTTAACTTATTATTTAATTAACTTAAGTTTTAATGTTGATAAAGCTGGCATGGTTTCACATTTGTAATTATTGAAATGGAACATGTTATAGTAAGTTTTTAAAAGTTTGCATGACATGTTTTATTTTAAAGAGACATTCGAAAATTTGTAATATTAATAAAACCTAAACTTAAGCTCAGTAAATGAGTAAACTTAGAACTACCCCTGCCCTCTGACTCTGCTCAATACTATTACTAATAGGATTATATGTTACTGTGAATCGAATGAATGCATTTAATTTTATTGATACTTATTTTAGTATTAGTTTATTATAATTATATTTATAGTCATAGTAATTATAGGGCATCTAGGCAAAAATATAATTCAATTTATTACCTCTTACTCTTACTCTTTCACTAAGCTAGTAAGATTCTCTTTCTTGCTTTCTTACTACTATTAAGTATTATTAGTATCATTAGATTAGACCTACTTTGATACCATATAATATATATTGTATATTTATACACTCAGACACTTGCTACAGTTTACATTTACAGTATTTATAATTATAATTATTTAGCATACAAATTTTTTTAAAGTAGGTCCTTTACTTTATACTTTATTCTTTATCTTTAATTTAACATAGAAACTGCCCCACATAGGGCCAAGTAAAGGAAAAGAAACAGATGATCCGATCAGATTTCTTCCTGCCTTGCCCACAAAAAGAGCCAAACCGGCATGGCACATAAATCCACCAACATTTATGCTGGCAAGTCAGAACTTTGATGAATCTCCTGAAGGTGTAGATCTTTTCAGTGAGCTCACAGGTAAAGATTTTTATGATTTCAATATTTAATTTGAAAAAAACATCAGATTATAACTTTTAATTTTAAAAAAAATGATGCATGTGAAAAAAGTTAGGGGTGTGGAGAGGTTACTTTTTTCATTGGCCCCCAAACATGTGACAGATTCTAGAAATGACAAAAGAATGAAATGTGTCAGAGGCCCTAAAATGATTAAATTCCCCAACAAAAAAAATAAATAATAAATTATGGGACAGCATTAAAATAAATAATGACAAAACAGGCAGGCAAAAAATACATTTTAAGATTCACCTATAGTGAAAAAACACAATTAACTTAATTTATTGAATTATTTTAGTGTTTTTCATTTTCTTAATCATGATAATGAGAACCAAAAATATAAAAAAAATTAAGTTTATTTTTTTCAGGTCTTGAGATATTAAAAGAAATAAATACAAAATATTAAATTTAAAATGCACACAAAGTTGCATACTTTGAGATAGTCTATGCCTAGTGTATGGTCTATGAAACCTATACAATTCTTTCAATGTTTTAACACTGATTCTCAGGAGAGGAAAAAAGAAATAGGAAACATCCACTTCGTTTAAAGCCCTTGGACTCAAATCAGAAAAATGGAGATATTGATACATTTAAGCAACCAAAGAAAGATAGAGAACACTTCCGTAAAGCTTTGGTGGAAATTATTATGTGAGTTTTTGATTGGCACAAACAAATTTTAAAAAATGAAATACATTGTGTCATCGATAAATTATATTCTTTAGATTTTCCCATTGGTATTTATTATTACGTTAGAGCTTGCCAAACTTGCACAAAAATATTCAATTTGTTTTTAATTCCAAAAAGGGAAGAGCAAGGGGCATTACCAAAGACAACTGCTGAATCTGCAGAGGATGGGGAAATTCCAGAAGTTTCTCGTGCATTGTCCCCTACCACTGCTGAGAAAGATATCTTAGTAAGAAAATATCAGCTTTAGCTTTCACAAATTTTTTAAAAATTGTAGCATTTTTTTTTTAAAGATGGTAATGGTAGCATTATTAAAAATTTGTTGTCCAGGAAATACCAGCCTTATATCTATTGTGAGAAGCAATATTTTTCTGATACAATCAACCATAACAAATACATACAACATAAGTATACCGTTATGGGTGACAGAGATGGAAATAATAATTATGGTATTCAGTTGATTTTTTTTTTTTTTACATTTGCTTTACACATTTTAAACCTTTTCTGTTTTTAGCGTTATTATTATTACATCAACCACGGCATTGACACAGAACATGTTGCACCAATGGAGGATGCCTGGTTGGAGCATGTGCTAAATCTAGTCTCAGATGATCTCAAGGTACTTATTTCATTTAAAGAAAATAAATGTTCTTTGGCAGCCTAGAATGTGATTCACATTTTTAAAATATTCCATTAAATTTTATAAAACAATTATTTATTTTATTTTATTATTCAGAAGGGACATGAAGAAACAATAGAAAATTTATCAGACGAAATGAGAGAGGATTATCTTCTAAGTGTGAAAAAAGCTATAGGTAGGAATCTACTACATTTGTAATGAAATTGTTCTTACTTAAGATTGTCAATTCACTAAGAGGATTCCTAATGTTTGTCATGGTTTTTTAAAAGTTAATGTCAAAAATATGGTTGTTAGTTTGTAACTTTTCTCCCTGAAACTGAAATTTCCTTTGACTAAGCAGCTTAAAAAGGATTTGATTACTTCAAAACAGTTGACTTTGTACTGAAGGACCCTCGTCAACTAGAAGATGAAAATAAAGAAAAACTTCCACAACACAGAGAAGAGATGGCTGTCTTACCTAAGCCCTGGCACAAATCTTATTTAGCGTCTCTAGAGTACCAGGCTGAACACCTGCACAACACTAATCCTTGCATGATGAGAGTGTTGGACTTGTGGCATCTAAGCTTTGGGTAAACTGATTTGTGTTGATTTATAACTTGCTGTACAGGATAATTAAAGAATAAAGAAGCTTGAATTAAGAATAAAACAAAACAAAAGAAATGTCAGGACAAAAAAATATTTTGAGAAAACTTCTTATAACATTAAGATATTATTATTATTATTGTGAATAGACAGAGTTCAGTTAGATAGGAAGGGCAGGAATCCTGGTTAGATAGGAAGATAAGGTCTTTCATCCTTGTTTACTTTTAATACTATAATTTTTTATTTTTTTAAAATTGATTTTGCTTTTAGCAGAATTTTAAAAAAAAATTTTTAATTTATTAATTCAAACATACCTTATGATTTACAAATCTTGTGCAAGTATGCATTGTGGTTAAATTATTCGGCCCAGCAAATTAACAAGATATGTTAAGACTAGAAGATTGATGATTGGATCACCAGTTTATGCTGACCCTATGATTATTTTTGGAGAGCATGACAATAGAGTAAATATGGAAATTTTTCTATTTTATCATTGTGTCAGCTATGCTTATTGCCTTCTACTGAAACTGTGTATAACTCACAGGGAAAATTCAACAAGAAATGTATTAAATAGGATTAATGATAATTTTTAATAAATATAATGGAATTGCTCCTTTTTTACTATGTTTGTTTACTATTTTCAAGTTATCATCACCAGTTAACATCTTTTGATATTGTGGAATTAATTTATTGTACCTTATTTTCATATCCCCAGTAAGCTACGCTTCATTGACATTGAAGAATTCCACACAAAAGAAGAGTCCATGGAATTGTCAGCCTTTCAAAATCTCTGCATGAGACACATTGATGCTGCCAAAGAAAAACTGCTTAAAAAGTTAGTGAGAAGATTCTTAACATGTTCACAAAAAAGTATTTGTTTTTTCCTTTTCATTTTTCTGATTAAGAAGAGATTTTTAAAATTTTCTATCGTATTCTCAAGTTAAATTTATATTGGTTTTTTTTTAATGACAATTTTCAATTTTCTGTTTCACTACAGGTGGTTTCTTGAAGTTCATGACATTTTTTACCAAGGCAACAAAAGAAAACAAGTTCCAAGCAATCAGGATCAAGAGAAATTGGAGTCCTTCTTTAACTGTGCAGCAACACTCATGACCCAAAACCTACAAAATCTGACACTTGACTCCATCACAGACTACACTAATTTGTTAGTGCAGCCTCCAGTAAGTAGGCTAGTGATGTATGGTAACGCTTTTGAATTTCAGTAAATACTAAAAAAAATGAAGTGATTTTTCAACCGCCATTTGATGTTCATTCATTAGGAAAAAGACAGAGCCCTATCTTTTGATGCAAATTTGAGAGTTTTTTAAAAATAATAATTTGTGTTTTCTCCCATAGTAAAGTGCACAAAATATAATTTTAAATTAAATCATGGTGCTATACTTAAAACTGGATTTAATACAAAACTGTTCTTGTGGGAGATCTGATACCCCGATGGCCAGACTACATAAGTCACACACATCCAAGAATGGAAAAACTTTAATCTGATATACCTTATTATTTTAAACTTTTGTTTTCACAGACATCTGTGAGGGCTTATGAGCACTCTGGGTTTGTGTTACGGCTTATTTTGGATGAGACCGATATCAAATTTGAGCCGACCTTCCGTGACTTCCAAGTAGTTCTAGTCAATGTATTTGATGTCATGATTAAAGCTTCCAGAGATGTGCCACGCATTGAGACCAAACTCTATTCAGAATGGGTGAGTTGTTTTTTTTTACGTTGTCATGCATGATAGGGACATTGATCAGTGGCAGTAAATAGGTTTAAAATCTTGCAGACTAGCAGAAATATTAGTAACCTTAACCCAATTTGAAATTGAGATAGACAAAATTTTAATAAAATATTTATTGCATTCTTATTATCTTAATAGTAATTTCATTTTAAAAAATAGCTTTGTTGAAACTGTGACCTGTGTAAGGTGTTTCAAATATTGAAGTAGAGAAGTAGATATTTTTACAAACAATTTTAAATCATTAATCCTTAACATGTTTATACTTATTTTCTTAAAGCAATTGAAACATCAGTTTTTATTAATAGCCTAGAGATTATTTTGATCATAAAAGTAAATCAAAAGAAAAATATCTTTTGCAAACTTAAATGTTTCAAAACTTTATTTTAGAGTGAAAATAAAGCCAAAGCATTGCTAAGACCTATTATCCTGGATGAAATCCTTGATGTCCACAAGGCCAAGGTCAATGAAGTCATTATTAAAGAGAGCGTAGGACCCACAGAACACACTCGGATCTATGAGAAGTACTCAACATTGATCAGCAGACAGGTAATGTTTTTAATCACCATTTAGACATAAATTTCATAACATGATAATAGCAGCTATTTTTGAATTTATGATTTTACCTATGAACCAAACTTTAAGCAAATAAAAAATTTATTGTGAAAATAAGTTGATATCATGATGTCAATGTAACCTTTATAATTGTGGATAAAAATAATTAAAATATATTTTTTTTAAATTGTATTTTTTTTTAAAATCCACTGTAATTTAAATATATAAAATAGCTGTTAATTTTCAATGCAGGAAACAATTCATAAAATAGGACATGATATTATTTGAGGATTGAAAAATCATATATCATAATGACTTTTTCATATAACTTCATATAATTTATATATATTTTTTTGTTAGGCTGATGAGGATGTGACCAAATTTATTGATTTTCAATGCAGGAAACAATTCATAAAATAGGACATGATATTATTTGAGGATTGAAAAATCATATATCATAACGACTTTTTCATATAACTTCATATAATTTATATATATTTTTTTGTTAGGCTGATGAGGATGTGACCAAATTTATTGAAGAGCAACACACTTTTGATGACTATGCAAAGGAACTGCTAAAATATCACAAACTTGTTGATGAGATTATGTACAACTCAGTCAAGGTAAAACCTCTTTCAATATTTTTATTTTATAATATTAAACCTACATTCTCTAAACTTTTGAAAAGCTAGTCTACACCATAAAAAATTGTAGAAACAATGAGTGACAAAATGCTCTTATGTGACTTATTTCATGATAACAATCTCTTCTTTTTAACTACGCTTGTTGAAAATTATTCTCTCATATTAATTATTTTGGAAAAGTGGGCAATAGAAAATATATTTTTTTTGAAATTGCATTAAAAGATTTTTTGTCACAGGTTGTCATAAGGAGCTAACGTATTTTCTCTCACACTTGTACAAACACAGGGTTTTAAGCATTACTTCCCTTTGATTCCAGGTAGTGAGGCTTGGAATGTTTGAGGTGCACTGCGATGAACTGATCAGAGCTCTAACAAAGAGAGCTGATGGACTTAGATCTAGGATATTGGTCAAAATGTGTGCAGACCACCAAAAAGAAAACCAGAAGTAGGATATTTATTGATTGGACCGAAATGGATGGTTTGCAGATCTCCCATAAAAAAAGCTTTAAAACAATTCTATAAAAACCTTTCAGATTGTCATTACAATTTCAGATTTTGAATAATAACTAAATTTAGGAAGAGACTAAATTGATTTTAATTTGCACCTAGAATAAATTCCACGTTTGGAATACCAATTTTTATTTTTAAATTTTATTTATTGAAAGCACAAATATAACATACTAAAATTCATTTGTCTTGTAGACTTGTTGACCAGTACAGAGAGATATCAGACAAGGCGCTCTCCACACCTGAAAACACAGAAAAACTGATGGAGCAAATGGCTTACATTAACAAGTGTGAGTCAGAAACCATCTTCCTGCTGGAGAAACAGCTGATTCAAAGCAAAGATCGCCTGACATTTCTCAGTGACCATGCAAACTTTTCACCAACAGAGACGAGATTCAATGCAGAAGTAAATGGTGTCCTCTTGTTCTTTTTAAAATTATATTTTTGATTGTTACAGTCAGAGATGGAATGTAAGTTTGGCATTTAATATTTATTTTTAGTCTGGTGTAATGCGAGTTCTGCCTCTCTACTTTTAGGGCCTGCAGCCCCCAATTTTTCTCCCCACTGTGCAACAGCTTATTCTGGTGACTCCCGTCTATTTCAGATAAAAGTTTTAAAATGTCACAAATAATAATTTTCTAGGCATGTATATATAGCTGTGATGCTGTGTTCAATAGGGTTGCAAAATAATTTTCCCAGTAGTTAGCACCAGTGGGATTCTTAAAAAATGTGTTACTTTAATGGATGTTTTGTCATGTAACCCTAGTAATTGGGAAGTTTATTATTGCAGCCACCATTGTTGGAAGGTTATTTCTAGTTGAAGAGATAAAATGCTAACATGGTGTGATGCATCAACCGTTTTATTCATATTATTAATATTGGTGTACAGGACTCTTTAACTTTGTATCTCCTCCTCTATACCTCAAGTGAGAATTTTTAAACCTGCCTATTGCTTGCAGGTTTTCAAATGGAACCAAAGGATGCCACTTGTGTTTGAGGAATACAAACAACAAGCCAATGAAAAGAAGATGCAGTATGAGGAAGCCCTTAAGGTGTGTGTCACTTTATGGACAAGGAAAAAAAACAATAGAAAACAAAATTTGGATTCTTTTTATTCAAAAACAACCCTTAATTTGACAATTTTAGTTGGATTTTTATAAAACCTATTTATGTAAAATACAGAAATTTATATTTCTTGTTTTGGAAAAAAAACAACTTTCTTTTATCTAAAATAAAATAAGCTCATGACTAGTAATGCTATAACATAAACATCCATCAATCATATTTCAGCTCCGAAGAGAAAGATTTGCAGAAGAATTGGAGAGCTACGGCAAGCAGGTTGAAGAGTTCCAAACCTTTGGAGATATGTCTGATATTAACCGTTACCTGAAGAAAGCTCAGGCCTTAGATAGCAAGTTACAGGTTGCAGCAGATAAGGTGAGGCTCAAGCCTGTCAGTGGACACCTTGCTGATTAAAACATTTCATTCTTGTAATGACATCAAAGCTCCAGTGTCATAATGTTTAGATCTTTGTTCACCCAATATACATTTTTGTGACCTTTTTCTTTGCTAAACAAATAATAATAATAATAAAGTTCATTTAAAAAACACGCTTCATCCCCAAAGGCTCGAAGCGCGGTACAAACTGGAAAATAAAGTAGACAATCATCCCAGAAGGTGTTTGCGAAATAGATGTGTCTTTAAATCGGTTTTAAAGGACTCCAGTGTCTGGTTGTTTCTGAGATCGACAGGAAGGGCGTTCCAAATTGTTGGACCAGCAAATGATGAAATGAAGAAATTCATGAATCTTGTCAGGATGCAGAAAAATCTCTAAATTAATTAATTGACTTAAAAGGGTACATACTAAATAATTGACATAAGAGGTAAAGATGTTTATTTACTTACTGTGGTAAAAAGACCTTTTTTGGTATTTAAATAAAAAGAAAACAAGAAAACACTGTCATGCAGTTATTAGTTTATGGGTACTCCTGTTCAATGACAAAGGCATTGACTTAAATGAGTACATACACAAAAATTGCATAATAAATAGATAAAGATTCAACCTAAAAATTGAAGTGCTATGAATTGTTAATTAAAAGGATTAGAATTATTGACTAGATTTAAGATTTCTAAATTAAAATATATGGATGATCTTTGACTAAATATTAGTTCCCCCCCTCAAATGCACTGGATCATGAGAAATGTACAAACTTCTCATTTTTATTTAACATGACTCATACTGAGAAATCTTCACAACAATTTCTTTTGTTTCTTCAAACACATGAACTCAGGTTGAGGCCTTTAACAATGAAGAAGAAGCCTTTGGTTGGGACACCACAGTTTATCCCCAGCGATTGAACATCATCAACAACCTGAAGCCCTACCTGCAGTTGTATGAGCTGACTGTAGACTTCAATACCAAGCACAAGTAGGCAACCTTGTTTTGTACCACCTGTGAACAATCTTTTTTCCAGAAGTTACTAGCAAATAACAAATAAAATCTTCATTTAACTATAAATTGGTTATCATTGTTACTATTCTGTAATAAAAAATGAATTTTTAAAAAGTTTTTGAAAAGTAACTGTTTCTAGGGGGGGGGGGGGGAATGCATCGGGGAAAAAAAGTAATGCATCTAATAAAAACATAATTATGAGTATCTCCAAAGTGTGTGGATAAGGAGGAAAGAGCTAAAAATTCTAGGTTGTAAAACTTGTAAGCGTAGAGGAGAAAAAAAATAAAGTATCATTTGTGAGATGGTAGTCACCAGATTTTTTGGTATTGAAATTCAGTTTATTTTACGTTCAAATTTCCTGTGTTCCCCTTTCATATTTTTAGCATGACTTACGTTATTTTTTTTTTTACCCACCCAGAGATTGGATGGATGGTCCAATGGCTGGAGTTGACCCAGATATTGTTGATCAGGAGGTGGGAAACTTTTGGCGGTCACTTTATAAACTGGAGAAAACATTTGATTCTGTTCCTGCTCCCAAAAAAATTGCCTCTAAGGTATTCAATTTATACAATTTTGTTTAAAGCTCTAGTTTTTAAATATCGTGTAATTTGAAGATTTTTCTAAAAAAATTATTATTTCGTAGTGTCCATAATTCATTTCTAATTCTATAAATTCACCTACTATCAGCAAGTGCCTCCAACCCAACCATAAGCCTATCAACAAATGTTCTTACTGACCACTCCAACCCAACCATAAGCCTATCAACGAATGTTCTTACTGACCACTCATTTACTTCTCAAACTGATGAACCAAGCTGTAACACTCATAAATTATATGTTTGTGTAGTCATTGCAGTCAGCTATCATCTGCTACCCTCTAGGTCAAGACCAAAGTTGAAGAGTTCAAAGAGCACATGCCTCTCATCCAGACCTTGTTTAACCCCGGCCTGAGAGAGCGCCACTGGGCCCAGATCTCAGACATTGTGGGCTACAACATGCGGCCAGACGACTCGTATTGCTTGAGCAAGCTGGTTGATATGAACTTGGAAGCTTATGTGGGCAAGTTTGAGTCCATATCAGAGTCTGCCAGCAAGGAGTTCTCTTTGGAAAAAGCCATGCAGACCATGAAGAAAGAGTGGGCACCGGTAAGTGCGATAGATAGATAGTGGTTTACAACAATGGCCTTTTATAGGCTTTATGTTATTGCTAAGAACCACCTCATGTATGTTTGTTTTTAATTTGTTGTTCATTTCTCATCATTGTCTGCATTCATTGATAGATTGAAATAAAAAAACACAATCATCATTAACTTTGTTGTCTGCTAAAGCATGTGTATATTAATTATACATAGAATGCGGTGTTAAAAAATCAAAGTAAGCAACAGTTTTTCAATTAACGCCGTACATTTTCAACGTAAGTCTTGAAAAAAATAAATTCAAACATCTTGTTGACAGTTAGGAAATGCTCTATGAGATATTGATGTTTCTCTTTGTCATACAATCATCATTATACTGTAGCACCCACAAGATACAGAACCTGTAAGTATGGCCAGGTGTGGTCACTCATGTTTGATACTCATCACTGGGTACTTCTTTAGTACCTGTCAAGTAATGTTCATGTCACCATCACTGATCATAATTGTTTTAGTATTATTTGCCATCTTGACTTACAAAAATCCCATTTTAATTCACAAAACTGTCCTAGAAAATAACTTATAAACGTTAATATCTGAAATTATAATTGTTATCCTCTGAAATCAACTTGGATGTAAATGGATGTAAATGTTATTTCATATTTCCAAGAATTTGTTCACCTCAAGAGTAATTTATTAATAGCTTTTTCTTAGTGTAACACATTTACTCTGACATGGCGTGGGATCTTATTTCTTATGCTGTGGGTTATGTCAGTAGTATGGTTACTTATGTTATGTTAATACTTCAGGATGCCGACTAAGACTTCTTCATTCTTCCACTTATTATCCAGGCACGCAAATAAGAATACTGAATCCTGGTTAAACTTACAGTACTTTATTGAACACACTTTATACTGATAATATTAATGATAATCCTTGCATGAATGTAATTTCACATATATATATAGTATTATTCCATCATTCAGAAAGACACGTCCTCACACCACTATAACTCAGCTCAAACTGTCTAATCACACAGCTCTCCTAGCTCTACTGTTCTCTACTGTTCTCTACTGCCCTGACTATCTCAGTCAACTCATACTTTATTACCAGCAAAGCGTGGAAAACAACCGCTCTGACAAAAACATAATTTTACTCTCCAAAAACGTGGAGCTCACATTGTCCTCTCAAAATACAATTCATTGTCCTCGTGGACAAAACATGGTCAACACCATTCACTGTTCACTCATGCTACCTCTCTGTTTTCATGTGAAAACATTGTCCGTTACACTTAGTCATGATCTTAAAATCATAATATGATTATATTATAATCTCTGTCTTTTTACATTAAAAAAAAAAGACATGCACTTTTTGAAGTTACAGCACAAGATATAGGTGCCATCTTGTATCTTTCATGTACTCACTTCCTGTGAGTCTTTGCAGCAAACTAATACTGAGTTCTAAAAAAGCCTTGCACAAAATGTTCACTGTTTGTTAAATTGAATTTGGTCCAATATGTCATTTTATTTGCTGTTAAGTTAATTGTGAGGAAAGTATAAAGTAAATATTTGATAAATTAAATGGGGATGAAAAATGGGTTATTTAATTGATCAGATATTGACAGAGCGCTAGGCTATTTGATTGCCCCAGTACTTGGATCTAATAGATTTATTGATCAGATATTGACAGAGCGCTAGGCTTTTTGATTGCCCCAGTACTTGGATCTAATAGATTTATTGATCAGATATTGACAGAGCGCTAGGCTATTTGATTGCCCCAGGCTATTTGATTGCCCCAGTACTTGGATCTAATAGATTTATTGATCAGATATTGACAGAGCGCTAGGCTATTTGATTGCCCCAGTACTTGGATCTAATAGATTTATTGATCAGATATTGACCGAGCGCTAGGCTATTTGATTGCCCCAGTACTTGGATCTAATAGATTTATTGATCAGATATTGACAGAGCGCTAGGCTATTTGATTGCCCCAGTACTTGGATCTAATAGATTTATTTTGAATTTCACAAAAAATGTGATCGAGACCAGTGTTCCCCAAATGGTGGTCCACTGACTGGAACCAGTTCCCAAGCCTTAAGTTGCTGGTCCACACAACATAAATGTTAATGGTACAACATGAATGTTAATGGTACAACATGATTGTTAATGGTACAACATGATTGTTAATGGTACAACATGAATGTTAATGGTACAACATGAATATTAATGGTACAACATGAATGTTAATGGTACAACATGAATGTAAATGGTACAACATGTATGTTAATGGTACAACATGAATGTTAATGGTACAACATGAATGTTAATGGTACAACATGAATGTTAATGGTACAACATGAATGTTAATGGTACAACGTGTATGTTAATGGTACAACATGAATGTTAATGGTACAACATGTATGTTAATGGTACAACATGTATGTTAATGGTACAACATGTATGTTAATGGTCAAATGGAGAAACTATAATCAATAAATCTGGCACTGTTCCCTGGTTCATTTTTGAAACTTGTCCACTTAAAAAGTTTAGGGAAATGCTAACATTTACCAAACACACCAAAAGGAAAGATAAAAAAGGAAACAAATTTTTGGTTTCAACCCTTCTTTTAAAAATAGACTTTCAATATATCCGGTTATGCTGCGTTAAAAATAAGTTACAGATTTTTATATCCCAACTTTTGTATTCAAAATTGTTATTTTTGACCTGAGAAATATATTGCATAAATCAATAGTTATGGTAAATGATAGGCGTACTGGTATAAGGAGAAGAAGAAACCAACAGGTTTGAAATCAGTTTGTGCACTGTTTATGGGGGTCCACTCACAAGATTTTAGCACATTGTAATAACTGCCATCCTGTCATCCTTCTACAGTTTGAGTTTGTCGTCATCCCGTATCGTGAGACAGGGACGTCTATCTTGTCCTCCATTGATGACATACAGCAGTTGCTTGATGACCACATTGTCAAGACACAGACCATGCGTGGCTCACCTTTCATTAAACCATTTGAACAAGAAATCAAGTAAGTAGCACCATTTATACAATGTAGCTTTTTTAAAAATATTTTAATTGACACATATCAACAGTTTAAATTCTGTTGTGGTTAAAACGGATTTCTGGTTGGAACCGTCATCTGTAATTAGAAATTTGAACTAACTAATGGGATTTCCCTTTATTCTTTCTTGTTTGAAGAGTAATAACAGAGATAAAAAAAATTAGATTTAAAGCACTACAAAGTGGATCAGTACCTGCTTACCTCAACTGTGCTTCTGTCATTGTGTTCTTTATTCACCAAAGGCACAAACTATTCTTTACAAAGAGTGCTATGAACACCATAAGTTTTAAACAAGTAATAAAATGGTGCTGTAAAGAATGAATTTGTATAAAAAAATCAGTACAAAACTTATTTTTTCTAAACCATTCAGCACCAAAGAATGTTGGTCCAATAGAATTTTGTTGAAAATTGAATAATGGGAAAAAAAACAAGAAATTTTTTTGATTAAAAAAGTTTACATTTTCCCCATTTCTCACTCCCTCCTTGCACTTGAAAAAACATTTAAAAAAGAAAAAAATCCATTTAAACAACATTCCTTCTTAAAAATTGTTTTTGAACAAATAAGTTTCATACTTATTTCTGGTGACCGAATAAGTTATATCTACAGTCTGCTTATTATCTCTGTACTGTTAATGGCATGAGGAAAAGGCCAAACCTTTTATTTTGATTTGATCTATTTGAACAGGGAGTGGGAAGGCAAGCTGATGCTGCTCCAGGACATCCTTGATGAATGGCTCAAAGTTCAGGCCACATGGCTCTACCTGGAGCCAATCTTTAGCTCACCTGACATAATGGCTCAGATGCCAGAAGAAGGGAGAAGATTTGCCACAGGCAAGTGCGGTGTCATCACTTCCATCACTGTCTCCTTCTGGCTCTCAGAATTACTGTTTTAACTTGTTTATGAGCTTGTCATGTGAATCTGTGAGAATTTAAGCTATCTTTTAATGCTATGACAGGATATTGGAAGATCACATGAAAAGGTCAAACAAAGAGTAAATGGCAACGAGATCATAACTTTGGAGTTGATCCTTTTGTTCTTATAGTCTTAAACAGTGCTTTCAAGCTAAGCATTTACATGTACAGAGAACGACACAGAAAGGTTAAGATGGAAAAATGGGCTAACCCTAGGAATATTTTTTAATGACGCTGAATTCCACGATCTATGGTACTCGCTTTCCCCTCCTACCTTAATCTACCAGAAAAAGTTAATTACCTTAATTTTTCGTGGCAGTTATGTAAACATTACTATGCAGAAATTTAATTAATTTTTTTTAAAAAGATTTTAAATTGTTTTGCTTCATTGTTGTGTTTAGTGGACAAAAACTGGCGTGACATTATGAAGTCCGTGAATATTGACAAACACGTGTTGGCCGTGCTCAACATTGACAAGATCTTGGAGAGGTTGAAGAAGTCCAATGAATTGCTGGAACTCATTCAGAAGGTTGGAGCCTCTATTAGTCTTCACTTTCTTTTTAAATTTAAAAAATATATTCTTCTTCTAAAATGATGTCCAGTCTATGTTTTAAAAGAAACATAATTTTAACTAAATTGTATCATTATACAATAAATTGTGTCATTAATAAAGGGGAGAAAATCTTGTGACCCCGAGGTGTCATGCCAAGTAATGGTTTTGGGCTCATAACATCTCTCTCTGATCACAAAAAAAAAAAATGGTTGCTGGCCACAACTTTACAATTATTGTTTATGACAATACAAATAATATTTATTCCCAGGGTTTGAATGAATACCTTGAGAAGAAACGTCTCTACTTCCCACGCTTCTTCTTCCTCTCTAATGATGAACTTCTGGAGATTTTGTCTGAGACCAAGGATCCAACACGGTAAGGGAGAGGTTTTGTTAGAATGGTTCTCAGATTGTGAGAGGTTTTGTTAGAGTGCTTCTCATATGGTGTGATTGTGAGAGGGTTTGTTAGAGTGGTTCTCATATGGTGTGATTGTGAGAGGTTTTGTTAGAGTGCTTCTCATATGGTGTGATGCAGCAACTGGGCTGCTCAGTCAGAGGTTTTGTTAAACTGGTTCTCATATGGTGTGATTGTGAGAGGTTTTGTTAGAGTGCTTCTCATATGGTGTGATTGTGAGAGGTTTTGTTAGAGTGCTTCTCATACGGTGTGATTGTGAGAGGTTTTGTTAGAGTGCTTCTCATATGGTGTGATGCAGCAACTGGGCCGCACAGTCTGGAATCATTGAGCTTAGGTATTGCCTTAGAGGATACAATGGAGAATATTTTGTGACCCTGAGTTTTCTTATGGCAAATTAGTTCTTTAAAGAAAACTTTGCCATGCTTTTTATATTTTAACATACAATAGTTAACAATCCCTACAATAGTTAACAATCCCTGTAATAGTTACCAATTCCTTTAATAGTTAACAGTCCCTGTAAGATGTAATATGCGATTGTCAGTGTCATAGAGAGTTGTTTTGGTCAGATTTATTTGTTTAAATCCCCAGCTCTGCTACATGTTTAAAAATGTGTAACTGGAAATTTATATTGTAACTCAGCAATGCAGTACGTTTTGCTTTTCAACAGCTTTGCCACATAAAAAGTAGTTGTGCACACCCTTTTAGAGTAACTTTTGATAAAGGTGTTTCAATCAAATTTTAGAGTATTGATTAAAAAGCATTGAACAGTAAACAGTTGTGAAAGGAATTCATAAACTGGTATTGAAATTTGATTATATCATTTGATTAAAAAAATTTATTTCTTCCATTGATATTTTACAATTTTATTTCTACAAATTAGGGGGGAAGGGTGGAGAATTAACTTAGACAATTTTGTTTGCCTTACAGTTTTTACATAGAGCTAACTTTAGAATTGGTTTACTTGCAGTGTCCAACCCCATCTCAAGAAATGCTTTGAAGGAATTGCAACTCTTGAGTTCACTGATGTGCTTGACATAACCCACATGAAATCCAGCGAAGGTGAGGTTGTCTTACTAAAGGATGTCATTTCGACCTCTAAGGCCAGAGGTCAAGTGGAGAAATGGCTGCTGGAACTTGAAGGCGACATGGTGAACTCCCTTCGTAAGGTAAGCGCAGAAAATCAAATAACTATTTGAAATGCTCATAAACTTTTCTTTTTAAAGATAATTAAAATACTTTTTTTTTAAAATATGTTTTGTCAATGGGTTACCGGAAATTTGATCGAAAGAAATTTCGTCGACGGTAAATTGATCGACGGAAATTTGATTGAAAGAAATTTAGTCGACTGTAAATTGATCTATCGAAATTTGATCGAACGGAAATTTGGTCTAATCTTTTTTTCAGTGCACATGTTAAAATTTTCATCAAATTTCTTTTTAAATGCTCTATACTATGTAATAAAACAAAATATTGCGTTAAAAAAGAAATTTGAAGCAGAATTTTAAAGTAAAAACTGAATAAAAGATTCAACCAAATTTCTGTTCGATCAAACTACCGTCTATCAATTTACTGTCGACGAAATTTCTTTTGAACAAATTTCCGGATACGTAAATATGTTTTGTCAATCACCAAAGAATGTTTAACTGAAGTCTAATTTTGAATATCTTAGTCTAAAAATTGTGCTGCTTGCCTTAAGTTAACTTAAGCTTTTGCAGCTTGCTTTAGTATTAATTTATGCAGTCTAAAAGACAATGTGAAAAAATGTGAAAGGGCTGGCATTTCTACTAGCAAGACAATCAAACTTTGTCTTTATGCAACGGCCTTATTTAGTTGTGATGCATCCAGTAGACATGTTAACATTAAAATGAAATGTCCTCAGGTGATTGGAGAGTCCATTGAAGCATACAACACCAGCCCTCGTAGAGACTGGGTTCGCAACTGGCCTGGCCAAGCAGTGTTGTGTGTGTCACAAAAATATTGGACGTCCTTCATTCATGAGTCCATCAGAGAAGGACATGAACACCTAGCAAACTATCTTGCTGTAAGTTGATTCTACATCAGGCAAGATCGAATGGACTGGTGGTCCTTAAAGCCAGCTTCAGTAAAGTGATAAATCACATTAACTAATAGATAGTACTGTCTTATTTTAGTAATTAGTGTTTACTCTAAGAAAAGCCAAAACAAGTGATGTAATACTACAAAGGGTTGGTTTAAAAACAATAAATTTTGTAAAACTAAATCTTGATAAGGTTTCCTAAAGAAAAGAAAAAATTCAAGGTGCTTAGATTGTTACCTACATCACCAAAATCAAAATAATTTATATTATATTAATTAAGATTTAGTTTAATTTTTTTTTAAATAATAAATTTCTAAATTATTTTAGTTGAATAACTCACAAATTGATGAAGTTGTTGCCCTTGTGAGAGGAGAGTTGTCCAAACAGAACCGTGTCACGCTCCAGGCTCTGATAGTCCTCGACGTCCATGCTAGGGATGTGCTGGCCACATTGGTGGATGATAAAGTCTCCAGTGAGCTGGACTTCAAATGGCTGAGTCAGCTGAGATACTATTGGGAGGTGGGTGCTGCTGAAAATGTCCAAGGCTCATATCAAATGGTGTTCAGATGGTATCAAAGAAATATTACACAAATATTTTTCATCTAATTAATTTAATCACCTTTTTTAAATTAAAATTTTCATGAATTCAGGTGGGTCAAATCAAAGAAATATTACACAAATATTGTGCATATGATTAATTTAATGACATTTTTTAAATTACAATTTTCATGAATTCAGGACAGCCAAATGGTTACTAGAATGATCAATTCTAAATTGCCATATGGCTACGAATATCTGGGAAACTCTGGACGTCTTGTCATAACACCATTGACAGACAGATGCTACAGGTTAGTAATCCTATTTATTAAAATATGTTTAAGCCCTCAATCGAAAAAATCTGAAAAGGAACTTGCATAAATCTATATATAATTCTACAATAACATAGTTCAGTTTTGACATCTTATTACAAATTGTATGTCTCATATTGTTTGTGTTATCCCTTTTTGTAGTTTCTATTATTTTAACCCCACATTCTTATTGAATAGAATAAAGCACAAATTAAAATATGGGAGATACTGCTTTATAAGGAATGTGTATTTAATGTACTTTTTAACAAACCCCCCCCCCCCCCTTTTTTTTTTTTTCCAACCTGGAAGAACTTTGTTTGGAGCTCTCCACCTCCATCTTGGTGGTGCGCCAGAAGGCCCAGCTGGCACAGGGAAAACTGAAACAACCAAAGACCTGGCCAAAGCTGTTGCTAAGCAGTGTGTCGTCTTCAACTGTTCAGATGGCCTTGACTACATTGCTTTGGGGAAATTCTTCAAGGTAAGCTTAGCAGTAATTTTGATTGCCTTCTTTGAATCACATCCTAACTTTTGTGACTTTGGTCTTCTCAAACTGCATAATTCTAAAATATTTAAATAAAGGAAATTTGTGGAAAGTGTGTGTGTGGGGGGGGGGGGCATTCCCATTTTGTTAAAAAAAGATTTGACATCACTGACATCTGTAAATTAAAATTTAGTATTTTTTTTTAGATTAATAAATTAGGTACAAGATTGTTTAAATTTTCTTTAAATGTGTAAAAGCCAAAGTCAAATCCAAAAGGGGAAAAAAAATAATAATGTTGTACCAAAACATTATAATTCCAAGAATTACTTATGAAAGCTTGAATAATGGGATGAGCATTTGGAGGTTATATCAGAGATTTGCAATGACACAGTACAAGACAGTGAGGAGAGGTTAAAAGCAAAAGCCTTAGGCTGCTTAGAGCAACTTAAAGAAGAATATTTTTTAATCATTCTACTTCAATAATCTTTTTAAAATTTTCTTGTGAAACACAGGGTCTCGCTTCGTGTGGTGCCTGGTCCTGTTTTGATGAGTTTAACCGAATTGACCTTGAGGTCTTGTCTGTAGTTGCTCAGCAGATTCTTACCATTCAGAGAGGTGTGTATGATGGAAGATTATCTTTTCAGCTTTGTTACATATGATTCATTGCCACTATTCCTTCATATTCAATTCCATTCTCCAATTCCTTGGCTCTTGTATCTATCACGCTGCCTCATGACAAAGTCTTCTTAAAACTTTGATTATCTTTCATTATTATCATATCACACTTCTATTGCTGCCCACAGATACTACTTACCAGCTAAGTGCTATTTCTTATTTTTATTCTTATACCGTTTTTTTTCTGTTGTTTTGTTAGCTTCGTCAGCGAACAAAAACAACAGAAAAAAAAACAACAAAAAAACGTTCGCTGTTTTGTTGCGTTTATTTTTTCAGGTTTAACCCTACTCTGTTTTACTCATTTTATTTTCACAGGTATCCTGGCAGGAGCGGACACGCTTCTTTTTGAAGGTACAGAAATAAAATTGGACCCAACCTGCTCAGTTTTCATCACCATGAACCCTGGCTATGCAGGCAGATCTGAATTGCCAGACAACCTCAAGGTTTGTATTGATGAAAAGAAATTATTAGGATAAAACGCAGCTAGATTATTTTATTTATACAATGTCATTTTGTCCCAACTGAAACCTTTCCTGACTGTTCTGACCTCTTCTTTGCAGGCTTTGTTCAGAACAGTGGCCATGATGGTTCCAGACTACGCCCTCATTGCTGAGATCTCCCTCTACTCCTGTGGCTTTGTCAATGCCAGGCCTCTGTCTGTGAAGATTGTTGCAGTGTACAGACTGTGCTCTGAGCAGCTGTCCTCCCAACACCACTATGACTATGGCATGCGTGCTGTTAAGTCTGTGTTAACTGCTGCCGCTAATCTGAAGGTAACGGAAACAGATCAAAACTGTCGTTAAATCTAATGGGAAATTATTGAGGATTTGGACAAAATTAATAATAGATGAATTTTGCACCACTATATCTTATAAAGTGTTTAAAATCCTAGGGAATAATGAACAGAAGTTAAGGGAATACTTGAAAAAATACAACATGCAGGAGTTTTGAAACTATGGGATGTTTCGAGAGAGTTAAACATAACTTGAACAGAGCAATGATATCTTTATGAAGATTGGACAATGGAAAAAAAACATTTTTTTACAACCCATTTCTTTTATTGTCCAATCTTCATAAAGATATCATTGCTCTGTTCAAGTTGTGTACGATAAAGACACTTCAAAGAGTAATTTTGCTGTCACAGTTCAAGCAGAAACTGATTTAGTGCTTCTCGCTCTTACTTAATTTATTTTTAGTATCTCTTATATTAAACCGTTCCATGGGAATTTCAATTGATCCCAAAATAGTAGTCAGCAATTTTAGTAGGATAAAATTAAAATGCATTATTAAAATGACACATGCTGAGACTGTCCCAAAGACAGCCTCAAGAAACCAAAAATTACTTTGGAAGCTAAAATGTGAATGGATATTTTTCACTTTAAATGTATATAATTTTTTGTGTGAATAATTTGTGCACATTTGATTAATTGATTTTAAATTAATAGGAGACTAGTCACAATTGTAAATTTTAGTATTATTTTGTATTCATTTGTAGCTGAGATATGATTGGGTACTTTTCTTCGTAGAGTAATATAATAATTGTGAATAAGTTATGCAGATTCGATTAATTGATTTTAAATTCTCAGAAGACTATACACAATTGTAATACATTATTATTATTATTATTGAATTCCAGTTGAAATATCCCGAGGAAGATGAGAACATTCTCATGCTGAGATCTATCATTGATGTGAATCTACCCAAGTTCTTAAACCATGACCTCCCACTGTTCCATGGCATCACCTCTGATCTCTTCCCCGGGGTCAAGCTGCCAGAACCTGACTATGTTGATCTCAATGCTGCCATCAAGGAAAATTGTGAGAGGGAAAACTTGCAATGCACCAATTTTTTCTTGGAGAAGATTCAACAGGCAAGTGTCACATGATAAACAATAATACTTTGGCTGTAAACTGAAGAAAATTTTTTAAAAATGAAAAAAATTACCCTAATTTTTACGAGATTTTTAAAGTAAATCCAAAACAAACAATAAATGTTCAATAGAAGAGTTGTCTTCCCCTCCCAATGAGAAAAAAAAACATGAATTAACTGTTATTAAAGTATTTAAATTACTAAGTTTTTTTATTTGGTGTAATGCATTATCAATTGACTTTTAAAAATTATTTGTGAGACCAATAAATGGTCTTTGTCGTGTTCCGTTCCAGATCTACGAGATGATGATTGTGCGTCACGGCTTCATGATTGTAGGGGAGCCACTTGGTGGCAAGACAAGTGCTTACAGAACATTGGCAATGGCTTTAGGAACTCTGAAAGAGAAGGTATGAAAATTTAAATGCTAGCTGGGTCTCTTTTTAAACTTGGGTCTACTGCTGTACCTTACTTTATGGACTAAAAAAGAATAAATGTTTGACTGATCCTCACTACACAATTATTATTTTTTCTATTTTATGCTAGGACCTGATGAATGAAAACAAAGTACAGATAACTGTTATCAACCCTAAAGCCATCACAATGGGTCAGCTGTATGGTCAGTTTGACCCAGTTTCCCATGAGTGGTCTGATGGTGTCTTGGCCGTTTCTTATAGAGCCTTTGCAACCTCAACGGTTTGTACATGAAATGCTTGAAGTTCCCTTTAACACCATCTCATTTTGTTAATTCGTTTCATGGCAGAGTTGATCGATGCAACCTGCATAGAAATACTTATGATTCAATATTCAGTGATGTCCAGTGTTTGAACTGCTATCACTAAGTCCCAATGAGACCGCTCAGACTTAGTTTGCCTTTTCAGTTTTAAAATTGTTTATTTTTTCAAGACTGAAGATCGCAAATGGTTGGTGTTTGATGGTCCAGTAGATGCCATTTGGATTGAGAACATGAACACTGTGTTGGATGACAACAAGAAGCTTTGCCTCATGAGCGGGGAGATCATCCAGCTGGCACAGACAACAAATCTCATTTTTGAACCCATGGATCTGGAAGTTGCCTCCCCTGCCACAGTCAGTTCTGGGGGGGAAATACTTTAATGATAATTAAAATTGTAATTAATTAAAAGTATAACCATGTTATATTGGTCAAAACATGATATATGTTGCATTTCATTGCACTGCCACTAATTAATTATTTTTAGAATAAATTTAAAAATAAGCAAATATACATTTATTTTCTAAAGATGCAACTGTCTGCTAGGAAGAAAAGTGTACATGTTAGGGACTTAAAAAAACAAAATATAATTAAAGAGAAAAGAAACACAAATTCAGGAAAGCAAAAATGCTTTCTCTGACTTTTGTGTGACAAAAAAAAATCATGCATACAGTCAAAAGGTATTATTAGAGCATGGCTGACTGAGTTTTACAAATGAATTTACATATGTTTAAAGCACCCCTTCGATGGATAATATAAATTAAATATGATTGTTTTCTGACTTTCAGGTGTCCCGCTGTGGTATGATTTACATGGAGCCACAAACCCTCGGCTGGCGCCCACTGGTCAAATCTTGGATGAACCGTTTACCGTCAGGCTTGACAGAGGTCCACAAGAGCGTCCTGAATGACATGTTTGAGAGATTTGTCGATGCTGGCCTGCAGCTTGTTCACAAGGGTGGCGTCAAGGTAAGCACTGCAAAAATCCTTCTCAAAATGTGTTCATTCCTTTGCCTTTGAATATATAATTAACAATTTATTGTAGTGATCGAAAAAATATTCTTGAATCAATTTTCAAGCTACAAAGGAATTGCCTCATAAAAAGTGTCTGATTTTGATTGATTTATTTATTAATTACTTTTATAGCAACTGTATCCATGATATTTTAGCATGCTCACAGCGCTCTGATGTCCTAAAATCTATTTAAAGAAAAAATTCTTAAGATTGTTCTTAAATGACTTTTTATCATTTTCAATTTCCCTCAAAGATTGAGGCATTCCTTTTGACTTTTTTCTGTGTCCATCCACACTGGGAAATATTCTTACAATTCTATGCATTTTTAATTAGCCCCGATGTAGCCCAGACTTTTCAGAGAAACTATTTCCAAAATAAGATTATTTTAGGGATTGATGGCAAAATGTTATTAACCCAACTGATCCCAACTTCAGGAATTGTCTCCCACAACTGACTCCAACCTGGTCGTGGCCCTGATGAATCTCATTGATTGCCAGATGGATGAGTTTCAAGATGAGGCTAAAGTAGCTCAGATGGAAGAGAGGGAAATTATTACATGGCTTGAGGTAAGGATAAAAGGAAGCTAGTTATTTATTAAAGAAATTGGATTTTCAATTCTCATTATCGGTTGTTTCATTTCTCAGATAATAATATAATTACAATTATTGTATATTCATTTTGGGATGGGGATATTATTTTGTTTTAATTTTTTTTAGCTCATCACATGAATGATCTTTTTCAAATTTTAAAGAGAATTTTATTTGACATGCAATAGATAGGATTCTAGCAATGTCTGAGTAGCTTTTTAAGTCCCCCTAAATTTTTGCGGGAATGTAGTTTGGACCTCAGCAGATTATCATTAGTTTCAGGTGTCCACAATCTGGTAAAGTTAAGAACCCTTTTAACTGAAGTTTTACAATCTGGTTGCCAGATCTGTATTCTGTTATATTTAAAGCATTATTAGTCCTATTATTGTTCATCATCATTTTATCTTATAGTTCTATATTTGTAAAACTTCTCGTTTAACCCTAATCTGTTAATTTTGTTTTATTTCACTTCCAAATTTCCTAAGATTGTTTTTTTTTAAATTATATTTCTTTTAATGTATTTCCTGCATGATTGAGGTCAAAATTTAAATAATTTTTTTTCAGAGCATTTTCTTCTTTGCTTTGACCTGGTCTGTGGGAGCCAGTAGTGATGACAAAGGCCGTCTGCGATTTGACAAACTTGTGAGGGAGCTCAGCTCCGTGAGTGTCATTTATTGAATGAATTTTCTGTTTTGTTTACATTGTCAATGTAATCTGTTTCCAAAACTGAAATATCCTGAGGATGTAAAGTAAACTTAAGGCTGTAACACATGTTAGACAACAAACAGGTTTGTAAAAGGGAGTTGCTTAAAGATATTTGTACAACACATTTTGTTGTGTGTATCAAATTCTCTGTTAGCATCCCCTTTTTATTCCTCAAACATATGTGTAAATTAGAAAATAATTCATTTTAATTATGCAACCTTGATTTAAATAATATGTTCCATGTTGTTCTTTTTGTTACACTACATTAAAGCACATTGATAAAATTATAATGATGCATAATTACCTCCCTTTATAAAATGTTCCTCTTTTCTAAAGATCATCTCATTAATTCTCTGTTCAAGACAAAAATAGTTTTAAAAAATGTTCTTTAAATCTAATGTGCTTGTGTAATAGATATTTATAATATTTTTTTGTCAGGGAGGGATGACAGAAGAGACAAGAAAGGATATTGGACTAGTTGATCTGATAGAACCACCAATGAAACCCTATGTCAATCCCCACCCACCAAAAGGAAAAATTTATGATTACAAATTTGTCAAAGAGGTTTGGTTTTTACCAAAAAAAATTAAACAGTGGTGTAAATTTTTTTTAAAAAATTACTTTTTAAAATCCTTTCAAATTTGAGGACTAAATATTTGCTGTGATATTACACTTTATTTTCTAAAAAGAATCCATGTTTTTTTAATTGCTGCTTTTTCAACATATTCTATGTCATCAGTATTTTAGTTAAAATTGACATTGCATTGAGTCTGGCCAAGGTGTATTTTGACATGATTGTGTTCATTTTATCATGATCTTTGATCTGACATTGATAAAAAGCAGAGAGTCTCACATTTTTTGCAGGGGTCAGGTAAATGGGTGCCATGGTCAGAGGACATTAAGGACACACCTCCCATCCCTAAAGAGGCCATGTTTAACGAGATCATCGTACCAACCATTGACACTGTCCGCTACAATGCCCTGATGCAGATGATGGTCCTGCACAACAAACCCTGCTTGTTTGTTGGACCCACAGGCACTGGCAAAAGCTGCTACATAACTGTAAGTTGTCTCCCTTGTACTGAGAGATAATCAGCACACTTAACTTTTTTTATTTTTGAGTGAAGTTAATCCTTTTTTTTAATTTAAAAATTAATAGTTGTGAAAAAAATTAAGATTTTTAAGAAGTAGTCAAGACTATTCTTCTGTCCAGCAGAAACTTTTTGAAACTGTTGGCATGACTCGTTTAATGTCCAAAATTAATAAAACATTTATTGTTATGTGTGCATTAGTTTGGTTTTGTTTACTTTAACTCAGAAATATCTCTGTATTTCTACCGTTACGTTTCCTTGTTTAAATGATGCACTGTATATGTCTGAGTTAAATTGCCCTCTGATGGCATGAGTTAAAGTGCCCCCTGATGGCATGAGTTAAAGTGCCCTCTGATGGTATGAGTTAAAGTGCCCTCTGAGTGTACTTTATAAACTTTGAGTATGCCTTTCATAAGACTTGAATCAATTTTTTTTTTAATTTACTTTTTCTTTGAAATCTAAATCTATGAAATTATTAGTTGGCAATGAAGATGTTCAATATAAATTTATATCCAAACAAGTAATGTTAAATGTATGTATTACAGTTTTATATACTTGAACATTTGGCCATCACCCTTTTTATCTGAACAACTAAACATTACCTTAAACTGCTATATGCAATAGAAGTGGATAGATTCAAAATCATATCAATGTTATAGATATTTTTTTTACTATTAATCTTTTGTATTTTCTGTATTTGTAGGACTTCCTTCTGAACAAACTGAACAAAGATGTCTACAAACCAAACATTGTTAACTTCTCTGCACAAACCAGTGCAAACCAGACCCAGAACATCATCATGTCCAAGCTGGACAGAAGGAGGAAGGGAGTCTTTGGTCCGCCACTAGGCAAAAAAGCTGTGAGTATTAAATTAATTAGGCACAAATAATTGCTGTAATTAAAACTGTTAGGTTAAGATTTAATTATAGGACAAATAATACAAATTTTAACAATAAAATGATGGTCTGAATTTAAATTTAATTACAATGTGTCCTACATATTTAATAAAAGGAGATTTTAAAAAAGGTGATTTTAAAGCAGATTAAAATTGTGGGAATATTTAAATTATTGGTAATTTTTTAAAATCTTTAAGGACAAAGACTAAGGATTTCAAATGATTTTTCAAATACTTGTAAATTGATTTGTAACCATTTTATAAATGTATTTGCATTAAAATAGCTGAAACAAATACTAACCAAAAAAATATTAAGAAAAACTGGATCAGTGTACAAAAAAAAAGTTTTTTTTTCTTATTGCAGATTGTGTTTGTTGATGATTTAAACATGCCATTACAAGAAACGTATGGAGCCCAACCACCCGTTGAGCTGTTGAGACAGTGGCTAGACCACTGGAACTGGTATGACCTGAAGGACACATCCAGTATCAAATTGATTGACATTCAGTTCATGGGGGCCATGGGACCGCCAGGTAATTCTTAGATTCTTGACTTGTTTTCAAGTAAACTTTGAACTCTCAAATATTGCTGACAGAGCTAAGGCACGGGAGAAAACTAAATTTTCAAGGAATAGACATATATTTTCTCTTTAATAGGAAGTCAGGATTTAAAAAAACTGCTATTCCCTTAATAATATCTATATTTTTTAGAATATGTATATTTACTTATAAGCTAGCTTGTCTCCTGACTAAATAAAGCTATTGCTAAGAAAATTTCCTTGGATTTTTTCATCAGGTGGTGGCCGCAACCCAGTGACTCCAAGATTCCTGCGTCACCTCAACACCGTGACAATCAATGAGTTTGACGATGACACCATGGTGACCATCTTCAAAAGCATCATGGACTGGCACATCACAGCCAAGTGAGTTGGATAGAATGGGTCCAGTTAAAACCCATATTCTGGGTCCTTGAAATTAAGTCTACAACATAAACTAGATTTGAATTGAAAGTAAAAATGTGGCCTACCAACAAATTGACCTTATTTTTAATGCACTTTTTATAATTTAAAAAAAAAAACAAAGTATTGGTCATTTCTTTGATTTCTATTTTTTTTTTTTTTACAATTCTACATTTTTGTTGTCTTGCATGATGTCATTTCTTGAGTCTGACTTTTTTTTGTAGTTTGATATAATTTTAAAATTTAAAAAAAAAAAACAAAGTATTGGTCATTTCTTTGATTTCTATTTTTTTTTTTTTTACAATTCTACATTTTTGTTGTCTTGCATGATGTCATTTCTTGAGTCTGACTTTTTTTTGTAGTTTGATATAACATAATAAGATTCTGGATCAATGTTGTAAACTGTTTCCATGTTGTTGGTTTCTTACAGGGGATTCAGCAATGAGTTCAAGCCGTGTGCTGAGCAGGTTGTGCATGGAACACTCCAAGTCTACAAGGAGGCATTGCAGAATCTCCTGCCCACACCAGCCAAGTCCCATTACCTCTTCAACTTGAGAGATTTCTCAAGAGTTATCCAGGGTGTTTTGTTGTCTACACCAGACACAATGGAGGAGCCGACTTCCATGAAAAGGTTGTGGGTACATGAGGTAAGGCAATGTCAGATAAATGTACACAAGGTTATGTTTAAATAAAAGTTTCCGGTACAAGATATTGGGAGAAAGGGAATAATGTGTATTGATATAACAATTGAGTTTAAAAACGTCTTAAATGTTAAGTCTGCCAAGATATGCCTGCATACAGGTGTAAATATCTTTCCTAATGTTCATGTGTAGGGAAGCAAGGAGGTTATGTTTTGATCCTAGGAAATAACATGTCCTTAACTTCACGAACTAATATCATCAATTTTTGTCAATTTAATTATTATTTATGATATTAAATTTATTGCAATCTTATGCCCTTATTTGTTTAAATTAAATGATTAGGTTGCTCTGTTGAATTTTTTTAGCTTTTTGTCATTCTAAATCAAAACTCTCTAGCTCCATATTATAATTTATAGGTGTTCAGAGTTTATTATGATCGTCTTGTTGACGATGGTGATCGTGACTGGTTGTTCAAGAGCACCCGTGAAATCATAAAGGACAAAATGCGTGAAGACTTTGATCACATATTCAGTCATCTTGACTCAGACAGTGATGGGAAGGTAACTGTGAGCCTTTCAGTCATTTTAAATTATTTCATTCCCAGCTAATTTTAGAATTTAGCCCTTTTTTAATTTAATTTTCTTTTAAAAAGCATTTGTGACAATTGTAAGAATGTAAATATGAAGTATAAAAAAAAAATTTAATTTAGCAAAATTGAAGTTTAAAAAAATGAAATATTAATAAGGAGGAGGCAATAATAATAATGAGGCATTTAATTTTTAAAATTTTATTTACCAAAATTTAGGTGACAGAGGACGATCTCCGATCCCTCTTGTACTGTGACTTCTCTGACCCCAAATCAGATTCTCGCAGCTATACAGAAGTTCGTGATCTAGAGAACTTGCGACACATCACTGAAGGATATCTTGAAGAGTTTAACAACATGAGCAAGAAACCTATGAACCTTGTACTGTTCAGGTAGATAAACAATTTGGCTTTAATTTACAATCCAAAAACAATACCGCTTTTATTTACATCCAGATTTTAACTTTAAGTTTTTCTTTTTAAGCCATCCAATTTAACAATTTTTCTGCATTTGAATATCTGTTTATAATTCTGAATTATTCATCTCGTAAAAAAAAAAACTCATGTAGGTTGAACAATTTTGTAACATTAAATCTCTCATTACATACCTTGTTTGCATTAAATCTCCCATGATGACCCTTGTTTGCATTAAATCTCCCATGATGACCCTTGTTTGCATTAAATCTCCCATGATGACCCTTGTTTGCATTAAATCTCCCATGACATCCCTTGTTTGCTTTAAATCTCCCATGATGACCCTTTTTTTGCATTAAATCTCCCATGACATCCCTTGTTTGCATTAAATCTCCCATGATGACCCTTGTTTGCATTAAATCTCCCATGATGACCCTTGTTTGCATTAAATCTCCCATGATGACCCTTGTTTGCATTAAATCTCCCATGATGACCTTTGTTTGCATTAAATCTCCCATGATGACCCTTGTTTGCATTAAATCTCCCATGACATCCCTTGTTTGCATTAAATCTCCCATGATGACCCTTTTTTTTGCATTAAATCTCCCATGACATCCCTTGTTTGCATTAAATCTCCCATGACATCCCTTGTTTGCATTAAATCTCCCATGATGACCCTTTTTTGCATTAAATCTCCCATGATGACCCTTGTTTGCATTAAATCTCCCATGACAAATCTTCTTTAAGGTTCGCTATCGAGCATGTGTCCAGGATAGCCCGCATCATCAAACAGCCAAGAAGTCACGCCCTCCTGGTTGGAGTGGGTGGATCTGGTCGCCAGTCACTGACCAGGCTGGCCACACACATGGCTGATTATGATCTCTTCCAGGTTGGCCTTATTCATACATCTCTTTTGATCTTTTAATGAATGCAAGTGTACAAGGAACAAAATGATAACAAGTTGTTTGATAATGCATTCGTTTATGTTTAGTAACCTTGTTACAGAAGGTTTCATGTTGCATTTTGTAGGTTAGTAGAAAGATTTTAGCTATGTATATAAGTTTGAATTTCAAACTTTTGCAACAAAATGTAGATTGGAAATGGTATTATTTGATCATTACTTTATCTATGTTTACATGTAACACAATGTTTGGAAGATGATTGTCTTGAAATTTTAATTAATTATGTTAACTTTATTGTTAAAAAATTTTACAGGTTTTTTCATCACTGATGTTTATGTTTTCTTCTTTCTAACATTACCTCTTGTGTTCTTGTGTTTCCTTCTTTCTAACCTTACTTCTTGAATTTCTCATGTCTTTTTCTTTCTTTTTGTGTTCAGGTCGAGATCTCTAAGAGCTACACAACAACTGAGTGGCGTGAAGATTTGAAGAGAATTTTACGTAAATCAACAGAAACAGAAAACCATGCTGTCTTCCTGTTTTCAGATACTCAGGTTAGCTCAGTCAGCCAATATATGAGACATAAGTTTATAACTTTCTAATGGATGATGGAGGCCTTTTTTTTGAAATATTTATTCTGTTTAACTATATGATTTATAAATGAAGATACTTTTTTTGGTGGCCATGTTGCATGAGGTAATTAGACTTAACTAAACACATCTGGTGAGCATGAGAAAGTGCACAGACTTTAGATAGTGAATATTCTTTAATATAAATTAATTATGCTGGCTAGAAATCTGATATCGAATTAATGAGAATCCACAGTCCTTAAATAATGTGTTTAATATTGAAAGCTGCATCACCTCATCTTTACTGAGGAAGTTGAAGTTTTGTCCATTGAAGAAGCTGAGGTAAAAATGTCACCCAATTGTTAGCAGCCATCACTGACTTCAGTACATTTTTTATCTCTTTAAATATTTTTTTTATGTTGAAGGGATCACAGATTATTCAGTTCTCAATGCATTATAATTTTTTAAAGTCAATTTTAGTCTTTGTTGTGGTAAGTGTGTCACATTGTAAGTTAAAATTCACACAGTTTTTCAGATTTCAATACCTTATATTTCAAATGCAATATATCTAAGTCTATTGTGCTAACTTTTTTTTTCAAAAGCCTTTTAAATATTTTTATCTAAGAGAAAACCATTTAATATTATTTGTTTTATTTTTTGTATAAATTGTATCTATGGCTTATATCACTTGATGATTTAAAAGTCTTATTCATTAAAAAGAAAATATTTATTTTTGCAATTACAATAGTGTGTACTTATGTACTAAATCAAGATGTCATTAAATAACAACTATTATAAATAATATTAAAATAGCTTTCCAAAGCAAATCTCACAATTTAATTACTTTAAGTATTATTTTAATTATTAGGCCTTTTATTTTTTTTTTAAATATTTAAAGCTGTATTGCATTAAACAATTAAATGTATCAAAATTAATCTTTGTATTAAATCAAGAAAAGTTAATATAAAATACATAACCCAAAAAATGTCTTTTACAATTTTTCTGTTCAATATTTTTTTAACAGATTAAGCAAGAATCTTTCTTAGAAGACATCAACAACTTGCTGAATGCTGGCGAGGTGCCAAATCTTTATCCAACAGATGAGAAGGCTGAAATCTGTGAAAAAATGAGAACCATTGACAGGTGAGATTAAATGACTGGGTCAGGCCACTAATACTTTTAGTGTGCTTATTTTGCATCATAGGCTTTGATTATATGACACAAAGCCTTACCAGCTTGTACTAGGGGGATCCTTATTTAATTTTTAAAAATAATTTTCATTGGTACCCAACATTTACAATGAAAAATTCTTCATCTTTTTTAAATGAAATATTTTATTTTCTCACCTTCTTAATGTTATCTGTGGCCAGTTGTAAAAGTAAATGAATAATTATATAAATTATATAATAAAGATTTGATTGATAATTTTTAATCCTAATAGACAACGGGACAAAACCAAACAAACGGATGGATCTATTGTTGCATTGTTCAACCTATTTGTCTCCCGTGTCAGAGACCAGCTCCATATTGTCTTGGCCATGAGTCCTATAGGGGATGCATTCCGAAATCGCTTAAGAAAATTTCCCTCTTTAGTTAACTGTTGTACTATTGATTGGTTTCAGGTCAGTATGTTATATAACTATAAATATTTCATATTTTCCTTTTGTATTTACTCTACTGTAATTTGTTTCAAATATAAAATCATTTTTTAGGGCTTTGAAATATAAATGACATAAATAAAGTTTATGCAAAATTTCCTTGAAGCCAAATTTTAGATTTTCATTTAAATAGACTTAAACAGGGAATAAGATCAAATTAACTTAACATTACACATTATTTGGTACATATCTTATTAATATAGAGCTGGCCTGAAGATGCCCTGCAAGCTGTAGCCTCCCGTTTCCTAGAGGAGATTGACATGGGTGAGGAGGAAAAGGCTGGATGCATTAAGATGTGCAAGCATTTCCATACATCAACCAGAGATGTGAGTTGAGTTTTATTTTTCCAAACATCAACATCTGACCATGGGATAATTTATGTTAACTTAATATTATTTCTTTGAATATTTAAGTTATCCTAGCCCACACAGTGTAAAAAAAAACTCCTTAAAATTTCTACATAAACTTTTCCATGCACTTTTCAGACCACATCCAAACCATCATTTCAAATGTGTCTTTAGTACATTTGTCCCTGAATGAGTTGTTAGATTGTAAAAATTGAGCTGGTCACAAATAACTAGGCAAATAAAAGAATGTATAATCATAATTTATGTATGAAAATGAAATTTTATTTTTTAAAATTTTGTTAAAATATTTTTATTGTCAATAACCACTTCTAGCTGGCCTATTAAATTTATGGAAGTAAAACACATTTGATTATCATCATATATATTTAATATGATGATAAACTGATGTTTTACTATGAGCAGCCAAAAGTATAGATAATCACAAATAAATTAATAATTCTATTCTTGTTGCAGGTATCAGAAAAGTTCCTAATTGAACTGGAACGGCACAACTATGTCACCCCAACCTCATACCTGGAGCTGATCAGTACATTCAAATCTTTACTGGACAGAAAGAGAGAGTAAGAAAAATTATATCTAGTTTAAGTTAGACTAGAGAACTTCACATCAATCCTATGTTTATAAGAAGTTGAGCTTGGGACATTTCATGACTTTTCAAATCCCCTCTCCCATTTTTTTTAAATTTTATTTGTCTTGAATACAAAATTAAATAATTCATTCCACAAAGAGTAATTATATATCATCATAATGTATGTATGCTATCACTGGTCTCTTTGCCAATGCACTGACTCATTACTTGAATGCTTCTGCCAGAGAGGTCATGAGGCAGAAGAAGAGATATGAAGTCGGTCTGGAGAAACTTGACTCAGCATCCTCCCAGGTGTCGGTCATGCAGAAGGAGTTGACTGACCTCCAGCCTCAGCTTGTCGTGGCATCCAAGGAGGTCTCTGAGATTATGATTGTCATTGAGAAGGAGTCCATTGAAGTTGCCAAGGTTGAGAAGGTCAGTGGAGCATTTCATCCATTTTGTTATGTTAAATTATTATTGTTGTTATTATTAGGTGGTTTTATATAGGGCAGAACCCCAGCCTAGGGCTGGGCTCACTGGAGTACCCTGCCTAGGGCTAAGCTCACTGCAGTACCCTGCCTAGGGCTAAGCTCACTGCAGTACCCTGCCTAGGGCTAAGCTCACTGCAGTACCCCAGCTTAGGGCTAGGCTCACTGCAGTACCCCAGCCTAGGGCTAAGCTAACTGAAGTACCCCAGCCTAGGGCTAAGCTCACTGCAGTACCCCAGCCTAGAGCTAAGCTAACTGCAGTACCCCAGCCTAGGGCTAGGCTCACTGCAGTACCCAGGCCTAGGGCTAGGCTCACTGCAGTACCCAAGCCTAGGGCTAGGCTCAATGCAGTACCCCAGCCTAGGGCTAGGCTCACTGCAGTACCCCAGCCTAGGGCTAGGCTCACTGCAGTACCCCAGCCTAGGGCTAGGCTCACTGCAGTACCCAGGCCTAGGGCTAGGCTCACTGCAGTACCCCAGCCTAGGGCTAGGCTCAATGCAGTACCCCAGCCTAGGGCTAGGCTCACTGCAGTACCCCAACCTAGGGCTAGGCTCACTGCTGTACCCCAGCTTAGGGCTAGGCTCAATGCAGTACCCCAGCCTAGGGCTAGGCTCACTGCAGTACCCCAACCTAGGGCTAGGCTCACTGCTGTACCCCAGCTTAGGGCTAGGCTCACTGCAGTACCCCAGCCTAGGGCTAGGCTCACTGCAGTACCCCAGCCTAGGGCTAGGCTCACTGCAGTACCCCAGCGTAGGGCTCGGCTCACTGCAGTACACCAGCCTAGGGCTAGGCTCACTGCAGTACCCAAGCCTAGGGCTAGGCTCAATGCAGTACCCCAGCCTAGGGCTAGGCTCACTGCAGTACCCCAGCCTAGGGCTAGGCTCACTGCAGTACCCCAGCTTAGGGCTAGGCTCACTGCAGTACCCCAGCTTAGGGCTAGGCTCACTGCAGTACCCCAGCTTAGGGCTAGGCTCACTGCAGTACCCCAGCCTAGGGCTAGGCTCACTGCAGTACCCCAGCCTAGGGCTAGGCTCACTGCAGTACCCCAGCCTAGGGCTAAGCTCACTGCAGTACCCCAGCTTAGGGCTAGGCTCACTGCAGTACCCCAGCTTAGGGCTAAGCTCACTGCAGTACCCCAGCTTAGGGCTAGGCTCACTGCAGTACCCCAGCCTAGGGCTAGGCTCACTGCAGTACCCCAGCCTAGGGCTAGGCTCACTGCAGTACCCCAGCCTAGGGCTAGGCTCACTGCAGTACCCCAGCCTAGGGCTAGGCTCACTTCAGTACCCCAGCCTAGGGCTAAGCTCACTGCTGTACCCCAGCTTAGGGCTAGGCTCACTGCAGTACCCCAGCCTAGGGCTAAGCTCACTGCAGTACCCCAGCCTCGGGCTAGGCTCACTGCAGTACCCCAGCTTAGGGCTAGGCTCACTGCAGTACCCCAGCCTAGGGCTAAGCTCACTGCACTTTACATAAAAATTAGCAATTACAGAAAATTCTGCATTTAAAAAGAGCAATTGATGAAGAGCTTGAGCGTTGTTATCAGAGGAGGGTGAGAATGAGTCGGTATAGTACAGTCTGAAGAGATGGGTGTTGAGGGCAGTTTGGAAGTGGAGTCGGTATAGTACAGTCTGAAGAGATGGGTGTTGAGGGCAGTTTGGAAGTGGAGTCGGTATAGTACAGTCTGAAGAGATGGGTGTTGAGGGCAGTTTGGAAGTGGAGTCGGTATAGTACAGTCTGAAGAGATGGGTGTTGAGGGCAGTTTGGAAGTGGAGTCGGTATAGTACAGTTTGAAGAGATGGGTGTTGAGGGCAGTTTGGAAGTGGAGTTGAAGCTGAACTTGACATGGCAGATGTCATTTAAATGAAAAATACTTTGTGGTGTGAATTTTGAGTATATAAAATTACCTGCCAACCCCATGGAGTTAAAAATTTGTACAGGTCCAAGAAATGAAAGTATGCTATTCAACTGAACTTCATAGTTGTGATGTAGGTCATGGGTGGGAAACCTTTTGGTAATATTTTGCCTTAGTAGTATGTCTCTATGAGTTTATCTGCTCTAACATATTTTTACATAGTAATGGAGAATTATTTTATGGTCTTCCACGTTCAATTGAAAATCACCCAGCAGGCCATGACATACCAATCTATGATGTGGTATTCCTCACTTATTATTATTTTTAAACTGCTGGTCACTGGAACACAGATCATTCAGGAGGACATTTATTTAGCAATAACTCAGAGAATTTCTCCTGCTGCAAAGATTGGCTTATGTTCAATCTATGATTTTGAATAACTTTGTGATATGTTTTTAGGATATTTATCCATGGTGAAAAACAGAAACTTGGGTAATGGGTGACCCAGACCATGAGAATGATATCCTATCCTCTTGCGGTTTTTAATGGGAAATGTTTTTGTTTTGTATAGGTTGTTAAAGCCGATGAGGCTATAGCCAATGAACAAGCCAGGGCTGCCCAGGCCATCAAAGATGAATGTGACTCTGACCTGGCTGAAGCTCTGCCCGCCCTGAATGCTGCACTGTCAGCTCTGGATACTTTGACTCAACAGGTGGGTGTGGTCTGAAATACTTAAGTGCTTGTGATTTTGAGCACACCGTGTGGATGCCAAATGTGGCAAGTGTGTTTGATGTAGTTTGTTACAACCATGGTAGGACTGATCTTAAAGCTCGAAAAATAAAATTGGTTGATTTTAAAATATTATCCATGGAAAAATTGTATTTCAAAGCTTGTAACATGACTTTCCATGCATTTTTTCTCACATAGGACATAACTATAGTCAAGTCCATGAAATCTCCCCCGTATGGTGTACGCCTTGTGATGGAGAGTATCTGTGTGCTCAAGGGAGTAAAGCCAGATCGTATCCCTGATCCATCTGGATCTGGCAAGAAAATTGAAGATTTCTGGGGGCCATCAAAAAAACTTCTTGGTGACATGAAGTTCTTGGAAAATCTGCACACTTTTGATAAGGTCAGTAGTTGCCTCTCACTGATTCACGTTTTTGTTAAGAATATAGTTATATTATGACAATAATTATTGAAGCTGACTTCAACCAGGCACTGACTCTAAAGCACAGGTTTGATCAGTTATATTGACTTTACTGTATATATATATATATATATATATATATATATATATATATATATATATATATATATATATTCAGGACAATATATCATCTGTCTACATAAATAAAATAAAGACAACATACACACTACAACTACAATCTTACCCAGATANGGTCAGAGCCATGGACACATATGACAAGTGAGTTTAAAAAAATAATAGTTTGTTATATATAATCCTGCAGACATTGAAAATGCTAATAAGCACTGGATAAGAGTAGTAAACAATTTTTTTAGAGCCAGACTTTATTCTTCTCAGGAAGAGGTATGATGGATATTTTTGTGATTATAAATAACTATGAGACTAAGCAATTTATATTTATATATATATATATATATATATATATATATATATATATACTGGTTATAATTTGTCAAACAATGGTGACGATGTGTGAACTTCTCATCTAAAAAAGTTGCTTGACAAAACATGCACTCAAGTAGGGCACTTTATAAAAATACCAATTTGCACTATAACACTTACCCTTCCTTCACCAGGATTCGCCACCGCAAAGCTTATTCATGGTCCTGAGCTATGCAAATATATTGATGTCCCACCTTTTACACCGAAGATCTATTACAGCATATTTAAATTGGGACTATTTCCCTAATAATACCCACCAAATGTATAATTTTAAGAATTTCCTTTATCTCATTTATCTGGATTTTATGTAGAAAAATATCTCAATAAATAGCCCAAAATTTAATGTGAGTTAACCCTTCAGGACTTTATTTTAATATTCATTATGTTAAGAGAAAAAAAAGAGAGCATGTTTATTTAAAAATTAGCAAAATAATAGTCACTAAAGAATTTTAATGTATTTGAACAATTTGAGTAATACATACACATTGTCATCAATCATTGCAGAGTAGCTAAAGTTGTGGCACCAAAGAAAGAGTCTTTGAAGAAAGCTGAGGGAGAACTTGCAGTTGCCATGGCATCACTGGAGAAGAAGAGAGCTTCTCTGAGGGAAGTGCAGGTAAGTTGGACAGATGTATACATTATTTTATTTTTTTTGCATAATATACAAAATTATTATAAAACAACTGTCTATTAGTCTATATCATGAAATTTATCTTTTAAATGCACCAGACTTGAGATTTCTTTATGTTATCCTTTTGTTGACACTTCTTCATGCTTGTAAAAAGTATTTTATCACTAAAAATGTATTTGTTTGTGTAATAGATTTAGGTGGTAAAGAGAGCTTACAAATTTTTGAGAGGGTCACCAATTTTTAAAATGTTTTTAATCTCCTTGCACATTTTAATAATTGATTTACAATTATTTAAAAAAAAAAAGAATCACTTTTGATGTGTAGTAATTTTTTTTTTAAATTTGTTTGTCACACTTTCACGGGGAAGCATTTACGTATGATACTTTTTTATTCCAGGAAAAACTCAACAAACTCCAGCAAAAACTCGAGTCTAATAAGGCCAGAAAGGCAGAACTTGAAAATGAGGTTGATCTCTGCACCAAGAAACTGGCCAGGGCTGAGCAGTTGATTGGTGGATTAGGTGGTGAGAGAGACAGGTAAATCTAAATGTGGGATTTATTATTATTATTATTATAATTGGTTTTATATAGCATGGTACCCCAGCCTAGGGCTGGGCTAACCACGCTGTACATACAATTTAACAAATGTAATCCAAAAACTTAAAAAATTAATTGACATACATTAATTAAATAAAACAAAACAATTTAGTGATTATCAGAATGACAATTGACTTCTTTATAGATATTTTTTTTTTTTAATTCATAAGCATCAAACATAAAAAAAAGAATTTTGTAGAATGAAATGAATATTTGATTTCAAACAGGTGGAGTCAAGCTGCTAAAGATCTAGGCAAGAAATATATCAACCTGACAGGTGACGTCCTGGTCTCCTCTGGCATTGTTGCTTACCTTGGAGCATTCACTACAGCTTTCCGACAGGTAAGTGATGCATCACAAATATGTCAGCTCTAGAATGCATAGCTTTTCAAATATGTGTAATATACAGTCAGGATGAAAGCAGTTTCCAAACCAGAGGTATGTACCAGTTCAACATTTTATAGGTGTGTGCCATATTATTTATGAGATAAGATGTGTCCCCAAGAATATTTGTTTGATCAAAAATACATTTTTTTAAATATCTTGGGATAGTAGAATGAAATATAGAAACTAATGCTATTTGATGTACAATAATCGCATAGTGTTTTATTTAGTGAATAGTGATCAAATAAAGATGTTTTTTTCTTTGGGGGCTGGGGGTGGACTGTAAATGAGAGTGGTGAAAATGTATTCACATTGTGTTGTAACAATTGATCCCCATTAGGAAACAGCCCATGACTGGCTGAAAACTGTACAGGAAAACAACCTGCCATGCTCCAGTGACTTCAGCCTCATCAACACTCTGGGGGAACCAGTCAAGATTAGGGAATGGAATATTGCTGGCTTACCAACTGATAACTTCTCTTTAGAGAATGGTATCATCATCAGGTAAGCAGGGCTAGTGGAGTTGAATCACCTCAAGGTTTGGAGAAAAAAGTATTTAGGTCCCTACATTTTCAGTGCCAGATTGTGACACAAATATTTTCTATAATTTTAAATAATAACTTTTTGATTGTATTGAAGTCTTATGTTTATATTGTTGTTGGTTTTTTTTTTATTTTATTTATTATTTTTATGGATGGCTACCTAACATTGCCCNGATTAATTGGATAATAAAATTTTAGACAAAAATAGACAAAAAAATTTTATTAAAGTAAAGAGAAAATAAAGAGAAAGTAACTAAGTTGATGTCCGGTCCGTTCGTTCACCATACAAATACGCTACAGTAAATTAAAACTACATTAAAACATTACTAAAAAAATTTTGCCCCCCCCAGAAAGTTAATCGATTCCCCCCCCTCTCCCCCCTAGGAAGTTTTCTGCGGGCGCCCATGCTACCTAATATTTACTTTAAATATGAATCATTAAGTTGATATGTTTATGAGATTTGTTTGTCAATTGAAAAGAAATGCATTTCCTACTATCATGTAAAAATCTGGCAATTAAAAAAACACATGAAACAAGCTGGTACAAGACATTACTGCATTTGTCCTTTAATCTTCAGTGACTTAACAATATCCAAGAAATCCTATGTCAAATATTGCTCCTAAAAATAATGAAATGATTTCTCTCCCAGTAACGCTCGCAGATGGCCCTTAATGATTGACCCACAGGGTCAAGCCAACAAGTGGGTCAAGAACATGGAAAAGGCCAATAACCTGCATGTGATCAAACTCAGTGATGCTGACTTTGTCAGGACCTTGGAGAACTGTATCCAGTTTGGTACACCAGTAAGTAGTGTGTTTGTCAATCCAAGGGCATGTTTAAACAACAATTATACTATCTTATCCACCTTTTGGGGTTTTTTTTCTAATGGGTCTTTAGTCTTACCATTTGGTTAGAGAGTTAGTTGTTCTTTTTTAAAGTTAAAAGCTCATGAAACTATTTCCAGCGGTGAGCTCTCTGGTAAAAAAAAACCTCAAGTAGATCTTCATCATATCTTAAGCAGATATGCACTAACCAAGGAATCGGAAATTGTGTCATACTCATATTTTCTGTTTTTTTTTTTTTAGTTTAAATGTAAAAATTTTTTACAAATATACATCTAATTTAAATTACTACAAAGAAGTGGGAACCATGTTTTTTTCTACTAGAAGAAAGATGTAATTTGAATGACTTCTATTTGAGAGCAATTTTTGGTATGCATAAAAACTAAATTAATAATTTAAAAGGCTATGTTAGTAAAAAAAAAATATATCTATATCTTATGCTCAAAATCTACCTTTTGGTCTAATTTTGTTCCTTTATTTGTCAGGTTTTGCTAGAAAATATTGGTGAAGAACTTGACCCCATTTTGGAGTCACTCCTGCTGAAGCAGACATTCAAACAAGGTGGAAGTTTGTGCATCAAGCTGGGAGATTCCACCATTGAATATTCCAGTGATTTCAAGTTCTACATCACCACCAAACTCAGGAATCCACACTACCTCCCTGAGACTGCTGTAAAGGTAAATTTGAGGCTAGGCAAATGTTCATTCAAGTCAACACATTTCATAGGGATCTTCATTTATGTATTAATGGCTAACCACCTTTTTTTTCAAATTTGCCTTTAATGTACATCTTAATCATAGCTATACAATTACAATCAAACAACCAAATAAAATAAACATATTCATACATTTGTCCACCATTCATTAATTCAATTTAAAATATGGATGAAATCGGAATGATGTAAACCATCAATAGTTTGTTGAAAATAGATACTGTTATGAATGATTTTTTATTGAGAGCAAAGCACCACTTTACCTGACCCATCTTCTACTGGCTATATATATATATGTCATATGCCTCTTGTTGATCGAGTTCATCTGAATTGTCAAATGTGTGTCTCCCTGTCCAGGTGACCTTGCTGAACTTTATGATCACACCAGAGGGCTTGGAGGATCAGCTGCTTGGCATTGTTGTTGCTAAGGAGCGCCCAGAGCTGGAAGAAGAGAAGAATCAGCTCATCTTACAGAGTGCAGCCAACAAGAAGTAAAAAATGTTTTATTTATTTTATATTTTAGTGACCTAATATGGTGGCATAATATAGTGGACTGATATAGTGGCCTAACATAGAGGCCTAATATAGGGGCCTAATATGGTGGCCTAATATAGAGGTCTAATATAGAGGCCTAATATAGAGGCCTAACATAATGACCTAATATAGTGGGCTTATATAGTACGCAATCATCATTTATTTAGTATTCTTTAAGGCATTAAAAAAAGAATTCATTAACCATGTTCAGTAGTATCATACTGTTCTTTTCCTTTCAGTAGTATCATACTGTTCTTTTCCTTTCAGTAGTATTATACTGTTAGTTTCCTTTAGCTTTTAGCATAGAGCTTAAAAAACAGGAAAAGGATTTATATAGGCCTATTAACTAAATTGTTATTTAGAAGACCAAAGTTGTGTCTGTTTGAATTATATGATTACATGTGCTTTGTTTATATAACTTACTGTTATTTTAATTTATTTATTTCCCTCCATTCTCATCATGGTTTTATACCACTAATTACTTGATAAAAATTAATAAAAATGTACAGTTAAAAAAATTCAAAGCCCAACAACATTTAAACAAAAAGAAACTTTTTTTGATTGATAAGATTTTAATTTTTGAAAAGCCTTTTGATGTTGTAACCAAATCAGAAATCACTCATACAGTACACTAGTCAGTGTGTGATGGTTAACTTCTTCAATTCATTTTACCAGGCAACTCAAGGAAATAGAAGACAAGATTCTAGAGGTCCTGTCCTCATCAGAGGGCAATATTCTAGAAGATGAAACAGCCATCAAAGTTCTCTCCTCTTCTAAGAAACTGGCCAATGAAATTTCAGAAAAACAGGTTTGCAAAATTGACATTTTGTATCTTTTCCTTTTTCTGACTTTAAGAAATAACAAGTATTTTTTAAGTAAGAAAGTAAAGAAAAGGATAAAACGAAATAGAAATCTAAAAAAGAATGAATTTAAAAAAATACATCAAAAAGATTAAATAAATATGTAGGTACCTCATTTATAGAGTTACAGATGGAAATATAATTGTTAAGAAACAAAGTTACACAATTTAAAGAAATTCAGAACTAATATTTGTTTATTTTTATGGAGGATGTGAAAATTAACTACACTGAACAATTTAGATTGAAAAGTGAATATTTATTCAATTTTTTTTCCCAGTAAATAAAAAGTTTGGATGTATTATATTTTAAACTGGTCTGAATTGTTAAGGAAAAAAAATTTCAGATCTTTAAAATGTGGATCAAATGATATTTTCAACAGGCAATAGCTGAGGTAACAGAGAAGAAAATTGATACAGCTCGAATGGGCTACAAACCTATAGCCATCCACAGCACCATCTTGTTTTTCTCCATCGCAGACCTGGCCAACATTGAACCCATGTACCAATACTCTTTAACCTGGTTCATCAATTTGTTCATTCTGTCCATTGAAAATGCTGAGAAGTCTGAAGATCTGTCGCAGCGCCTTCATTCTCTGCACACACACTTCACCTACTCACTGTACTGCAATGTATGCAGGTCTCTCTTTGAGAAGGACAAGGTCAGTTTGAGTGCAAAAGCTTTTATTCATTTAAAAACAAAAATGACATTAACGAAACTGTATATAAAATGTAAGTTTAGGGTACACAACCATTTTAAGCACAACATGGTAAACATCTTGTAACTATTCACTCTGTTGTGTGTGGGGAAAACAGGTAAGATAATTATCTAAATTTATTTACTATAACACCTGTCACTGCCAGTTCTACATAAAATGAATTCTCAAGTATAACTTCACCCTAAGCACTTTATTCACATAATAAATAATCCTTGGAACAATAATGATATCAGTAACAGCACAGGATATGCATCCTCAATATATATATCTATATATATATATATATAATTTCCCTTCTTATATTGATTAGTTAAATGTAAACTGTACGTCCACCTTGTTCAATTCAATATATCTGCTCTCGTCATCACACTTATTTCACAATTAATCAGATAGAAGAATGACACACAACCTCCCAATATGGCGGCCTTCACCCTATTCGTTATTTCCATATATTTGTGTGTCATACTGTTTAACATATGTTGACTAAAATACTTGTATGTTCCATTGGGAAACTGATTGTGAGTTGAGTATGCCAGATTACCTCACCATGCCCTAAAAACAATCATTGGCATCTCTAATAGTTTTTGAAGCTAATTTATTTTATAATACCTAGTCCACTAGGTGTCTACTATATTATCAGTCCACTTGATGTACATTACATTATCAGTCCACTTGGTGTCTATTGCATTATCTCTTGCATGGAAAAATATGAGTTAAATAGAATAATGGTCCATTTAAGCTTATCAGTTTCATTAGTATTTTACACAAAGAAACAGTCCTTTTTTTGTGTTTGTCTCCTTTAACCAAGCCATCCAGTTATGCTGCCAGGTTATTGGAATGTGATAATCGTGATAGTTTAATACAAGTTTTTTGTTTGTAAAAATTTTGATTATTTTCACATTTCTTTGTAGTAATGAATTTTAAAAATATTAAAATATGAAACTGACTCGATTTGAGGAGTTTAAATATAAAGTTTGTAACAAATATTCATGATAATTTTAGTCTCTTGTACACATCAGTGTTATTATTATCCTTTCTCATGCTATTTTATAGCTTTAAATGTTCCTATTCCTTCCAACAAGTTGCTGTTCTCGTTCCTCCTCTGTGTCAACATACAAAAACACAACAAAGAGGTCAATGAGGAAGAGTGGCGGTTCCTGCTGACCGGCGGTATCGGCCTTGACAACCCCCACTCCAACCCAACAGCATGGCTGCCACCCAAATCGTGGGATGAGCTGTGCCGCTTGGATGAGCTCGACAACTTCAAGGACATCCGCAAGAAACTGATGACTCAAAAAGATCAGTGGAAGGTTCTGTATGACAGCTTGGTGAGTGGATGCTTCCATGAGTATATTAAATATTATAGCATAGATTAATTTTTGAACAAGTGTTCAACACTCATTAGGATATCAGTAAGGGAATTATTATTTTTGTAAATATATTTAGAGAGAATTAAAAAAAAAATTGTTTTAAAGTTGTTCCTTTAAATAGGAACATGAAATATTCACAGCAAAGATCCCTAATATGATGGTTTTGGGCACCTGGCACTATGTGTTGGGCACCTTGCACTATGTTTTTGGCATCTCACACCATGTGTTGGGCACCTGGTATCATGTATTTGGCACCTGGCATCATGTATTTGGCACCTGGCATCATGAATTTGGCTCCTGGCATCATGTGTTGGGCACCTGGCATCATGTGTTGGGCACCTGGCATCATGTGTTGGGCACCTGGCATCATGTTTTGGGCACCTGGAATCATGTGTTGGGCACCTAGTACCATGTGTTGGGCACCTTGCAGCATGTGTTGGGCACCTGACACCATTTAATAAGTTTTCTTCTCTAAAAGATTACTCTCATATTGAAACCTTTGGTACTACTACCATACTAATTTTAGGGAGTATGTCATATAACTGTATGTCAAATAACTGTATGTCATATAACTGTATGTCATACAACTGTATGTCATATAACTGTATGTCAAATAACTGTATGTCATATCACTGTATGTCAAATAACTGTATGTCATATAACTGTATGTCAAATAACTGTATGTCATATAACTGTATGTCATATAACTGTATGTCAAAGGACTGTATGTCATATAACTGTATGTCATATAACTGTATGTCATATAACTGTATGTCATATAACTGTATGTCATATAACTGTATGTCAAATAACTGTATGTCATATAACTGTATGTCATATAACTGTATGTCAAAGGACTGTATGTCATATAACTATGTCATATAACTGTATGTCATATAACTGTATGTCATATAACTGTATGTCATATAACTGTATGTCATATAACTGTATGTCATATAACTGTATGTCATATAACTGTATGTCATATCCCATTTCTTGTAATATTTATAACCATAATAAACAAAATTTTAACCCCGCTGGGCATATCTTATTCAAAATAAAATATTTCACTCTTCATTTTTTTCATTAGAAGATTTTACACGCATGGTTTGTTTTAGGAATTTTTTTGTCAACTATCATCTTAACATTATTGTTAATAAATGTCTAAATAATTTACCTTTGCGGCCAAAAACTGTATACCGGTATCTGGAAATTTTTGTAAAGACTAATTAGAAAGTTTTACTAACAGGAACCCCAGCATGAAAAACTTCCAGGAGACTGGGACCAGAAACTGGGATCCTTCCAGAGACTTCTGGTGCTCCGCTGCTTCAGGCCTGACAAGGTAATGTCCCCTTCAACTACAATGTTGTTATTTGTCTTATTTTTTTTAAAAAGTCATTACAATTGTTTTAAAATTTTAAATACCTACTTTGATTGAAATACTTAACACCTGCTTTTTAATTTAACACAAACAAACAAAACAAACAAAAAGCTTTCACTAACACTTGCATTGCCACCTCTGTGCTGCCCATCAAAGAACAAAAAAATTATTAGTGAAATGTTAATGGTTTTGCATATCCTTACACATTATGAATTACTTTTCTTGTACCTTAGTGTACTTAGTGTACATTTAATAATTTAAATTATGTGTGAGCAATGAAATGCATAAACCAGATATTCCAAGGTATACAAACGGAATTCCACAAGTTAAATAAAAATGTTTGAAGTTTTTTTTTTTAAGATGAAAACAAATCATTGCTCACACAATAACAACTCTTTGTATTGGTTTCCTATTCTTAATACCTTAAATGGTGAGTCTCCTTAGCTTAATCTGCAGCTGGTTTTAGATTATTTTTTTAAAACATATTTTAGGTGATACCTGCTGTCCAAGAATTTGTCACTGAAAAGATTGGTAAAAAATTTATTGAGCCACCACCATTTGATCTTCCAAAAGCCTTTGGGGACAGTAACTGCTGTGCACCCCTGTTATTTGTTCTCTCCCCTGGTGCTGATCCCATGGCTGCACTTCTCAAGTTTGCAGATGATCAGGTGAGCGACTCAGCACCATTACATTTTCTTCATTGATCCTGTGCAATGTTTTGTTTCAGCTGGATGGATTCAGCACCATTTTTCAAAAGTATTGTGGAATATCCTCCCTAATATTATTTAATTTTATAAATTAATTTGGTAACTCAATTGAATTTGTAATAGTGTATAGTAGTTTTTTAAAATAAGTAAGGATTCTTCATTTATCACTTAAAATAAATTAAGCTTATTTAAGAAAAACTCATTCAAAAATTATAATAATCTTTCAAACTCTAAATAACAAAGATTTAAAGATGGCTCAGATAATTATGATAAGAAACTTCTGTCCTTAAGAATTTGTCTAATCTCAGCATTTAACTGCCAAATTAATTTAAATTTTTTTTTTTTTTTTTTTTCAGGGCTTTGGAGGGGGAAAGTTTGATTCTTTTTCTCTGGGTCAAGGTCAAGGACCTATAGCACTAAAAATGATTGAGAAAGGTGTCAAAGAAGGCACATGGGTCATGCTACAGAACTGTCACCTTGCCTCTTCCTGGATGCCTACCCTAGAGAAGATTTGTGAGGTAAAAAGTGTGTTTTTAGTATCACTGTGTTGTAGTTAACCACAGCATAACAATCACAGTATGGAGAACATGATGTGCTGTGAGAATATCACAGAATTAAATATTTGTAGTGAGAATATTACAGTATAAAAACTTTCTCAAACTCAGACCACCCAAGAAACAACTTATAGACATTTGGAATGGCAGTTAGGAAACAAGGTTATATACATTCCTACTTTTACATGTCGTCTGTTCCTTAATTTTTTTTGCCTTGTAAAAAAAGTGGCTCTCTGAAACAACCGATTTCTTTCCACACAGGAATTTAACCCTGAAGCTACACATCCAGATTTCCGCTTGTGGCTGACATCCTATCCCTCAGATAACTTCCCCGTCTCCATTTTACAAAATGGAGTCAAAATGACCAACGAACCACCAAGTGGACTTCGGTTCAACATCATCAAGTCATATATGAGTGACCCGATTTCAGACATGGAGTTCTTTAATGGGTGCAAACAGCCTGTGAGCCAAACCTAAATTTAATTTTTGTTGTATGAAATTTATTTCAAAATAAAGAAAATTAGATATGGAAGGCTTAATGAGAATATTTAAAAGAAATGATATCAAGATTAAGATTGAGTTGTTCCTGATGAGCTATAGTTTGCGTTTTGATAATTAATAGAGATAACTCCTTAATTAAAAAAAAAAATTATACACATGATAATGGAAAATTATTTAGCATCCACTTCTGTCTGTTGGCAAATGTCTAAAAATTCAATAATACTTAATTATCTTTATTTAAGTCTATCAAATATTATTTCTAAATCAATTAAGATGACTGCCATTAAAAACTGAATATATCAAGAATTTATGATGATATTTAAAAAAATAATATTGACTATAACTTTAAAACAAGTCAAGAGTCCAAATATATATATATATAATTTGTATTTTATTTGAATTTCTCCTGAAACTTATTTTAACCTTGACCTTCATGTTTAATGTTCACAGGCGAGGTTTAAGAAGCTGCTGTATGGTCTTTGCTTCTTCCATGCACTTGTGCAAGAGAGGAGAAAATTTGGTCCACTTGGCTGGAACATTCCTTATGAGTACAATGAAACAGATTTGCGTATTAGTGTACAGCAGCTGCAGATGTTTCTCAATGAGTATGATGTAAGTAAATCTGTTGAAATAGCAGTTATGCTAGTAAATAAGTGGTTTGAGAAACATGGAACTCATTGTTACCCAACGAGATGACTTTCATATTGATGTTTGAAGCAACACTTTAAAGAGCAGTCTTAAAAACAAAAAAAGTAATTCCACATCAGTTGTGTGTGGCAGTAAATTGATATAAATCATAAAATGGTTCAATTACACTATAATATTATCTAAAATATTTACATTTTGTTAAGATTATTCAGTAATTAACTTTTACATAAACTTCAATGTCATCTATTTATTTTAAAATTAATTATCTCATTATGAAGATGAGGTCAGTACTTGTCTACTTGTGTGTGGAAACAATAATTTCATGTTTCTTTTGCATTAGGAACCTTCTTTGTTTTTCAAATTTAAAAAAATATCCTCGCAAATTTTAGTTGAAAAAAAAAACTTAAATAACTTAAGTGAAAACACACCTTTTAAACATGTGTATTACATGAACATATGAATAAATAATGCAGGTCACCAATATTATTATCAAGTCCAGTGGAAATCTATGATAGTTCACTATAATTTTTCTTATGATGTAGACAAAATTTGTATCACCTTTTTCCCCTATACAGGAAGTCCAGTATGAGGCTTTACGTTACTTGACAGGTGAGTGTAACTATGGAGGTCGTGTCACAGATGACTGGGACAGACGAACTCTCCTGACCATTCTCAATCAGTTTTACTGCCCAGACATCATTGAAAGAGACAATTACTTCTTTGATGACAGTGGATTCTATTACAGCCCCAAAGATGGAGATGTAAGTATCTGTGTAAATGGAGATTTTTCAATAAGAACAAATTATATATCCTGTCAACTTCACATTCTTATGATACTAGTGTATCAATTTATCTTGTGTTTACATAATTAACAACTACACAATATTTTTAAAAATTAATCATTTGTATAATAGTATCTGTATATATATTTTTTTTTTAATATTCAGGATTAAGATGCATACAAAGATAGGTAAAATATAGCCTACTTTTGATCTTAATATTTTACAGCATGAAAGTTACATGGACTACACCCGCAATCTCCCCCTGAATCCATCTCCTGAGATATTTGGCATGCATGCTAATGCTGACATTACAAAAGACCAGAAGGCAACACAACTCCTCTTTGATAACATTCTGCTAACACAGGTAATTTGTCAAAGTTGATCCTTCTCACAAATATCTGTTCTGACTGAGTGTTCATAAATTAAATTTCCCTGATCTTAGCTCCTTATTTTATACAGGTGTCATTTTTGTTGGGCAATGAGTTTACAGCGAATATTACTTCTTTAATATGTACTTATTAATTGTTGTTCTATGGCTTTGATAACTTTAACAATAAAAAAACCTTGGAACAAGAATTTATTTGAAGGAAATAAATCTAAAATAAGTTACAGTGCCAGCTCCAACAATGATTTCATTCCTATGTTAAATCCTTCTTATTTCTGTATCCTGTGAAAAACTACAAAGTTTGGCCAATGCTAATGCCACCTCTGCTCCATGATACAACAATCTCCTTCATCCTAATCATTTTAGTTGAAGTGATGGACATTTAAATATTACTTAGGTCAAGGTTCTTAGTTTGTAGTGACTGATTTTTATTTTCACTGAATGTTTGTGTTATATTATAATGACCCCATTACTGGGCAGTTTGCAGTGTGTGTGTTTTTGTTACTGACTTTAGGATCACTGAAGAGATTTTATTTACTTTGAGCACAATTAAAAGTTTTTAGAGGAACAATGTCAAAGATTAGTTAAATCTATTATTGATTTTCAACTGGCCATAAAATGGTAAACAAACTGCAGCCCAACAAATATTACATTGTTATGTTGCAGTTTTATCATTTTTTATCCTCTGATAAAACTTCTTTGACCTTGTTTTAGAATACACATATTATTATAGCTTGTGCTTATATTTTTGTAGAATAAATAGATATTAGGAAAAGGGGTATTACAAAACCATTGCAACTTGACAGAAGATAATATTATAATCTTGTGCTTGTGCTCTGCCATCCCACTGAAGAGTGGATGGGTGGACTAGTTTATTGCTTTTTTAGGGGTGATAGTGATAGCTTTAAACTCATCCTTGATGAGCTAAAAAAAAAAAAAGCAGACTAATGACTCTCATTATATACCATTATACACAAAATCCTTCAATGTATGTTTGATGGATTTATATTTTTAAGGTCATTGGAACTTTATGAAGATCTCCCTTTTTAAGTAAAAATGGAGATTTTCAAATCATCAAATAATGATTATGAAAAAAACACAAGATAACTTAAGGCACTTTTTATTACAACACAGCTTTTTAAAGTTAAACTTAAACATTTAAAAATAAGTGAGGAGTTTATATTGGAATTCCTTCTGGCTGTTAGGAGAATTTTTTTAGATTAATCTCAAGTGTTGCTGTATCACCATCAAATTTTATAATACTTACAACTAGGAGAGTTCATTGTGTACTAGTAAGTAGTTCATTTTGTATCAGCTGCTTAATTCAAGTGTATTTAAAATTATTCAAAAACATCACAACTGTTCTAAACTCAATGAGGGTGGCTGTCATGATGTCCTTATCAAAGAACTCGGCTTAAACAGATTTGAATTAAATTGATAGCAAAAGGAATTTTGAATAAAGATGGTCAGAAAAGAATTGTATTCCAATAGTAATAGTACTGTGTAATAATAGTAATAGTCATAGAAAACTAAATGGAGTTTTTAAACATCTGTAGATTCCAATTTTTTTTCGTAACGAGATGTTTTTTTATTCTTAATGTGTGACATAAACAACACACTTGTCTTCATTTTGTTATGTTATGTCATTATCCCTGATGTCTTCTATTGGCACCTTGGTTGACCTCTGACCTTTAGAAACGGGTAAGACTTATGTTCATTTCTTTTTCTCCAGCATACAATTTTCTTGTCATCTGAGCTCTGCACATTGTTGCAATTTAAACATATTTTACAAAACAAAATGAAACTTTTATATCAATATTGTTAAAAATTTCATTTTAAGCATAATTATTTCCATTTTGTTGTCTTTTTTTTTGTTAAATATAAAATATGAACAACTTTTGATGACAAGAAATGTTTAAATTTCTCATTCCTTAATCACATATGTAGAGTTGTAACTTTTTTTTTTAAACTAGATTTATTATTTTTTCTGTTTAGATTATTTGCATTATTTATGTACAATGTAAAATATATTTTTAAAAAGTACTTAAACTAATTAAAATATTTCTTTATTACTTTTGTGGCAGTCTATTTATAGTATAATTATATTTAATAATCTAATATGATATCTCTCAATCATGACGCATCCTTTTTGTCTTTTGTCAATGATACATCAAAACATATTAATAGGCAGAGTTGACTTGATCATAACAATGTTTTACATATCAAGTGTCATTTGATATAGCTTAGCATATATGGCTATAGCATGAACAGAATTAGTTCTATATTTATAAATTCCCACTTTAGTGAAACTCAAATCATAAATAAAAATGAAGTATATATTTTTGTTTCCTTGGGTATGGTAAAACTAACCATAAAAATAAATCAAAAAGACAAAACACATTTATTACAAGAATAAAATGCATATGATACAGTGCTAAAAAAAAATAATTAGAATTTTAATATTCATATTGCCCCATAATGAATAGGTTTATTACTATGGTATACATGTCTATTCATTAATACTCTGTTTATTTTGCTTTAATAAATATGTATCAACTAACAAACAAGTACCGGTATATTAATTTCTTTTATTAACAAGCCTACCGTTTCTTTCTTAAATATCCTAATTAATTTAAATATTGTCCTATTTTTTTAAATATAATATTGAAACCTTTCTGTATCATTCCTTTTATCTCTCACTGATTATTAGAAGTCTTTTAAATAAAAACCTTCATTGGTAAATCATGTCATGACTTTAGTTTAGGTAAACCAAACATTTTAAAAAAATCACTCCAGCATAACTTTATAGATTTAGCCTACATTTAAACTGAGAACCATCTTATTACAAAGATAAATCCTGTTAAAATATTTTATCTTTTAGAATAGGTCAAATTTTAAATTTTGTATGAGTCTGAAAAATCTAGCTATGCCATCCTAATGTTTCAACACTGTTTTTTTTTACAAATTTGCCTACATTACTATATATTTAGTGTCATTGCTATTATATTTATAACTATTTTTAGTTAATGTCATCCAATTTAAAGGGATTTATAACTAATTTGCCAAAGCTGAACTAGTGACACAGTGTGTTTAAGTTCTTGCTTATGTAGTGTTATGTAGACCTTGTACAACAAAAGTTGTAGGTTTCACTATCACCATCATTTTTACCCTTTACTTCAACTTTAACTTCATAAGGCAAAAGCATCCAGTAAAGGAGGTCGATCCACTGATGACATTGTGGATGATGTAGCAGCAGATATCCTGAGTAAACTTCCACCTAACTTTGACACAGATGCCGCACTGAGGAAGTACCCAACATCTTACAGGTTTGGTCTACCGCAAACTCTTCATTTTCTTAAACAGCTGAAAACAAATTCAACAATTATGCCAGTTTGAAAATTCAGATTTTATTATGAAATACTATTTTAATTATTGTTCAAGTTTATGAGTTTGTAGACTATAGTAATTGTGGAAATGCAGCAGGCATTATCTTTCTTATAGGTATAATTATTATCATTGTTCTCTATGAAAAAAAAAATGAAATATTAAATTGCAAAAGCTGTTTTAAAAAAAATTCACTATGGACATTTTTTTTTCTGTGATTCTAACTATATCAATTGTAGACAGGGTATGCCCACACAGCTTTAACTTTATGACACATTAAATGTGTATTTACCATTTTTTACATTGAAAAGAAAAAAAAAGTATATATATTTAATAATATTATATTATTTACAACTCTGTTCTTCAGTCAAAGCATGAACACTGTTTTAGTGCAGGAGATGGTCAGATTTAACAGGCTTTTAAGTACAGTGAGGACCAGTTTAGCCAATATCAAGAAGGCCATAAAGGTATTTTTTAGCATTAATTGGCTAGAGAAAAAATTCTTTGAATATCAGCTCAAGCCTGTCCCTCTTACCTGATGGTGCAATTATATTACTGTTATTTTATTAGAATATTAATAGAACATATTTTAATGAGCTGAAAGTGGCTGCATGAACCAACTCACTTTCAAGATGCAAAGAAAAACATTTTTGTAAAGAGAATATTTTTAATGTTATTACGGTACTATTATAGCCACTTGCCTATGCAAATGAATTATAAATATACATTAATTATTAAAATTACATGTCATATCAATGCTTTTTAAAATAACAGCCATTTTCATGAAAGAATACTAAATAAAAATTTTAAACAATGATAAATGGTTTATTTGAATTGAAGTATTTTAGTTAAAGAAATATGGAAGTACTTTAACCAAGTCTTTTTTTTAACATCTTTTTTTTGTATCCAAGGGTCTTGTAGTGATGTCTGCTGACCTTGAAGAAGTTGTCCTCAGCATACTGAAAGGTAAAATTCCTGGAATGTGGATGAAGAAGTCCTATCCTTCACTCAAACCTCTGGGCAGTTATGTCAATGACTTTATTACCAGACTCAAATTTCTCCAAGAATGGTACGACAATGGGCCGCCTCCAGTTTTTTGGATTTCCGGATTTTTCTTCACACAGGCTTTCCTTACAGGAGCACAACAAAATTATGCCAGAAAGTAGGTTTTTATTTGATTTTTTATTATCTAGGTCAGCATCTCTCAAACTTTCCTAAATTAGATAAACAGAGGAAAGATTGGTGGAGAGTGGAAATTTTAGATGTACCATATGCAAAACCAACTGCAGCTATTCCATTATTTGTGATTTCATTTAGCATATAAATGTATCTGGTTGAAATACTTTGTTTTTGCCAAGCTGATGTCTGATAAGCTATGTTGTATTATTATATTATACACATAAAGCTGATCTAAAGAAGATCCTACAGGCCCTTACAGAAGCTCATCTAAAGCTGATCCTATATTTATTTATTTAGGCATTTTTGTATAGCGCTTACCATAAAGCTCTAAGCGCTTTACAAAAATAAGACACTAGGATAGTAGCTACTATACTATAGAAACAATGAAAATGGCTATAAAACGAGGACACTTTGACACTTCAGGATCAACCCGAAACAGAAAATGAGGTAGGGCAAGGAGGGTGCATCAGAGGTCATAGGCGGACCTAAACAGATGAGTTTTAAGGGACTTTTTGAAAATGGACGAGGTTTCACAATGACGGATATGGAAGGGGAGCTGGTTCTAGAACGTGGGCCCATGGAAGCAGAAGGAGCGTTCTAAAGCTGATCTAAAGATGATCCTTTATGCATTTATAGAAGCTGATCTAAAGCTGATCCTATATGCACTTATAGAAGCTGATCTAAAGCTGATCATATATGCACCTATAGAAGATAATCTAAAGCTGATCCTAAATGCACTTAGACTTAAAACAATGAAATATTTTAATGATAAAAAGTAAAATTATTGAATTTTTTATCATAAATTCTAATCAGTTTATGAAGATTAAGAAAGTTTAAAGTGAATTCCAGGTTCACAATCCCGATTGACTTGTTGGGTTACGACTATGACGTCCTGGAGGATAAAGATTACGACACTCCTCCAGAAGATGGTATGTGTTGTCAATGGTTTTGATTTGTTTCAGTTTTAGTGAGAAGGGAATCGTGAGTTAAAAATAACAACAACTCTGATTTAACCATTCTAATTAAACTGACATTAGGGTTTGTCCACAAAGGACGTCCACAGAGACAGGGAGGATGGGAGGGTTCAATCAAACATGGATAAATGTGGATAAGGAGGGAGGCGTTAAGGGGTCTTGCAGACATTAGCAAGGAACTTTTTTATTTGGCATACGCTGCTTTAGGCCCACTGTGTGATCTATTTGCCAAATTTTGAAAAAAAGTTTGATCAATAACCTCTAAAAATTTAATAAAATTTCATTAGGAACATCACTTTAAATGTTTGTTTGATATTTATAAGCAAATGCCAATTTTTTTTCTCTTGTTGAGATTTATCAAATTATTTATATTATTAAGACACAAAAGTGTATTTGTCCTTTTGGGCAGCCCCCCCCCCCTATGTGTATCTACAATAAGCTCTCAGGCCCCCCCCCCCTTATGTGTATCTACAATAAGCTCTCTGCCCTCCTCCTCCTCCCCCCACCCAAAAAAATATTGATAAATCATTATGAAATATTAAATGACGATATGTCTACGAATTCCAGTGTTTCCTAAATTGTAGCATACCCTCCTCAGGGAGGCATTTTGTAAAAATTATTTTAGGTGATCAGTTTGGGCGTGAGTTAAAATTAAAAGCTTGAGAAGCATGGCTGTTGGCATGTTAATATTTTAGCATGTCAAAATTTTGTCACGGGTCACCCCAATTTTTTTTACACCAGTGCAGCTGTTTGGTTCAGCCCCAACAAAAAAAGATGTCAAAAATTATTTCATGCAAAGCAACATGATGAGGATAAAAAGAACAAAAGATTTCTTTTGAGACTTAAAAAAATAATTAAATATCATGATTTCCCAGATTTTTAGGAGACTGTTGGCTTTATTAGAAATATTAGAGAGCGTCTGAATTTCAGAATAATTATTAAATGTATGTACCTTTTGCAGCCCCACCTTTTGCACTAATATGTATCATCTCCACAATCAACAAACCCCCTCCTCCCCTGCAGTACATACTTAATCAATGGATGGACCCATATCATACTGATTTAGGTTTCAATCTAGTGACTCTATGCTCTTTATAATTAATTGTTATTATGCTTCCTGGCATTTTGCACTATAAATTTATTACCTTATGTGCTTGTGGATGTCCACAAACCTGGGATGGGGAGAAGGTAAGCCATGTGTGGACAAAGGGGGAAGGGGGTGTCTGACAAAAATGCATATTTTATGCAGATGTTCTTTATGGACAATGCAAATTGGATAGTGAACAGGTTGGGTTTTTTTTAATTAACAGAAACATTATTGAAGTGCTTCTAAAATATAATTATATTAATTTCCAAAAAGTGTGAACCATTTCCAATGGGTCTGGGATGAGAAGACATGATGTCCTACCAGATTTTTTAAAGTCATGAATAATAATTAATTAAATTTTGAAATCATACACTGGAGAACTGGCATTGTAAAAAGCATATCAAATGTTACAGTTGGATTCGCATAAAGAGCATTTAGGTATCAATTAATGGACGACATGACATTGCCACCAGTGATGGTAATTTAAATGACATTTGTTTACTTGAATCCTGCCAGGTGTTTTTGTTAAAGGTCTGTATGTAGATGGAGCCAGGTGGGACCGGAAGATCAAGAAACTGAACGAGTCCATTCCAAAACAACTTTTTGATACCATGCCAACTGTAAGATGTCCTGTATATTCATTATTCATGATTCAATATACACATTGGTTCATGCAATTCTTTTCCTAATTTTGAAATTTTTATATTGATATTCTTATGCCTAGTAATAGATTAAAAGATTTTTTTTTAACTGAGGGAGGACTCAGGAATTTTTTTTAAAGATTTGTTTTCCAAATTAATGTCTCAGTTGTTATTTTCATTAAATAGGAATATATAACAGATTATAAACATAACTGAAGTTATTGCATCATAGAATTTTTAGGGATCTTTAATTTTTAGCATTGAACTGAGCTTTAGAACTACTTCTCAATTTTTCATGCAAAGGCCTTAGTTTTTTAATTGAGATTTTTATCTGTCCCTGCAGATGTGGCTTAAACCCTGCAAGCGTTCAGAAATTCCAGATACACATGCCTATAGGTGTCCTGTGTACAAGACCAGTGAAAGAAGAGGAACACTGTCAACTACAGGTCACTCAACCAACTTTGTCATTGGCATGATGATACCCTCTGATAAACCACAGCAGCACTGGGTCAGGCGTGGTGTAGCTCTACTGTGTCAGTTAGATGATTAATTGCATGACTTCCGTAATGGCCGAATTTATGTTACTTCAAGCTTGCATGCATTCTTTTTGTTGAATATACAGAAGTAAACAAATAATGTAGAACAAGTGTTAGTATCACCAGGAAATGTTGAATCACATATGAGTAGCATTATCTGTATACAATCAAAGTCATGTGTTATAAATGTTAATGGGAAATTTGATTTTAAAAAAGTCATTTATGTATTTCATTTTTGTTAAAGGTCTAAAAATTTAAGGAAAATTTAGCTATTTCTCTATGAGAGAATTTTTATAAATTAAAGAAACATCCACTTAGAAATGTTATTATCTAATGAAGCTAATAAAGAGGAAAAATGGTCCTCTAATGTAATTTTAAATAATATATTTGAATTTTATTTACACGTAACAGATTATGTGATTAAGTTTGATTTTATGATAAAATGATATTATTACACGTTTCACATTTATAGTATAGTAGCAGAATTTATGCCATTATTGTTTTGCATGTTTGTGTGAACTGTTAACCAATATCTGTGATATTTTTTTTTAACTTAGAGAAAGTATTTTTAATGTTAAACATTGTTCTAACATTTACATCATTGATTGGGTGGTACATGGGTCCCACCATTGCAGTGGACATCACAACTTTAGTATTAATTTTTTACTTGTTTTTATTGACGTTGGATTATCCTTTTTAATGTATTTAGTTCATTTTTAGAATTCATGCTCTAACATCAAAAAATATTTTTTTAAATTCTATTTTTCATGGTCAGATTGCATTATAATTTAATATGAAAAATGAAATAATTAATATGCATGATTAAAAATAATATTTAAAGAATTGAAGAGAAAAAAAAAAGTAAAGTTCTACTTCTTAAATATTTAAAAAAAAAACAACTATGCAGTGAATGGCTTATAGGGTGTGGGTTTTAGTTAAGTGTATATGAGCTGTAAACATATTAAATTTGATGAAACTTTTATAATGAAAAAACACTATACTTAAAAGTATTAAGTTTATTAACTATTCATTCAATGACTAAAATGTATTAATTCAGAAGTACCAGGTATTCTTTTTTTATGTATCATTCTCAACTGTATATTTTGTATATGATATTTGGTCTGCTCTACAAAAGTCACATAGAAGTACAGATTCCTTTTTAATTGCTTTTGTCTGCAATGCCAATGTATTTGATAGTTGGGGTTAAAGGAAAGGCTTCTTTCCAACAATTAAATCTTAGAGATGGCATGCGAAAAACTAAACATCTTGGGGACTTGGCTAAATTTGATAAAAGTAAATTTTTTGCACATAATCTTGTACAACTATAATTAATATTTTGTGGTGCATAATGACAGATTTAAGACAATTATTAAACATAATGCTAGATGTGTCTTGACTTGTATTAAAAGGAAAACATACCCAATAATTTCATTCTTGTTAATGTAAACTCATCAGTATATTTAAGAAATAAGTTGAAAACTCACAATGTTTTAAGCATTTAAGACTTTCATATTTAAATTAAATAGAAATTTGTAACTTTTAGTAACAACTTTTTTGTTTAGATTCTGTAACTATTCCTATAATTCTATAATTAGGTTTTTATTTATTGACTTTTAAGTCTTCTGCTAAAATGAAATATTTTTTCTGTACCTTGTGATGTGTTTCTTTTAAATTGTCTTAACTTTTATATATTTTTATGTACATTCACTATTCACAATAAATGCAATTTTTAATAGAAAAAATATTTCAATTAATTTATTTTATTTTCTTCGATTGCTTCATATTTAATACTGGTATGAAGAACAAAATTAGCTTGATGTTGTTTTAAAAAATTGAAAGGAAAACATAGTACATGATTTAGTGTGTAATGGAATTTTTAGAAACAAAGCAGAACGCATCTGCATAAACGTCATACACCTAACTCAAGATATTTTTGGCATCCAAGAATCAATGGTGGAATTCTGCTGGAAGTGTTCAAGACATAACTAACTAACGCACATATTCTGGTGAAGGTCTGAGATTACTCTCTTATGACCCCGGCTAGTAAATTGGCTATTACTCCACAACCGGGATGTGGACGTGGCTTTACTACAAGAGACCCTTTTAAAGAAGCACCCATTGCACATCACGGGCTTCTCGGTCTACCGCTGCACCTGCGTAAGGTGCCGAGGTCTGGTAACACTAGTAAAGAACCACCTCACAGCGGAGCTTGTAGAAAGCAAAAACATTGGTGGGACAGATACTCTGACCCTGAAGGTAATTTTAGGTGGGAAATCTTTTACTATAAGCAATATTTACAACACCCCTAGGAACACTCTGTGCCTGCCACTGCAAGGCACAACTACTTTTAGTGATAGGATCATAGCTGGAGATTTCAAGACATAACTACAATACCTGGGAAAGGTGTGTTTGTTTTTTAATGGAAAATCAGCCATCAGACCCAGACTCTCCATGCAGATGTTGAGCCCACAGAAATGGCAAATTGCTAGTCTAATGCTGGCTGCAACTTGGCACCTAGTCTTGGTATTGGTGGAGTTTGAACACATGTCTTGGTATTGCTGGGGTTTGAACACAAGTCTTGGTATTGCTGGGGTTTGAACACAAGTCTTGGTATTGCTGGGGTTTGAACACAAGTCTTGGTATTGTTAGGGTTTGAACACAAGTCTTGGTATTGCTGGGTTTTGAACACAAGTCTTGGTATTGCTGGAGTTTGAACCAGGCACGCACCTAGGAAATTCTGGGCCCCAGGCAGCTGACAGAGTTCGAGCCTCTTTAGTGTTTCAAACATATGCAAATATTTTTAAAAATCGAAAAAAGGGCGGGCTCCTGTGTAGCTCGGGCCCCTGACAAGTGCCATGGTTGTTGTCCCCCCCCCCCCTTTCCTCCCGGTAGGTGCGGGCCTGTTTGAACACAAGTCTTTATAGTCCCCATGGCCTCAAGGGTGATTGACAAAAGGATGCGGTAAAGCTTAATTGAAAAACTAAATAATTGACATTCGAGCTAAAAGAAAAAAGTCACAATAAAAGTCTTGTCATCGAAAACACATATTTCACGTGTTTTAAAATTCAAAGAAATCGATTTGGAATGCGACAATACGTGGGTCTAAATTGATTCGGAAGATTTGACCCAGACAAAGAAACTAGAAAATTGTGAAATAATCCGGCACTTGGAATTTTTCTTTAAAAGTGATTTGATAAAAGGCAAACAAACTTCGTTAATAAAAGTTAAATAAAATAAAAGGGATGGCGGATAGGACTCTAGAGTAGGCACTACAGGTAGGCCAACTCATTGTCAGTACGGCGTCATAGCCCTGGTCCCTAAATTTTGAATGATCCTGGAATCCTAGCTTTGAACTTTAAAATAGGCCACCAATTTCTGCAATCGATAGTAATTTGAACGGAAGCCTAGAAAACTTAAACCGGCCTTACTCAGTTTTCGTTTTCAAGTTTCACTCTTTGTCCTAAATCGTTATAGAAAGAAACACTTCATTCATTTGATCGACTTTTAAAAAAAAAAATATATATCTGGTCTATGACAGATCAGCAGACATGTACTGACATAATGCATTTTACATGAAAATTTGAATGATAAGAAATAAGTCAGCTAAATGAAAAAAAAAATCATCGCTCTTTTAGTTTACATTATTCTCTCATAACAGTCATAATGCATATATTCTTTTATTGGTCGGGCCGGACCCTACACCACATCCGGTCGAGACCCACAGTGCAGCTGCTACCGCGGTAGTTACGCCACTGATTGTGATCCTTTCGGTTTTGCTATATTATAAACTTGGCTTTATCAAATGGCGTAAATGTTTGCCACAGTCACGACCTACTCAGGAACGCCGCTCTCACGTCTAACAACAATTATTGTATTTATGTTCAGCATTCCACCCGTGGGATCCACCATCATTCTTCCACACACTTGGACAGGCTCGTTAAAAGTATAATAATTTAGTGAATAAACACAAATCATACTTATATCACCATTAAGCGGAATTTTTAAATTAAGATCTGTAAAAAAAAAAATAATAATAATAAAAGGAACGAAAATGTAGACCACGTTTTAAAGCAACCAGAGACTCGCTTTTATAGTAACTGTCCAAATGGAATGCTTCAACAATGGGCCAACAAGTAATATGTAAATTTACCAAAAAAAAATTGATCCAACAATAAATGTTGTCTCCCTAAATTGTGTTAAAGTTAAGGTGAACTTACACAAAACTTAGCGCTTCGCCAGCATGCATGCACATAAAATAACCTCTTTCAATGAAAAAAAAAAACACATACAGATCTACGGGGCATAATTTGATGTGGGTGCAGAAACGTTTAGTATTATGTTGCCCCTTCACTATTTTCCCTACGTGGATTCCACCACTGCATAGATCTACAGCACTTATTATTGTCCTCTAGCTTTGATGCGTGACGTGTGTGTCTTTGTTGTGTTGCATCACGCCTGATAAGAAATACTCTCTACAAATCATATTCTACTTGGTAATAAAGGGAGAGACTGCAATCAGGTTAGCACAATAAGAAATTAGTTAAACAAAGTGAGGTTAAACCTGAAAAAAGGAACGCAACAAAACAACGGACGTGTTGGCAGGAAGCCTTCGTCAGTGAACAAACAGAAAAAACAGAATAAAATTTAAAAAATATAAGTGCTTTATTTTAGCTGAGAAGTAGTATCCAAGAGGGCAGCAAATGCATTGCTGCAGTTGGCCGAAAATGCCACTCCTCCATTTTTAAATGTATATTTGTTAAAAAGTACCACCCAAGGATATTTTGATAACAATTTTAAATTTAAAGAGGATGCAAACCAGTTTTGTGGCGTCCGGAGCCGTCATTGGTTTCGACGCCCCTCCAATCATGAAAACTACAAATCATAACAGAAAACATATCAAACTACATAGGTCCTGGTCATACATGGTATATGAAAATATGGATATGCAGTGGACAGAAGATGCAGCCCCTCCCACCTAAAAATGCCCCCCCCCCCGGGGGCGCATCACCTCTCTTTCTATACAGTACGGGGACACCCCCTAGCACCCTCTCACTCGCATTGGATTATCTTTAAGTTCTGGTTTTACTTTTATCTTGAAAGAAGAACCAATCCAATCTTCTGGTTGGCGAGGTGGAATTGAAATTAAAATTGTACCTGAGATATTTTTGATGAAAGAAATATCATTAAACTAATAAATACAATTCGTTAAATCCAAATAAAATTTTAGAAGATGTACTTATGTATTTAAATTTTATGATGGAGGCAAAATTTAGGCAGAATAATATAAGTTTTTAACTAGCCTATTATAATACTTATATTCCACTATTTCCTGTGCGCTGTAACAGTGCCAACAGTGCACCACCAGTATTTATTTGTTTATTTCTTTTCGTCGGCAGTTACCGGACTCATTCGGTTTCATAAATCGTCAACTTCCGCTAGATACGAGTGAACTCGACAGACAAAATATTTTTGATTTGTCCTACTAATCGCAGAAAGGTCCAAATTTTTCTTTGTCTGAAGTAAGTTATGGCAATTTTTACTGTTATCAATTAGGTGGGAATTATTGATATACGATGTGTTAAACTATTCGACTAAATAAGATTTATTTTACCACCATTTTTATGATTTATATTCATCGTTAGACCGACGGTCCTACCTATATCAGTAAATAAAATAAAATGAAATCAGTTTATTCAGCAGCAGAACAGGTGAGTGGTAGTGTTATTACTAATTAATGTAGTAAGTAAACACAGTCTTAGTAATTGTCAACAATGATGATCACTTCCGCGTTGATCTTAATTTTAGTGATTTTATAGTTAGCATACACTGAACACTGATACACAAGTCTATGCCTGGCTTGCAATCTTATTCTTAGTCTTTGTTCTAAAACTACCACCCAGTACTGTGCTCTGGGTCTTTGATAATAACAAATAATAGCATAAGAGTGAATAGTGTGATTCACCCACCACTGACACTGTCTTGGTGTCTAGCTGTCACAGTCAAAGGGTTTAATTTTGATTGCATAATTATAAACACTAAAGGCCATTTCCATTAATTATCATTAACTTATTAACATTATCAATCATTGACTTTGACATTAGTCAACCATGATGTGGATTATGTATAGTATAATATTTGCTAATAACTTATTTAGCTATTAATAAATTATTAATTAGGTCTGCTGCTATTAATAATACGAAGTGTCTACACGTCTGGCGCGTGATATACGTCCGGTGGGCATGTCACGTGACAACTTAGGACAACTAGTAGTTGTTATTATTCCGAAGGAAGTGCTTATAAGAAGATCTTGTGTGGTCTTGTGGTAGAGTGGCCACTTGACGATGTTATATTTGTGGATCAATTCCCAGTATTGGAACCTTTTTTTTTTCCCAATTTTAATTAAAAATATTTTATATTATATTTATATTATCATGTTCATCAGCAAAAGTAGTTTTATGAGAAGTTTAAAAATATTTTGTAGCAATTTAAACAATTTAAAATGAAGTCTTTTACTTTTATTGGTTGCCTACTCCGTACTGAATACTGGCCCCTAATTTATTTTATGGATAACTGGTACACAAACTCAAATAACAAACTAAACAAAAATGTTTACAAGCAACTTTCACTTAAGTTTTTGTCTTTTATTTGCATGCAAGATACTCAGTATATTACTTGGTAGAGAAATAGATTTTAAAATTAACAATAGTTTTGAATCATTTGCGGTCACGTGACAAGGCTGATGGACAAAATATCTCTCGCCACTTTCTTACGGCGTTCATGTGACTTGGTCGCCGGGCGAATATCTCGATAAAGTATTCTTCCGGCGGTCATGTGACTTGGTCGCCGGCCAAATAGTGCGGGAGATATACGCCCGGCGTGCCGTACGTGTAGACAATCCCTTAATAATATTGGTAGAGTAAAGACTACTACTAATAATAAAGACATAAGAGTGAACGGCCAGCAAAGTAAGTGTCAACTGTTGATTTGAATGTCCAACTGAAATGTTACATTAAGAAATGGCGTCAGCAGGGCGATTCTAGACTCTTATGCCCCCCCCCCCCCCCCCCCCCCCCCCCCCCCCCCCCCCCCCCCTACCCCTCCCCGGTCCGACGTATCGGGCCGCGGAGCGGCACGTTGGAGATGCCCACTCGTCAGGACGGCCTACACACGGGCCCCTCACCCAAGTCCTCCGCCTGGGCGCTCGACCAGGACCCTGCCTGGGGGCCGTCCCAACCAGGAGCCACCCGGTCGATCCGACACTATGCGTTTAAATAGTGCACTCGATCGACTTTCTCAGGAGATGGGATGGAAAAATTTACATCCTAATATCTTCCCCCACCCATCCCGGGAAAGTGTCGGACGCCCTATAAGAGGGATTCCACAGTGGGTTTCCACAACGCGACTAGCTCACGATGTAGCTGGGACGAAACGGTCCTACTGATAGGGTCGGTTTGAGCTGAAACAAATAAACCAAATTCAGTTGATGGAACTGTTCTGTGTTTTGAAGGAAAATCATATTTTTGGCTAATGCTAAGAGATATCACCAGACTGCTCCAGACAGAGTGCTCGAACCTTGTAAAGCCTTGTTTTTTGTAATTGAAGTTCAGTGTAAGTGATAGTTATAAGGCATTACGAGGGATTCATTTTGTGTAATTAATTAAGTTTAACTCTTTTTATTGGTTGGTTCAAACTTATCTGGTGCAGCCTAGTGTCAAAAAGATTGGACATCACTGATTTAGTACAATTATACTTCTAACAACTAAAAAATCAATATTTTTATAAAAAATCTTTATAGCTGTCATTTCCATTTCATGATAATTTCCTTTGAAGTCCTGTCTTCATTTCTTATTTTCTGTACGTCAAACTGTTTTTGATCTCTAATTAAAAATTAATTTCAGAGTTATCTGTGTCAGGGCAAAGTTTTCTAGGAGGATGGTATGCCTTAGGATAGCAAGAATACTAGTAACATAGTATGGGAAGCTCATCTTCTAAATTTCGCAAACACCTACAGTCAGGAGATGAGGTCCAGGCGCTTCAGCTCTACTTCAACAACAGTGAGCTGCGGAAGGCCTTGGATCCAAATTGCTCCTATGGTGATTCTCATCAGCATGAGACACCGTTACATTTAGCAGCGAAACATGGAATGCACAAATTGCTTCGGTGTGTAAAGTCTCTGCCATTTTTATTTTACATTTCTCTTATAGCAAGTGAAAAATATAAAATGGTGTGTAAGTTAATAATTTTTAAAAATAATAGTTTAAACTGAGCGAGTCTCTAAAATCTGTACATTTGTTCTTCTCCATTATCAATAAACTGTTTTGTTTTTCAGGATATTTCTCAGTTCTAAAGGTGGCAATCCAAATAAGACAAATGCCAAGAAAGAAACATGCCTCCACTGTGTGTGCATGGAGGCAAACTTCCAGTCAATTCATGTCTGCAAGCGGCGGGCGGAATGCTTAAATGAGCTTTTGAGGTGGCGAGGTGCAATGTTGTCAGAAGGGCAGGTTGAAAAAATCGATTTGGGTGCTAAAGATGAGGTAACCCATGAAAACTTTTGATGTGTATTTTTTTTAATGTCATTGACTCATCATTTTAGGGCACTATATAATTTGTGCGTGCATTTACATCAAAACTGAATTAACATTTGAAAATATTGTTATAACATTATAACGACATCTCTGTTTTTTGACACCAGAAATTAAACACAGCATTGCATTATGCAGCGGCATCAGGTCTGGAGCAGTGTGTTGACGTAAGCACAAAATAATTTATAATTTTGATAAACAACTCAATATCATAATCATTATATTAGAATTATTTTGTATTTAAGAAAGTTGTTCAATTGTGTTTTAAACAACAAAAAAAAAAAACATTCACTCAAATTGAAAAGAAATTATTTGAAGAAAATTTTTTACATTTCTTTGAGTTTATTTGTGCAGACACTTATCCAGCATGGAGCTCCCTTGTTTGTGGAAAATGAAGAAAACCTGACACCATGTGATACTGCTGAGAGAAATGGACATGCCAGGATAGCTTTGTTACTGGAATCTAAAATGGTGTTTTCTGTGAGTAAGAATTAAGATCCTTACAAAAAGGATTGATTTTTGGCATAAGGTTGCAATATTTTCTTTAAGTCACATGCAGAGAGCAGCGTGTTAAGTTTAAGATTAAGAGAAGTCAGCATTTTGAATTGACTTAAAATATTTGTTCAAATTTCAAGTTTAAAAAAAATTTTTTTTTTAAAATCATTGCAGAACAGCAGATTTAATAATAGCAGTGTAGATACCTTTCCAGAAATCGTTATGGCACAGATAGTCAAACTCAAGAGAGATATAAAACAAGTCTAGCCATTAATCTATGGTTTATGTAATTTTTTAAAGTTTAGTTGTCTTAGATCTTGCTTATGACACCACTGATTTTTATAGCTTAAAGAGATAAACTTTAATAAAAGTGTTTTGTCATCATAATAGTTTCATCTTTAAAATATGTTATATTCCTTTTTTTTTTTCTTTCTTCCACAAGAATGATGAAGAAACACTTGAGGACATAGATGGAGTCTCGCCTGTAGATGTGAGTTGGTGAATCTGGGTTAAACTTCTTTCAGTTGGTGTATCTGGGTTCAACTGTGTTCCGTTGGTAGAACTAGGTTAAACTGCTTTCATTTTCGGTAGTGTATCTGAGTTCAACTGCTTTCATTTGGTGTATCTGAGTTCAACTGCTTTCAGTTGGTGTATCTGGGTTAAACTGCTTTCATTTGGTGTATCTGGGTTAAACTGCTTTTAGTTGATGTATCTTGGTTAAACAGCTTTCATTTGGTGTAATAATAATTATAATAATAATAAGGGGTCTTATATAGCGCTGTACCCCAGCCTAGGGCTGGGTTCACCACGCTGTACATAAAATTTTTATCAAAAGAGACATAATCATGACATTAAAATAAATACATTTATAAAATAAAGAACAGCACAAAAAAAAATGTATATGCACCCACCCCAACACATAACTTGTACAAGGCAAACCATAGATGTCAGCCAGCAAGAACGTTTATCGGTCAGAGGAGGGGAATCCCTCAGGGTAGTATAATTTAAAAAGATGTGTTTTGAGTGCAGTTTTGAAGGCCTGAGTTAAACTGCTTTCAGTTGGTGTATCTGGGTTAAACTGCTTTCATTTGGTGTATCTGGGTTAAAATGCTTTCAGTTGGTGTATCTGGGTTAAACTGCTTTCATTTTGGTGTATCTGGGTTAAACTGCTTTCAGTTGGTGTATCTGGGTTAAACTGCTTTCATTTGGTGTATCTGGGTTAAAAATGCTTTCATTTGGTGTATCTGGGTTAAAATGCTTTCATTTGGTGTATCTGGGTTAAAAATGCTTTCATTTGGTGTATCTGGGTTAAAATGCTTTCATTTGGTGTATCTGGGTTAAACTGCTTTCATTTGGTGTATCTGGGTTAAACTGCTTTCATTTGGTGTATCTGGGTTAAACTGCTTTCATTTGGTGTATCTGGGTTAAACTGCTTTCATTTGGTGTATCTGGGTTAAACTGCTTTCATTTGGTGTATCTGGGTTAAACTGCTTTCATTTGGTGTATCTGGGTTAAAAATGCTTTCATTTGGTGTATCTGGGTTAAAATGCTTTCATTTGGTGTATCTGGGTTAAACTGCTTTCATTTGGTGTATCTGGGTTAAACTGCTTTCATTTGGTGTATCTGGGTTAAACTGCTTTCAGTTGGTGTATCTGGGTTAAACTGCTTTCATTTGGTGTATCTGGGTTAAACTGCTTGCAATCTTTGTTACAGTACATAAAAATAAATTATGAAACATTGCTTGCTGCACCTAATTCTTGTGTGGGTCTGACTTTAATAATCTGTTTTGACAAGCAACTTCAGATTTTTTTCTAAATGATTGATTTTTTTTTTATTAATGTTTCCTCATAAAATTTCATCCAGTTAAATGTTTTTTGTTGTTCAATGTAGGAATATTCGGGCCTCAGACCCCAAGACCTCCAGGAAGCCAAAGACCAGTTGCTTGTAGAAACTGCAGATATGTTGAGTGTTCCACTGTTTACTGCTGAAGCCTTGCTAAGGAATCATGGTTATTGACATTATTCAACTTCACTTGATAGAAAAAGGCATATTTGAAAGCTATTTAATCTTTTAACCTAATGTTGTCAACAATACTATCACATATTTATCTTTATTGATCCATTTAATTTTTTTTAAAAGGGGCACTTCAAAAATATTTTAAATGTGTGTGCTTAGACACAAACGAGTACTAGGGTGTGTACTATAGCACAAGTGAAATACCAGCTTGATCTGCCACTATATCCTTGAAGAAGGTGTGTGGATCCTTCAGTCACTATAATGAACACAAAATTTAACTGTCGCCCACAGAATGGTCAAGAGAGACCCTCCTTGAAGCCTGGATGACGGATGCTGTGGCCTGCTGTGAGAAGTGTGGCGTGACCCCGCCAGTCTCTCTCTTCAGCGAACAACCCCATGTCCAGGAGGATCTAGCGAGCCCCTTGCCTTCCCCTCTGCACTCCGCACCTGTTCCTCTAGATGCTGAGGTAAAAAGAGATTAAAAACTTGGCGGGAGTATTTAAATATACAGAGGGACTCAATTTACTGGTGTGAAATTAAACTTGAACTAAATAAAAAATGTAGATAGTTTTAAATAAAATACAATAGCATTCATTGTGGAAAGATCAGAATGGTAGTAGTAGATATAAAGTGAAGATTTGTGTGAACACAGAAGTGTGACTGATTGTTTGTATCCTCAGTGTCACATCTGTGCCAACACATTCCTTATTGCTGATGAACCCGTCCACATGTCCTGCACGCACCTGTTCTGTAAGGACTGCTGGGAGAAGTGAGTTCCCTAAAGTATTTAGAAAAGACTTTTCATTGAATTAGATTGCCTTTATCCCAGGGAAAACACTGATATTTGAGGAGCCACCTTCACTTCTCTGATTTCGTCCAAATTGAGTTGAATCTACATCCCTGACAATAAGCATTGCTGTTTAGGCACCATCTATATAGCTAGTGAATAAGAAAAATAATTTTATAAAACCCCCCCCCCCCCCCTCTGAAATCATATCTCCTCATGTATTAGCATAATCAATCAGATTCATTTTGATATCTTTAAATAATAACAAGGCCAGTAAGAAAATTATTACGAATTGTGTATTTTTATACATCAAAACGATGACCCAAACCATGAATCTACAAATCAAGGTCAATTGAACCATAAAACTTCTGACGATTGACATATTCATGGTGTTGCAAAAATTTCATGAGTCAAAGACGGACTTTTCTAACTTTGATTAATTTTCATTGTGACTAAGTCAATGAATTTCCTAGCGAATAAGTTTCCATGTTGAAGTTCTGCCTGTCTGTGAAGTGTCCATGCTGATAAATGTTTCTGCCGAGGAATTGTTTTTGATGAAGTGTCTGTCAATGAACTGTCATATAACTAACCGTACCACCCCCACACCCCCCGACTCCTCCTCAGTGGACAGAAGAAGAAGGGACCTGATGTTTGTCTCTGTTCTCCAGGCTAGTCTTCAATATTTGTTTTGATTTTGCAGATACTTGAATGTCAAGATCCAAGAAGGTGACGCTCACCACATCACCTGTGCGGCCTACGATTGTACTATGCTAGTACCTGTCGACATCATCGAACGCATCGTGTCACGAGACATGGCGCTGAGATATCTACAGTTTGACATAAAGGTACACATTTAGCCCTCCCTCTGGCTGGCCAGTCGAAGAATTACTTGGAGCTCTTGATGTAGTTGTTAAATATAAGGGTGCACGGCTGTCGTTTAATGGAGGGGCCAGTGGTTGACAATGTCATGGCTGAACACTGTTCACGGCTGATAATGTTGCAGCTCTTTGCTTGGCGTAAACAAAAGAAATATGAAAAAATGCTTTCTCTCCATACAAGAGGTGTTCTTTAAAGAATTGAATAGTGGGTCAATGTCGAATGCAAATTTAAAAAAAAAAAAAAGGATGAAATTTGAATGTTATTTTAGCACAATATTGAAAAAAAAATTACCACCCAACTTTAAAAAGTTTGCTCGGATACAGAACTGCACTCAATTCTTAATAACTAACTTTGACAGCACATCACTAGCACTGCCATCCACAGTACATCACTAGCACTGCCATGCCACAGTACATCACTAGCCTAGCACTGTCATGCCACAGTACATCACTAGCCTAGCACTGCCATGCCACAGTACATCACTAGCCTAGCACTGCCATGCCACAGTACATCACTAGCCTAGCACTGCCATGCCACAGTACATCACTAGCCTAGCACTGCCATGCCACAGTAGATCACTAGCCTAGCACTGCCATGCCACAGTACATCACTAGCCTAGCACTGCCATGCCACAGTACATCACTAGCCTAGCACTGCCATGCCACAGTACATCACTAGCACTGCCATGCCACAGTAGATCACTAGCCTAGCACTGCCATGCCGTTATTGTGTTTCTAAAACATCCCACCACTCTCACCCCGCAGTGCTGTTTGAAATGGTTGTTGACCTTTGTGTCTCACACAATCTGATCCATTAAATGTATAAAATAATGCAGGCTCGAGATCTCTAGTAACACCGATGCCATGCCAGTTGTCCAGTTAGTGATCCGAACCACCAAACACTGAATGGTCAATGTTTGTCTCCTTTTCAGGCGTTTGTGGACAGCAACCCAGACATGAAGTGGTGTCCCTTCGCTGGCTGCGGCCGGGCTGTCAAGTTGCCCGACCTTGAACTCGGGTTCATCCACGGTAACAAACGCAATAAGATTCCGTCTGACACTTCCAGAGGGGTGGACTGTGGAGTAGGTCATTATTTTTGTTGGTAAGTCTAACAATGGTTGTAAATTTCTGCTGTTTCAGCATGTATATTACTGTCATCACCTCTCTCTTCATATCACACCTTTTGTGATTATTCGCCTTGAAAAAATAAAACTTTAAATTCAATTAATCTTTTAAAAACTCTGTTAGTACATTAATTGAATGAAGGAAGATAAAGTTTATTTCGGATAGGTCTGATATCCGACGGGCATCAAAATTAAAAATCATCAACAAGCCAGGCTGCGTGTGGCCAGAAGGCTAGCCATCCTGGCACTAGATTTTACAGTAATAAAATGTTGCATCTTGAGGCTTTGTTTTTTCATGTCACATTTTAATTGACCTTTCTTGAATATTTTCCGTCAATGGGTGTTGTGCTTAAACTGTCTCTTAATGAATGCTGTCTCCAGGGAATGTTTAGAGGAGTCCCACGAACCTTGCAGCTGTGATAACTGGAGTAAATGGCATCAGAGGATAAGCCAGATCAGGCCAGAAACATGTACGTGTAAGTCATTACATTATTTACATCCTGGTACCTGCCAGGGATTCTCCTTACATTGGCCCTGTGACTTGTACATTCTGCTGGTCCCCATTTATCTCATCCCCACTTTTTTCTTGACCAACACTCTCCTCTCTCTCTCCTCCTCAACTCTCTCTCTCCCTCCCTCTTCTCCCCCCCCCCCCCCCCCCATATTATATTAAATCAAAAAGACCTCCTCTACAAATAAAAAATAATATCACAAGATTTAAGTTTTGATGATCAGTGAATGACTGTTACTGCTTGCTATTAGTTTAATGATGTATACACTGCAGCCACTATTTCCACTGCTGAGATTTTTCAAAAAGATTTAAGTTTTGATGATCAGTGAATGACTGTTACTGCTTGCTATTAGTTTAATGATGTATACACTGCAGCCACTATTTCCACTGCTGAGATTTTTCAAAAAGATTTAAGTTTTGATGATCAGTGAATGACTGTTACTGCTTGCTATTAGTTTAATGATGTATACACTGCAGCCACTATTTCCACTGCTGAGATTTTTCAAAAAGATTTAAGTTTTGATGATCAGTGAATGACTGTTACTGCTTGCTATTAGTTTAATGATGTATACACTGCAGCCACTATTTCCACTGCTGAGATTTTTCAAAAAGATTTAAGTTTTGATGATCAGTGAATGACTGTTACTGCTTGCTATTAGTTTAATGATGTATACACTGCAGCCACTATTTCCACTGCTGAGATTTTTCAAAAAGATTTAAGTTTTGATGATCAGTGAATGACTGTTACTGCTTGCTATTAGTTTAATGATGTATACACTGCAGCCACTATTTCCACTGCTGAGATTTTTCAAAAAGATTTAAGTTTTGATGATCAGTGAATGACTGTTACTGCTTGCTATTAGTTTAATGATGTATACACTGCAGCCACTATTTCCACTGCTGAGATTTTTTTTTCTAAAAACTCTTATCCCCCCCCCCCCCCCTTTCCCACCTTTTAGTGGACGGAACAGAACAAGAGACAGAGCTGGCGGCCAACTGCCTGTGGCTGGTGACCAATTCCAAACCCTGCCCCAGCTGTAAGTCACCCATACAGAAGAATGAAGGATGCAACCACATGAAGTGCAGCAAGGTCAGTCACACTCAGTATTTTGTCTTAGTTCTTGGGTGCAGCAATGTCAGTCACACTCAGTGTTTTGTCTTAGTTCTTGGGTGCAGCAAGGTCAGTCACACTCAGTGTTTTGTCTTAGTTCTTGGGTGTAGCAAGGTCAGTCACACTCAATGTTTTGTCTTAGTTCTTGGGTGCAGCAAGGTCAGTCACACTCAGTGTTTTGTCTTAGTTCTTGGGTGTAGCAAGGTCAGTCACACTCAATGTTTTGTCTTAGTTCTTGGTTGTAGCAAGGTCAGTCACACTCAGTGTTTTGTCTTAGTTCTTGGGTGTAGCAAGGTCAGTCACACTCAGTGTTTTGTCTTAGTTCTTGGGTGCAGCAAGGTCAGTCACACTCAGTGTTTTGTCTTAGTTCTTGGGTGTAGCAAGGTCAGTCACACTCAGTGTTTTATCTTACTTCTTGGGTGCAGCAATGTCAGTCACACTCAGTGTTTTGTCTTACTTCTTGGGTGCAGCAATGTCAGTCACACTCAGTGTTTTGTTTTACTTCTTGGGTGCAGCAAGGTCAGTCACACTCAATGTTTTATCTTACTTCTTGGGTGTAGCAAGGTCAGTCACACTCAATGTTTTGTCTTACTTCTTGGGTGCAGCAATGTCAGTCACACTCAGTGTTTTGTCTTAGTTCTTGGGTGCAGCAAGGTCAGTCACACTCAGTGTTTTGTCTTACTTCTTGGGTGCAGCAATGTCAGTCACACTCAATGTTTTATCTTACTTCTTGGGTGCAGCAAGGTCAGTCACACTCAATGTTTTGTCTTACTTCTTGGGTGTAGCAAGGTCAGTCACACTCAGTGTTTTGTCTTACTTCTTGGGTGTAGCAATGTCAGTCACACTCAGTGTTTTGTCTTACTTCTTGGGTGTAGCAAGGTCAGTCACACTCAGTGTTTTGTCTTAGTTCTTGGGTGTAGCAATGTCAGTCACACTCAGTGTTTTGTCTTAGTTCTTGGGTGCAGCAAGGTCAGTCACACTCAGTGTTTTGTCTTACTTCTTGGGTGCAGCAATGTCAGTCACACTCAATGTTTTATCTTACTTCTTGGGTGCAGCAAGGTCAGTCACACTCAATGTTTTGTCTTACTTCTTGGGTGTAGCAAGGTCAGTCACACTCAATGTTTTGTCTTACTTCTTGGGTGCAGCAAGGTCAGTCACACTCAATGTTTTGTCTTACTTCTTGGGTGCAGCAATGTCAGTCACACTCAGTGTTTTATCTTACTTCTTGGGTGCAGCAATGTCAGTCACACTCAGTGTTTTATCTTACTTCTTGGGTGCAGCAAGGTCAGTCACACTCAGTGTTTTATCTTACTTCTTGGGTGCAGCAATGTCAGTCACACTCAATGTTTTATCTTACTTCTTGGGTGCAGCAATGTCAGTCACACTCAGTGTTTTGTCTTACTTCTTGGGTGCAGCAATGTCAGTCACACTCAGTGTTTTATCTTACTTCTTGGGTGCAGCAAGGTCAGTCACACTCAATGTTTTATCTTACTTCTTGGGTGCAGCAAGGTCAGTCACACTCAGTGTTTTATCTTACTTCTTGGGTGCAGCAAGGTCAGTCACACTCAGTGTTTTATCTTACTTCTTGGGTGTAGCAAGGTCAGTCACACTCAATGTTTTATCTTACTTCTGGGATGAAGATTCACACTTCTTGTTTACTCTGACGGTTTCTATCTTTTTAATCTGATGACTGCTGGCTGGGTAATTGACTTTGTCCAATAGACAAGGGGTTGTCTGTAAAATATGCATTTTTTCCACCTCCTCTCCACTTATCCAACAATTTACAATGTGAAATTTCAGGAAGTATTACTGTTATAAAGAGCAAATTTTAACTTGATTTGAACTTCTATATCAGTATCGTATGGGATTATCCATTCATCATCTACACACTGCTGGGAGGGGTGTTGTTGATTTTGGAGATTATGCGAACTGATGTCAGGGGGGTGGGAAGGTCTGCAGAAAGTTAACTCATTTCATTCTTTATCCTGAAATTCAGACACTCTCTAATATATCTAATAAAGCCAACTGTCATTTGAAATTCTTAAAAAAACATGATATTTAAAAGAAATCCCTGCACTGTTTTACATTTTTCGTCATACTGTTGCATTGTGTTCACACTTGTTAGTTATCACAACAGTAAATGTTTTTTGTATGTGATTCTGTGATGTAATTTCTATTTAAAAAACACAAATTTTAACACCCTTACCGCAATGGTTCCCAAGCTTTTTATTACCCCATGCCCTAACTGATTACCTAAAATACTTTGATGCCCCCCCACCCCACAAATTTTTTTGGAAGGAAAAAAAAAGCAGTCTTAATGCTGCCTTAGGGAATAAAGAATTTCAATTTTGCTGCATTTAAGCCTTAAGATTCACAATTGTAAAACAAAACTAACAAAAATAAGTGAAATATGTTTATATTGCATTCTATGAGAAACAATAAAGAGGACTAACATTTAAAAAATCATGATTCCCCCCCCCCCCCCTTTTTTTTTTTTCCCCTCCCTTTTTTTTTTTAAAAAAATAATTTCATCATATCCTGGACCAATATTTTAGCTTGCCACTATAACGTGGGTGGCTAAAATATTGGCCCAGAAAATACCGTCCCTCCAAAAAGGAAAAAGTGTGCCCAGGGCTGTCAGCTTCTGCATACCCTACCCCCACCCTTTTCTTTCTGTGTGCCTATGCCCCTGTCCAGTAAACCATTAAATATCTTACTTCAATCTGAAAAGGGGGGGGGGGGATATACACCACAGTCAGGAAACTCTGGGATACCTTGACTTGACTTTTACTTAATTGTTTTTAAGTCAAATGGTTTATTAATATTAGTGGAAAAAAATATTCTGGGGGTGAGGAAAGGGGGGGTCAAGTATTTTACCATATAAATCATTTGATTAAAGTCAACCAGAGAAAAAACTTGCAATTTTTACATTTGTTGATGAATAGCAACCAAATATTTAGAATGATCTCCCATATAAAGTTCCTTTAAAATTCTTGGTGGTTTATGATTATAATTTTTTTTCAAATAGAGCAATGCCCGCTGTGGGCCTAAGGCAGTGTTTAACAAAAAATGCTAGCTTGCATATGTCCGCAAGATCTTTATCCTCCCCAACCCATGTTAAAAACTTTTGTCCGCTTTTTATCAAACCCTCTCTCTGCGTCTCTGGGGATGTCATTTATGGACCACCTTCAACTGGCCTTGTTTAGTGAGTTACTGGCCTTGTTTACTGAGTATTTGTCTTGTCTACTGAGTAATTGGCCCCTTTTACTGGGTAATTTGTCTTGTCCACTGGGTAATTGGCCTCCTTGACCACTGGGTAACTGGCCTTGTCTAGTTGGCAACTATGCTTTGCAGAAAAAAGCCTTTAAAAAATACCACTTCTACAATCAATGGAATTATTCAAGTTATTTTAAAATTTGATGGCATGTTAAACTAACTTGGGTAATTGTTAGGGCCATATAACTGATGAAGTGACACAGCTTTATTCTTCTATGCCCACATTAGATTTTCAAACACAATACACAAAGGACTTTTCAATGTTGAGAGCAGGGCTCTTCATACACAATTGTGGGATAAGAATACTCAATAACAACTAGTTTTACTGCCATATTATCCAATAAAATGTTTGACTAACCTTTGACCTTAGTCTAAGACTTTTCAATTATATCAGTTTGTATGTTACAGAATTTTTTTTACCTCCATTTTCTTAAAATTGGTTGACGTTGAAGACGTGTCATTGTATTTCTGTCCCCAGTGTAAATATGACTTTTGTTGGGTTTGTCTTGAACAATGGAAACGTCACAACAGCTCCACTGGTGGCTACTTCAAGTGCAACCGCTTTGAGGTGCTCAAGAAGGTTGAAGAGCAAAGTGCCCAGCTAGTTAGTGAGGTGAGAATAGCAGAGTGCCCTGCTAGTTAGTGAGGTGAGAATAGCAAAGTGCCCAGCTAGTTAGTGAGGTGAGAATAGCAAAGTGGCTGGCTAGTTAGTGAGGTGAGAATAGCAAAGTGGCCAGCTAGTTAGTGAGGTGAGAATAGCAAAGTGCCTGGCTAGTTAGTGAGGTGAGAATAGCAAAGTGGCTGGCTAGTTAGTGAGGTGAGAATAGCAAAGTGGCTGGCTAGTTAGTGAGGTGAGAATAGCAAAGTGGCTGGCTAGTTAGTGAGGTGAGAATAGCAAAGTGGCTGGCTAGTTAGTGAGGTGAGAATAGCAAAGTGCCTGGCTAGTTAGTGAGGTGAGAATAGCAAAGTGCCCAGCTAGTTAGTGAGGTGAGAATAGCAAAGTGCCCAGCTAGTTAGTGAGGTGAGAATAGCAAAGTGCCCGGCTAGTTAGTGAGGTGAGAATAGCAAAGTGCCTGGCTAGTTAGTGAGGTGAGAATAGCAAAGTGCCTGGCTAGTTAGTCAGGTGAGAATAGCAAAGTGCCCGGCTAGTTAGTGAGGTGAGAATAGCAAAGTGCCCGGCTAGTTAGTGAGGTGAGAATAGCAAAGTGCCTGGCTAGTTAGTGAGGTGAGAATAGCAAAGTGCCTGGCTAGTTAGTGAGGTGAGAATAGCAAAGTGGCTGGCTAGTTAGTGAGGTGGGATTTGATTTTTTTTTCTTCCAGAAGATGTGGTTTAAACAAAAAGCAGTCAATACTTGTCATGTGCATGAGTAAATATATATTGATATGACTGATTAGGCATAAATTCATGAATGATGAGTGGGGGAAAAATCAGCAGCAAGGAAATAAATTGCACAATCTAGTAGGAGTTGAATATTTTTGTCTTTGTGAACTGTTGTAGTAGCTGATGTTACAACACAAGTTTGTAGTGACTGATTTGAATGATTTCATCCCTGTCAGGCTGAGACAAAGAACAAGAGCATGCAAGAGCTGAGCAGATTTGTTCACTACTACACAAGGTTCAAGAACCATGAAAACAGCTATAAGGTAGGTCCTCTGCTGGGTTCATACGACTACAGTTTTTTGTGTGCAGACAGCTACTATTTAACCCCATTGCAAGTTTTGTTTCAGTCTTCAGACTTTGATGGGGGATTGTTTTTTTTACTCTGGGTTTACATCCCCCAAAAATAGCTGTCTTACTTGGCTGGTCAGTCCATTCTTGTTGGCTGGTCAGTCCATTCTTGTTGGCTGGTCAGTCAATTCTTGTTGGCTGGTCAGTCCATTCTTGTTGGCTGATCAGTCCATTCTTGTTGGCTGGTCAGTCCATTCTTGTTGGCTGGTCAGTCCATTCTTGTTGGCTGGTCAGTCCATTCTTGTTGGCTGGTCAGTCCATTCTTGTTGGCTGGTCAGTCCATTCTTGTTGGCTGGTCAGTCCATTCTTGTTGGCTGGTCAGTCCATCATTCTTGGCTGGTCAGTCCATCATTCTTGGCTGGTCAGTCCATTCTTCTTGGCTGGTGTGTCCATTCTTCTTGGCTGGTGTGTCCATTCTTCTTGGCTGTTTATATGTGTTAAAAAACAGGCTAAAAAGTCTAGGGAATGTGCAGTATTGGGCATCATACCCTCCCTCCCTCTGATGATGGCCTTTGTCTGGTCACAACCCCCCCCCCCTCCCCCCTGATGTTGACCTTTCTTGGGTCATACCAAAATGATGTTTGGGTCATGTCTGGTAATACCCATATGATAGTGGCCCATCTCTAGTAAAAAAAAACACATAATGGTGGCCCTTGTCTGGTCATAACCAACTGATGGTGGCACTCATCCGGTATACCCACATTAAGGTGGCCCTTGTCTGGTCATAACCAACTGATGGTGGCCCTCGTCCGGTATACCCACATGAAGGTGGCCCTTATCTGGTCATAACCAACTGATGGTGGCCCTCATCCGGTATACTCACATGAAGGTGGCCCTTGTCTGGTCATAACCAACTGATAATGGCCCTCGTCCGGTATACCCACATGAAGGTGGCCCTTGTCTGGTCATAACCAACTGATGGTGGCCCTTGTCCGGTATACCCACATGAAGGTGACCCTTGTCCGGTATACCCACATGAAGGTGGCCTTTGTCCGGTATATCCACATGAAGGTGACCCTCGTCCGGTATACCCACATGAAGGTTGCCCTCGTCCGGTATACCCACATGAAGGTGGCCCTCTTCCGGTATACCCACATGAAGGTGGCCCTTATCTGGACATAATTACCACTTGAATGTTCATATACTTACTACATTTTGAGTTATTGTTTTTTAAAACACTTGATGATATGTCCATTGATTATTCTGCTCACACATGTTATATTTGACCAGCTTGAAGAACCTTTACTGAAAACGGCCAAGGATAAGATGATGAAACTGGCTGAGGCTGTTACTGACAGTGGTAGGTACAATGTTAGATCTTCTACTAGCTTGATTCTCATAGGAGGATATATCAACTTAATCGCCACAAACCTACTGCACCAAAGTGGCAAGGTGTCCAGTTGAAAGGCACTAAGTTAAGCCTCCCCTCAGATTTGGAAAAAAGTACCACCAAGAAGTGGTCAAGTAGAAAACCCTTTGGCACAAGGGGGAGAGCCCACTTCAACCTGCCCTGGTCCTCAGCATGTGTCTTGAGACATCACATTGACTGATAAACTCATCTGGTTTCTTTATGCGTCATACCATTAATTTTTTCTCATGCCAAATTATTTTTTGTGGCGTATGACAACCATCTAAGAGAAATTAGCTACAGACAAAAGGAGTGCTGCCCCTGATCTTGACAAAACACAGAATGAGAACTCCATTCAAACAAAAAGCCAAGACTCTGTTCACAATTACAACACACACTCAAGAACTCAACAGTTATTCATACAGCACAATTATTTAACAAAAGTCTTGCTATAGACTAATTTTAAGGTACAATGAAAAACTCAAAAAAGGATCATTCAAGACTGCAAAAAAATATTTGTGATGAATGAAAAAAAACAATTTCCATTTCTTTGGATCAATAACAGTATCTTATCTTAAGTGACTTTTAATGACATGATGATGTGAGATAAAGGGGACTTGAAGGAATGAGCCAAGTAAGTCGTATTGGATAGACATGAAAAATGTGCTAAGTAGGTCATATTGGATGGGACATTTTTGGGACATGTAAGGTTAAATGTGTGCTGTTTATGTCATAAATTACTTTTTTTTTGTTTGTTATTGCAACAAGTTAAAAGAATATTTAAGATTATTGCACTGAAACTTTAGTGAATAGAGAGCAATTTTGTACTTGTAACATTTATCTAGTAACCATTTAAAATTGACTTGCATATTTTACACATGAACATTTCTGTTGACTGTGAGGTGTGCCAGAGGAAATGTCACATCAAAATGACAGTTATAGTTAAGGAGCACCCTTCATTAAGTATCAGAATGGAGATCCCACTTCCTCTGTCTGACTCAAAGAAGTATGATGTGAATATTAATCAAGTTGTATTTATTTATCTCTGGAATTCTCTTAAATAAAACCTCAGGTCCTTAATTTTTTCCCCTCTATTTCCAGCCACCGCACAGACAGAGACCAAATTTGTTGAAGATGCCGTCAATCAGTTGCTGAAGGCCAGGCGGGTCCTGAAATGTTCCTATGTTTATGGGTTCTACCTGGATGGACCCGGGTACAAGAAAATTGTTTTTGAGTTTATGCAGGTTGGTAACTTTGGGACTGGTACAAAAACAGAATTTGGGCCAATTTCTAAGATACTTTAATTTATGCAAAAATGTGATTGACTTTTTTTTTCTTTGGAGAAATCTCTTCTTGTTATATCCAATAATATTAATAAGCAAATAAAACTCTGCTTACGTGTGTAAAATGTATTGTCAAACATGCTTGTAGTTAAGTTCCAATCATCTGCATTATCATAACAGACATTATCAGAACAGACATTATCATAACAGACATTATCATAACGGACATTATCAGAACAGACATTAACATAACAGACATTATCATGACAGACATGATGACAGACATTATCATGACAGACATTATCATAACAGACATTATCATAACAGACATTATCATAACAGACAGACAAGGCGTTGAGAAGTTTGGCTGGCAAAGTTTGGATTAAAAAGTTTTAGTAATAAACAGATCCACATCTTTTATTCATTGCCCTCCTAAGATGCTCACTTTATTTCAGCACATCTTTTATTCATTGCTGTCCTAAGATGCTCACTTTATTTCAGCACATCTTTTATTCATTGCTGCCCTAAGATGCTCACTTTATTTCAGCACATCTTTTATTCATTGCTGCCCTAAGATGCTCACTTTATTTCAGCACATCTTTTATTCATTGCTGTCCTAAGATGCTCACTTTATTTCAGCACATCTTTTATTCATTGCTGTCCTAAGATGCTCACTTTATTTCAGCACATCTTTTATTCATTGCTGTCCTAAGATGCTCACTTTATTTCAGCACATCTTTTATTCATTGCTGTCCTAAGATGCTCACTTTATTTCAGCACATCTTTTATTCATTGCTGTCCTAAGATGCTCACTTTATTTCAGCACATCTTTTATTCATTGCTGTCCTAAGATGCTCACTTTATTTCAGCACATCTTTTATTCATTGCTGTCCTAAGATGCTCACTTTATTTCAGCACATCTTTTATTCATTGCTGTCCTAAGATGCTCACTTTATTTCAGCACATCTTTTATTCATTGCTGTCCTAAGATGCTCACTTTATTTCAGCACATCTTTTATTCATTGCTGTCCTAAGATGCTCACTTTATTTCAGCACATCTTTTATTCATTGCTGTCCTAAGATGCTCACTTTATTTCAGCACATCTTTTATTCATTGCTGTCCTAAGATGCTCACTTTATTTCAGCACATCTTTTATTCATTGCTGTCCTAAGATGCTCACTTTATTTCAGCACATCTTTTATTCATTGCTGTCCTAAGATGCTCACTTTATTTCAGCACATCTTTTATTCATTGCTGTCCTAAGATGCTCACTTTATTTCAGCACATCTTTTATTCATTGCTGTCCTAAGATGCTCACTTTATTTCAGCACATCTTTTATTCATTGCTGTCCTAAGATGCTCACTTTATTTCAGCACATCTTTTATTCATTGCTGTCCTAAGATGCTCACTTTATTTCAGCACATCTTTTATTCATAGCTGTCCTAAGATACTCACTTTATTTCAGCACATCTTTTATTCATTGCTGTCCTAAGATGCTCACTTTATTTCAGCACATCTTTTATTCATTGCTGTCATAAGATGCTCACTTTTTTTCAGCTGAATGTTTATGATTCTCATGGTTCTGATTTTTTTTTCTCTTTCAGACAGAACTAGAAGAGTGTACAGAAATCCTGTCTCAGATGGTCAATAGACTCTACCTGCGCACACCCCGACGTAAGATCATTGAACAGGCCAACATCACCCAACGTAAGAGACTTGAGTTCATCATGGCAATATCCAAGGGACTTGTTCCACCCGAGACTCCCCCGTCAGCCCGCAGAGGGAAGAAGAAACGGAAGATGAGTGGAGTTGGACCGGAGGATGTAAGCATGGAATCCCTTCCCTTGTTGAATTATTTTATTTTGTGGGGGGCTGGTGGGGTGGGATCATGGGGTCAAGTCTTTTCTATGTGAAGTTGGAGCCATACAAAAATATTATCAGAAACTGCTATGTACCTCTCTGTAGTGCTCTGGTGTTAATATATCATAAAAAGACTTGTGTATAATCAAATGTGGTGACTGGCACACCACAGGCAATACAAAGCAATGAGATCTTTAACAGCTAGCTAACTGGCTCACCACAGGCAGTACAAAACAATGACCACTTTAGCTGCCAACCAACTGGGTCACCACAGGCAATACAAAGCAATGAGATCTTTAACAGCTAGCTAACTGGCTCACCACAGGCAGTACAAAACAATGACCACTTTAACTGCCAGCCAACTGGGTCACCACAGGCAATACAAAGCAATGAGATCTTTAACAGCTAGCTAACTGGCTCACCACAGGCAGTGCAAAACAATGACCACTTTAGCTGCCAGCCAACTGGGTCACCACAGGCAATACAAAACAATTACCACTTTAGCTCCCAGCCAACTTGAGCAGAAAAATATTAACAATGTATTATATTCATTACTTTATGAGGCGGCAGAAACAAGCTTATGACTGTTATATTTTGATATGGGAAGATTCCCCTCTGCTTGGTTGCAGGAAGATTTGCACAGAGCCATTGTTGCATCCATACAAGAAGTTAATCCAGCCAATCCATGGATCAAGGATGCATCAGGTCGTCACACAAACGTTTCCACACTGCTGGAATGGCCCTGGCCTTCAGACGAGAGTGAGGACAGTGATGGGGAACCAGAGAAACGGGCTTTGCGAGAAAGCATTGGTCAGTTTTTATTTTAAAATTGTATCTAAGATGTTCTTATTGAAAATTTTAAAAGTTACTCCACCTTATTGTATTTGAGTTATCCCCCCTCTTCACCAGGGCTGAGTCCACTTACTCAAACTGAGGTTTAAAATGTTATTGCAACACAAAAATTACAATTTTTGGATGTCTGGTGTGTGGTAGGCTTTCTCTCCCCATAAAAGCTTATTAAGAGATATGTCTTTTTTTCCCCCTTACATTACCATCAACCAATTGTTTCCATACACTACCTTCTATAAATTGTTATTCCTTACATTACCACATACAAATTGTGTTTCCATACATTACATCTATAAATTGTGTTTTCTTACATTACCATCTGTAAATTGATACCCCTTACATTACCATCTATCAATTGTTATTCCTTACATCACCATCTATCAATTGTTATTTCCTATCTAGGTAAATGCCGCCGGGTTGGGTGCAACAAGGTAAAGGCTAAAAATCCCAAGACCAATGGACACCATGACCACTGCAGCCAATATTGTCTGTTGGGGGACAGAGACGACCAGGAAACAGAGGAAGGTAAGGTTGCATAGGATCATACAGTTCTTTTTTTTTTTTTTAACTTTTGGTCCTTCAGAAGTTGATATGGGGTTTGAGTCAAGATCCACTAGGCGTTTTTACCAGTGGTGGATGGCAAGAGTCAGTACAGCTCTGGGCTTTTTTTAAAATTCTGTCATAACTAAGAAGTGGAAGGTTCAAATCCATCCATTGCTGCACACAGCTTTTGGGCATATGACACAGCTGTGGGCATATGATGCAGCTGTGGGCATAAAGGTTACAGCCGAAAGAAAGACCTGGATTGATTTGGAGGGGAAATTCTGGACAAATTTACAGGGTTCGCACAGTCTTTGAAGGTTTGGGGAAAATAAAATAAAATTTCCAGGGCCCGGAAAGTTTGGGAAAATTGGCAAAAAACGTCACGGTCTTTGAAAGTTTGGGAAAATGATTTTAAAAAATTCAAAAGGAAAAAAACCAGCAAAAAAAAAAAAATCAAAGAAAAAACATGTTTCCAATTTGACTGACATGCGCAGTGCGCAATTCTTAGTGATCCGTAACCCTGCAAGAAAGAAATTAGTTCATTGGTCGGTAGATTTGTTTAAGCCAATCAAATTACTCTTAACCTGTCAGCTATCAGTACTATCAGTCTGAAAAACGAGAAATAGTCGAGAATTATTGAATAATTTTCCCGGTCTTGAAAACCGGCAAATTGGGTCATCTGGTAAAATTTTCCAGATAGTCTGGAATTTTTTATTTTGTAAAAAATAATCATAAATTTGGCTTTGAATTCCATGAAAATTGACATTAGTCGCCGATCTCATCTATTTTAATTTTAGCCTTTCTGTTATCAAAAAGAACTTTGCCAAATACTAGAGTGGTTTCCCTTAACTGCGCATGCTCTACCAGTTTCTAATACCGTACAACTTCGATTGACCAGAAATATTTAATTTCTGTTTACGTCGCCGATCAAGAGATGTTCGACTGTTTGGGTAAGTAAAGTGTAAAATATAGTAAATAATTATTTGAACCTAGTTTTCAATTGTGATGTAACCATTCAAAATAGAAAACTCCTCCTCCTCTAAAATGACTGAGCTTAGCTTTGTACTTTGTTATGTCCTAGTCTTCATAAGTGGATTTTTAACTGTTTTACTGTATGCGGGCGACATGTAATTTTTTTTTTATTAGCGCTAAGCAGCCTTTAACTTTTTTTGTTTAAAGCCTTTAAGTTCACTTGACACTTAATTATAGAGTAGGCCTTCTAACTTTAAATAGGCTCATATGATCACTTGACACTTAATTATAGAGTAGGCCTTCTAACTTTAAATAGGCTCATATGATCACTTTACACTTAATTATAGAGTAGGCCTTCTAACTTTAAATAGGCTCATATGATCACTTTACACTTAATTATAGAGTAGGCCTTCTAACTTTAAATAGGCTCATATGATCACTTGACACTTAATTATAGAGTAGGCCTTCTAACTTTAAATAGGCTCATATGATCACTTGACACTTAATTATAGAGTAGGCCTTCTAACTTTAAATAGGCTCATATGATCAAGTTATTTTGTGGTGTCATTTTTGCGTAGATTAGTTAGCTAGTTTACGACTGACTTTGGAAATTCATTTAAACGTTAATAAAATAAAACTAAAACTATTTTTGATTGGACTTGATACATGACATCGATTCAGTGAGCCTAACTTAACTGTCTATAGTTACTTAGTCCTTGGTTATAGTCCTTTTTTATAGTTATGCCCTCCCGTGTTCTGTGTATACTTTATGGTATTACAGACCTGTTTACTCTTACGATTTTGGCGTACAATGTACGATTTTTAGATGTCTTTTACGATTGTACGCCAAGACCTTCCAAAACTACGATTTTCAGAGACCCGATGGAAAAAAATTTTCCCCGATTTAAAAAAATTAATAAAATTTCGGGTTTGGACGTTTTAGCCCTCTCTAATGAAGATCTGGCAGTGAATATGAATGAGAAAAACGATTGGTTGTATTATTATTATTTTTTAAAGTTGGGACCATCCTTATTATATTTCAAAAGTACTCATGGGGAGGTGGGGTTGTTGATTACGGAAATTGTGGCATACGAGACACGCATGGGTAGGGGATTGGTGGGAGTGTCAGAAGATATAAATAAATAACCGCGACGCATCATATTGATGGAATTGATGGTGATTGTCGTATTGCTGCTTTGTGTGTCACAGTCACAGTGAACTAGCTGGCTGCGTCAACAGTAATATTTTGATTTGTCGCCCTAGCGACAACTTCACTCACCATCGCCTTTGACTGCTACCAAGCGTGTGACGTAGTTTTGTTACATAATTATTTTGTTCCTCAGAACCGCGGCGATTGTAAAAATAGAGATCGTTTTTAAAATAAAATAGATGATCCAACTGTTCTGCAGTGGAGCGTTGGATTTTGACATATTTTATAAGATCCAGTCAGCGACATTTACAAAATACTTTTATAACTCGCAAATTAGCTCTATGCCTTCAACGATTTTAATACAACAGTTTGGTATCACTACCAGGGTTTCTTTCAGCTAGATCTCGGGGGGGGGGGGAGAATGCCTCTCTCCCGGGTTAAGCCAAGTGTGCCCCCCCGGAGCAAAACAATGTCCAACAATAAATAACTGGCAATTCTGGCACTGACCCCCCCCCCCCCCCCCCC